TTATTCCATCTGATGTTTGTTGGTAAACATTCAAAATCACCGTAAATAACAAATGGTGCTTTCAGTTTCTTAAACTGCTTTTCAAACTTTGTTGTTGTTCCTTCTTTTTGTAATTCAGCATGTTGAATTTTATTTGCCATACAACCTTTTTTTCAGTGAGAATTTCAGGAGTTTTCTCACTTCTAACCGTGCTGACAGTATTTACAAAGAGCATCTTATTTGTTGCTTCATTGGTCTGACTTCCCATCAATCTGCTAAAAACTTTGATTCAAACATAATGTTCGCAAAGCTTGCGAGCCTCTGGTGAAGCATCGTTATTATCTTTTTCAATTCATAGAAGATTGATATGACAAGACGGTCTTTCAATCTTTGTTAGTCTGTCTGCTCTGATGGTTTGGTTCTCATCTTCTAAATATACATTAACTGATCTAGAATTTTGGTGGTTGTTTCATTAGTGTCAATGTCATCATTGGATGCTGGAAAGTTTACACAATCCCATTTAATTAGACTTTCAGTAGTCCATAATTTCTTGTAGGGTCGGGTTGGTGAAGGTGAGAACATCGACAACAACCCCTTGACAACATAGACAACTAACCCTTGACAACATAGACACCCTTGACAACATAGACAACTAACCCCTGACAACATAGACAACTAGCCCTTGACAACATAGGCAGCCTGACAAATATTAATGTGTCAATCTCAACCCTTCTAACCCCCAGAAAGCCGAAAAACGGTCTGAAACCTGAACCTTGAAAATGTCAAAATTTTAAACTGCTATTACATGATAAATGCAAAAATGTTGAGATATTCCAGAAAAATCCCCAGAACCAATAACTTGGTTTTGAATCGGAAGTCTGGACACGCATTTTGCGGGTTCCCCAGATAAGCGTGCCTTTTCAAGGGCTGACATGTTGGTTTGTCAGCCTTGGCTCTGGCTAGATACTTTTAGGCATCACCAGTTCAGAGGCATCACCAGCATCAAAGGCATCACCAGCATCAGCAGCTGCACAGGAATCACCAGCAGCCATGGATGCGGATTTGCACGTCACACATCGCCAAACAAAACAGACTCATATTTTCTCCGGGCCTTCTCCGGATTTTGCGGGCCTTCTCCGGATTTTGCCGGCCTTGTCCGGTTTTGCGGGCCTTCTCCGGGTTTGCGTGCTCCCCCAACCTCTGCGTGCTCGCTCATGTTTTTTTTAATGAGGAGGCACTGTCCACCTGGGAAAGCCTATGGCCAAAGATGAGGTATTTTGCAGTAGAAACCCACATCGGCTTTTTCCCGAAGTATGGTGCAGTTTGGTTTTTTTTTCCGGGCGGTTCCCCCTCCAGCCGGTTCTGCGTCGGCCTTGTAAAACAGCGCCAAAAGAGAAAGAGTACTCAGTGCGTTGAACCTTTGTGTCAGGGGAAGGACAGCTGAGAAAGCAATCATCAAGTAAGTTTATGTCTGGGTATAGTGCCCTTTAGAACGGTTCCAAGCGTTGAGAAGGCATGGTTTTCTGGAGAAGCCTCAAGGATGGGGGTCCAGACCCTCGATTGAACATAATGATTACCTTGTTTAATCCTCAGAACTAAAATTTTACTATTTTTTTCCCCCCTTCCCCCCCTCCCCCCTCCCCTCCATGTGCCTTCATCAATTGCCCCGCCCCAACCCCCACCCCACACCCCACCCCCGAACGTGACGCCCCCCAACCCACCTCCTCACCCACGGTTGATCGAGTGTCGCACGCAGCTGCTTGGGCGATGCCGTTGCCAGTGGTCGCAAGTGACCCCAGGGTTTTTTACCGCGGTTGAAAGTGGGTGGGGCAGTGCAACGACACCCCAACCATAAACACCAGACCAGTTTGGCTCACCATACCCGAAAGAACCGGCACTTATATTCTGGGGCAGGCTAGACGAAAATGGTCTGAGCAAATTGATATATACAAAAGACAGATGGGTCTAAGAAAACTTTAGACAAAAGTTCGAGCCCCCAAAAACTGAAATCACAAAAAGCGGAAATACATATCAGATTTCGGAAAGGGGTCAGACGAGATGCATGACCCTGACCAAATTCTAAGTTATGCGCCTCCCCCCCCAGGGCGATGGTCCCGGACCCACATTAACAAACCATCCCCAAGACCCACATTACTAAAGTTACTCAACTGCTGCGGTGCCAACATTTCAGGAATCAAACAACAACAAGAATCAACCACCCAGGTATCGAACACATTCAGGAAGCAAATCCTAAAACATACTCGAGAGCGCCTCGACACGGACCGTCAGAAGCGACCCCGCGTTGACGGTCATAAGCGAGCCCCCAACCAACACAGAGAGCCCGCCCAATTCGAGCGTGCCCTTTTGAGGAATGACAGGCTTTCTTGGCCACATTGTCGCCCCAAGTCTTGCCTCCGGACTCCTGGTTGGCCGCGGATCTGGTTGGGAGTCGGCAGTTCTTGGCTGCGCGCAGATCCGGCATGTTGCGAATGGGGTTTGATGCTGAAGATGAAGATCTTGCTTTGCGCGGTGACGCCTTGTTGCTACGATCAGGGAAACATGTGGCACGCTGTTCGGATGATGCGGCTTGATTGGGCGGCTGGAAATTTCAGAGGCGTAGTGCGAGTCTCAACGCTGGGGTGCAAAGCCTTTACCATGTGCTTCGACCCTTGTTTCTTACCAAGTTCGCTCAAATTCGACCTCCCTCCCTCTTAGATCCTGCGGTGGGGCATGGGATCTGATGGTGCAACTTTCGTCTCCCTGCGGCCTCCAGTCCTGGTTGGGAGAAGGCCGTCCGTGTACTTGTTAGTTCTGTGTGTGTGTGCTGAGTCCCAGATCTACCCTGGCACGGCGCCTGATTTCCAAACCGTGCCAACGAAGCTACGGAAATCGGGTGGATGAGATGCTGGACGCAGCATCTTGCACCTGCCGCAAAGAGCCTTAATGTACTGTTTGTGTTGCTGTTGACTCGCAATACCGGCTCGAATGTTGAATTGTTGGCCGTTGCTTGTCACTCGGATGTCAACTCAAATCCAAACAGTCGAACATGTCTCTCCTCTCCTCCCTTGCATGACGTACTTCAATGTACTAAACCAACCCCTTGAGGTCTTGAAGTGTCGTATCCCGAAAGGCAGATCCCCAATGCACCCCGGTTTGCGCTTTGCGGAGTTCAGTAACCTCAGTTTTCTTGTTTCTTGGTTGGGGTTTTGCCCGCGGAGACCCAATTTGGGGTTCCCTTTCTCGCTTCGTTTTGGTTTGTGTTGCTCTGTTTCTTGTCTGTTGGGCTCTCGCCCCTGCGGGTGTGTGTGTGTGTGTGTGTGTGCTGAGTCCCAGCTCTACCCGGGACCACATCTCAGACCATGCGCAGGGCACGGCGCCTGATTTCCAAGCCGTGCCAACGAAGCTACACGCAGCATCTTGTACCAGCCGCAGAGCCTTTTTGTATTGTTCCTTGCTGGATTTTATGTTGGAATCCGTGTGTGCGATGCTTCTACACCACGCCCCCACCCAGTGTCCCGCCAGAGCAGCTCGCCATGGCAGTGGATCCCGCCGAGTATCCCGCTGAGTATCCAAGTAGCTCGCCAGTGGATCCCGCCAAGTATCCCGCCAGAGCAGCTCGCCAGTGGATTCCGCCGAGTGTCCCGCCCGCCGCTCACCAGTGCAGTGGATCCCGCCGAGTATCCCGCCAGAGCGGCTCGCCAGTGGATCCTGCCGAGTATCCCGCCAGAGCGGCTCGCCAGTGGATCTCGCCAAGTATCCCGCCAGAGCGGCTCGTCAGTGGATCCCGCCGAGCGGCTCGCCAGTGGATCTGGCCGAGTATCCTGCTACAGCAGCTGAGTGGATCCCGCCCAGTGTCCCGCCAGAGCTGCTCGCCAGTGGATCCCGAGTATCCCGCCAGAGCGGCTCGCCAGTGGATCCCGCCAAGTATCCCGCCAGAGCGGCTCGCCAGTGGATCCCGCCGAGTATCCCGCCAGAGACCCCGCCGAGTATCCCGCTGCCAGCACCCTCCGACTATACCGTCTAAATTTGATTTTCGGAACTACCGGGTATTTGGCAGTAGTTCCGAAAATAAAATAAACGACAGTAGATCCGCGATCTACGGTCGTTTCATGTTGCCCCAAACAGTGAAAAACAAGACCACGGGGTGACACGGGGTGACACGCAGGCGACACGGGGTGACACGGGGGCGACACGGGGCGGCACGGAGCGCGGGGCGACACGGGTGCGGGGGCGACAGGCTCGCCAGTATCCCCCTGAGTATCCCAGAGTAGCTCGCCAGTGGACCCCGCCGAGCATCCCGCTGAGTATCCCTTGCCGGTCAATCCTGCCGAGCATCTGGCCAGTATCAAGCCGGAGCGGCTCGCCAGCATTTCGCCCGTGGATCTCGCCAGTATCCCGCCAGAGCAGCTCGCCAGCCTGGTTTTGCTCAATGTCCCGCCTGGCGCACAGTTGGGTTTACATTTCATGTTGGTGTCTTCGTGTTTTGAGTTTTGTGAGGCTCGGAAAGGGTGATGTTTTTGTGTTGCTTTGGGTTGTGAATAAGCAACTTCGTTTAATCCCCCGTCGGGTTTCTTTTTGGAGGGGGCTTGGCTTTTGTTAACGGGACCGATGTTTGAGTTCTCGAGATCGGCTCGCAGACAAGTGGAGTTTGACACACAGACGGGTGGATAAGGCTGTCAATGCAAAGCAAAGGCCCCAAGCCACTCGAAAACCATGCTTGAATTTACACAACCGTGTTCACGGTCGTAAGCTCGTGAGTGTGGAGGGCAGGGGTTGCTCGAAGCGATGTATTTTGTTTTGCTGTTGATTCGCAATGACCACCGGCTCCAATGTTGAACTGTTGGCTGCTGCTTGTCACTCAGATGTCAACTCGAATCGAAGCAGTCGAACATGTCTCTCCTCTCCTCTCTTGCATGACGTACCCGAAGGTACTAAACCAATTTTTGTGGTGTTGAAGTGTGTGATTTCGCTGTCTTGCTCGGGGAAGATGCGCGTTTGACCCAGGGCTCTGGCAACGCTAGGTCTTCACCGTCGTGTGGGTGAAGCATAGCTACAATTGGATCGTGTGGCCCAGAAGGAAGATGAAGGACAGGGGATGATGGGCTGTCCACTACATGCGGAGATGTGAGAGTTGAGAGGTGAAGGGCTCAGTCGCCTCCTTTCCGGAGGGAGACGGGGTTGACGGAGAAGGGATGTTTGTCAACTGCGGCGGTTCTGCAGGGAGAGAGAGAGAGAGAGAGAAAGAAAGAAAGAGAGAGAGAGAGAGAGAGAGAGAGAGAGAGAAAGAAAGACAGAGAGAGAGAGCGAGAGAGAGCGAGACAGAGAGCGAAAGATAGGGAAAGAGAGGGCTGATAGTCGTGCAGCCCTCTCCTCGTTTTCTCTGAGCTTTGCGTGTGTTTTTTTGTTTTTGTTTTATACTTTCCAGTCACGAACGCGCTATAAGTACTTATGATCATGAAAGGCCTCGCTTTGCATACAAACGCAAAAGAGCAGAGCGCGATCTTTTCCCAGCTTTGTTCTGGAGCTACTCACTTCTGCTGGAAATCATGTGGAGGATTGAATCCAATTGCTCCTTTGTTTCGAAAGAAGAAGGACCCAGCAACAAAGAGAGGTTTCCGCCCTTCACAGAACCTCTCCAGTCCCCCTCGAAACAAAAAGACACCTATAACTAACCCTTTGAGGATTTGAGCCCTGGTTCTTGTAGAAGGTCACAACCTTCACACCTCCAACCCACAGATCCAACCAAGGAAACCCATGAAGCCCTAAAAAGGACGAGGACGGCTGCGACGGCAATGGCTTCGAGGGCTCCGTGCTGGGGGACAACTTCTTCCTGCCGGCGGCCACTTTGATCATGGCCGCCAACGCCCTGGCGGAGTCCATCCGCATGGCCGCCACCTTCAGCGTCGCGGCGTCCACCGGAAGCTATGCCTGGCGCCCGGGACGGCCAGTAAAAAGCCGGGCGCGGTAAATGGGAGTGTCCATTTTTGAGATGCTACCCCTTTTAACTTAGTTTTAAAAGGATTGTTACTTGCGTTTCCTCCAGGCACCCAGTTGCCGTTTGTTTTCCTTCTGTCCGTTAACCCCCATCCATTTCCATCTTCTGACCGAATCAAGAATCCCCTCAGTGATTTTGCTTCAGAGGCTCCATGCCTCGCTATGTTGTGTTTAAGGAGGCGGTCAGACGCTGCTCTGTTTGGTGTAACTCTTGTAAGTTGACTTGCTTTGTGGGGATGATCTAAATGGGGACCCTTTTGGACCCATCAAGTTTGTGTGTGTGTGTCTGTAAATTTGCTTGTCCGTATGTGCGTGCGCGGAGGGAAGTCAAGATTCGTAGTTCGGCGCCCCCTTTTTGTTTGGTCAATTCCGCACAATCACTACAGCCTGGCGAAGGCTGAGCCCGGCTTTGGTGTGAGAAAGTGTTTAGGTCTTCAAGGCTGTTGATATCCATGATGAGCTGTTGGTTGAGCTCATTCAGCTTTACTGCCAGTTCCTTCACTTTTTGTTCCATGTTTGTTTTCTTTGTCTCCAAGCGACTCAGCCGAGGACCCTCTCCGTGCCGCTGTCGATGATGCTGAATGTTGCCACCCGCCTAGGTTGGATGCGGTTTGTGCGCTTCGGCACCTTGAAGAGGCTTGGCTGGGTGCAGATGGCCGTGAAAATGTCGGGCCCGACCAGCTGGACTATGCTGCATGAGACTCACTTGCCCAAAGCCGACCTTTTGACCTTTTAATGTCCCCTTTTTTGGCGCATTTTTGTTCATCGCCCTTAACAGGTTAAACTCTTATTTCCAGGTCCTTTGGGCAAGTGAGGAGAACATGAAGATCTACGGGGGCTACAGTCGCTTTGCCGCCGTCTTGGCACTTATCACCTCCAGAGCTGTCATGAAGCTCGTCCAGATCTTGGCCTTGCATCGCTCGATTGTCATTGTTTTTGTCCATATGGGCCAAAACGTCACGAGACACTTGTTTGGCACCTTGTAGAAACCTGATGTTGTCTCTTTGAAGGCTGCCAGCTGCCCGTTGGCTTCCTCTTAGTTTTCGCTTGGTGCCCTTCTTGTTTTCCTCATGGAATCCTACTGGTTTCTGACATTCCCTGCTGGTTCTCTTGGAAGGTGTCAGGACCAGGCCCTTGCCGGGGGTTCGATTCAACCCACTCCAAACAAATCCGGACGCCGTTCTTCGCCGGAGGCACGGAGTCTCAGTGAACCCAATCTTCAACGCCTCGGCCGGGTACGCGCTGCTGGCGATGCTGGCCGCAGAGGTTCGGTTCGGACCAAAGTGCAGGGTTCAAGCCCCCAGGATCACGCAGCCCTTTCCTCTCACTGCAGGTTGCGGGTCGCGGGTTAGGAAGACCCCTGTGAAACCCAGATAGGTGGCTGTGAGCAGCCGCTTGGGTGGCAAACAGGGGGGTAAACCAAGCCCACTGGCCCCAACGGCTTGAATGCTGGTGAAGTGGCTGAGTAGTTCCCCCATTCCTTCCAGGCATCCTTTCAGAGAATCCCGAAAGTGTTGGAAACCGATGGTTGAACATGGGAAAGGAATCCACAGTTGTCCAAAATGGTTGAACATCTCTGTTTCAACCCTTACTTTGGTCACTGGGATTGTCAAAAAATGGGTTGAGCGCCTGTTTGGATGTTTTCCAAAGAGAAAACTAAGCGAAACAGCGCGCTGAAAAGCCACCTGAGCGAGGTTCTAAAACCTTTGCATTTGAAAGTAGTATTATAATAATATAGCTTTCAACATGTTGATTTTCCTGGTTGCGGAAGCGCCGCAGAAAGGTTTGCGGAAGGCGTTTATCATTTATGTACTCGTGGAAGCTTCGGGGAAGGGCTTCGAAGATACGAAGTTGTAGGTTTCCTGCATGCGCGGAAGCGAAAGCAAGCTGTTCTCAATCCGAAGAGAGGAAGCGATTCCCGCTTGCAAAGCTCTTGCGGCATGCCGCGACAGCTCCGCGGAAGCCTGCGCGGAATTGCTCACCTGCGGGTCCCAGACGGGGGAAATGCGCAAACCGCCACGGAGCCCCAACTACTTGCATCCCTGGCAAACTCGATGCTTTTTCTCCGAGAACGTTTGTTTCTTGTACTCCACTGCAAGTGTGGAGCACAAAAAACGGGGGGGGGAGAGGGTCCAAAAGGAGATTCCTTCAATCCTTGCTGATGGTTGGGTCCCTGATCTGCAAAGGACCGGGGCATGTGGCGTGTGGGCTCGGGGCTTGGAAGGTGGTGGAGGACTTCGTGGTGCTTTGGGAGCTATTGCCCACTGCCCCTATTCCGCAGGAGGCGGGCAGAGCCATGGTTGGGGGGGGGGGGGGGGTGGAAACTGAAGCCCGAAGGCCTGCAGGGAGGCGGGAGGAAGGCCACGAGAGACATGCCAGGCTCAGTTGTTCAAAGCCGACCTTTTGACCTTTTGGTTTTCCAACTTTTGTCTATTTTTAGTAGAGGTCCCAAAAGGTTAGCCTTTTATTTTATTTGCAGGTCCTTTGGGCAAGTGAGCAGGTGATTTGGAGGGATGAGGCCTTCGACAATTCAACCCCTTTGCAACTCGTGGCTGTTGAGCATTGCCGCAGCAGCCTTGGCACCAACATGGCGCGGAGTGCGAGGGCGAAACCCACCGGCGATTCTAGTCGAGTTCATCCAGACACCTTTAACTCGGTCTGCCCAAGCATGCCTGCTGATGCGATGATTTCTGTAGCCTCCCTGGGGCCACATCAAGAGAGATGGCGCTCTGTGACCTCGTGGCTTGGTCAGCCCAGAGTTTTGAACCCTGCCCTGCCCCTACATGGCCTAAGGGAGCTGCCCTTTCACATACAACTTGGATCCGTAGGTGTCATGGTAGAGGTTACGTTCGGGGTGCTCTTTGTGCTGCTCGGCCCGGGGTTTGCGCTTGGGCTTGTCGAAGACAGTTGTGCCAGCCGCGGCCAAACTGATGCTGAGAGCCTTTTCTTTTGGAGCATCCCACTTTCCTGCTGAATCTTGGGTCCAGCCCGGGTAAAGCACATGTTTGTTTGGTTTTCGCCTTGGCGCAGCTCTGTCAAAGCAGAGCGGGCGTCCTTCTTGGCACAGTTGCTGGCATGAGGATTCCTGTAGCCTCCTTGAGCCAACATGGGGAGAGGTGGCGCTCTGTGACCTCGTGTCTGGGTCAGCCCAGTTTTGGCAGCGTGCCCTGCCCTTTCACATACAACTTGGATCCCCAGGTGTCGTGACATGTCATGATGGACGTTACGTTCGGGGTGCTCTTTGATCTGCTCGGCCCGGGATTTGCGCTTGGGCTTGTCGAAGACAGTTGTGCCAGCCGCAGCCAAACTGATGCTGAGAGCCTTTTCTTTTGGAGCATCTCACTTTCCTGCTGAATCTTGGGTCCAGCCCGGGCAAAGCACATGTTTGTTTGGTTTTCGCCTTGGCGCAGCTCTGTCAAAGCAGAGCGGGCGTCCTTCTTGGCACAGTTGCTGGCATGAGGATTCCTGTAGCCTCCTTGAGCCAACATGGGGAGAGGTGGCGCTCTGTGACCTCATGTCTGCGTCAGCCCAGTTTTGGCAGCGTGCCCTGCCCTTCCACATACAACTTGGATCGGTGTCGTGACATGTCATGATGGACGTTACGTTCGGGGTGCTCTTTGATCTGCTCGGCCCGGGATTTGCGCTTGGGCTTGTCGAAGACAGTTGTGCCAGCCGCAGCCAAACTGATGCTGAGAGCCTTTTCTTTTGGAGCATCCCACTTTCCTGCTGAATCTTGGGTCCAGCCCGGGTAAAGCACATGTTTGTTTGGTTTTCGCCTTGGCGCAGCTCTGTCAAAGCAGAGCGGGCGTCCTTCTTGGCACAGTTGCTGGCATGAGGATTCCTGTAGCCTCCTTGAGCCAACATGGGGAGAGGTGGCGCTCTGTGACCTCGTGTCTGGGTCCGCCCAGTTTTGGCAGCGTGCCCTGCCCTTTCACATACAACTTGGATCCGCAGGTGTCATGACATGTCATGATGGACGTTACGTTCGGGGTGCTCTTTGATCTGCTCGGCCCGGTTTTTCGCGTGGGCTTGTCGAAGACAGTTGCACCAGCCGCAGCTAATTTAATGCTGAGTGCCTTTTCTGTTTGGAGCATCTCACTGTCCTGCTGAACTTAGTTAAGAAAGTTTCGCCTTGGTGCAGTCGCGGAAAATCATTGCGCGCGCGTCCGCCTTGGCACATTTGTTGGCATGCATTTGTTTTTTTCCTCAGCCGCAGTGGGCATGCGGAATTTCACCAATCCCTCGGCGGACAACTCAAAGGTTTCTGGTGGGACGTCCGAACCGAGGTGCCGAGAGAATTCATACCCATATTTCAGCCGTCACAGACGGCTTTTGAGGCATCAGCGGCGGCTTCATCAGCGGCTGCGACAGCAGGTTCGGGGAACATTCATGGCAATGTGACCAGCATGAACTGATCCACACAAGGAGTGTTCAGCAAGAGGCATGAAGGGGCGGTTTCATCTCCCCACATTTTTCCAGTTCGAGTTGATGAAACCCGGTAGACGTTTCATTTTTTTCCGAATTTCCTGGCCCTTCGGTGGATCTGGCTACCCTCCTGCCGCGGGTAGCATGCCAATGCTTCTCGGAACAATTGCACACTGGATTTTTGTTGTTTGATTCCATGGGCGTTTATTTGACTGGCGTGTCGAGTCAGCTGGACGGGGACGTTTGTCTGAAGGGAGCCAGCGTGTGAATCTTCGTGAGACACGGCCAACTGCCCCGCTGGGGGGCCGGCGAGCATGCCAAGTGGATGTTGGAATCGGTCACTTGAGATGTTTCATTTAGCTGTCCGGAACAAGGGCTGCATATTAGCCTATTGAGTTTCTGCAGCTGCTGTTTGCACACCATGTAGGGCTTGTTCTGCATCGTTCACATGCCCAGTGGCATGCGCTTGCACCATTGTTTACTTAGAAGCCAAGATGCTATCGCTTGGAGGAGTCGGACCCTAGTGTTTTGTTTTTTTCCACTTGCCTTTGTCTGCATGAAGCGTCAGGGCACCCGAGACACCCCCAATCTCTAAAACGCGGACAACTCGGTTCCTGGACTCCTTTGCATATGATATCGCATTGTTTCTTTTGCGGTGGGCTGCCGGGATACGGGCGGCAAATGCCAATCAACCGATGTGCCCAGCGTCTGGAACGAATGCTCTGCCCAGGCCCTCGCGGCCGGATACTGCAGAGCTTGCGTAGTAAAATGACTAGCAAGACTGCTAACACACGTAGCCCTTTCTGTGCTGCATCCTGTTCATGGTCATGTTTGTACGCGTAATGTACGCGTGGAGCTGGTGTGGCTAACAGCTCGGGAGGCAAATTGTGCCCGGGGTGCGGTGTGCATGTGATTTGGTTGATCATGCTGGTGCTCATTGTATTGAAGGCTTTCCAAGTTCCAAGACTTTGAACATTGTTTTTGCATATTGGCTCAACAATTGCAGCTGACAACAACAAATGTACTACGTGAATGTTTGCACTCTTGCTAAGCGCAGCTTCAACTGCGTTTTGGAAGCAAACGTGACAAGGAGCGCACCCTTGAGCAACAAGTCCAGCAGACAGACCCTTGGGCAATCATCATTGAGCGGAGACATCAGTATGGTTCCGCCGTGTGGCACCGACATGCGATGGATACCTTTGGAGGGCCGCTGGCCTCCCAAGTCAAAGGACTTTTGGAGGATGGGCCGATGTTTGACTTTGTTTGCGAGAGATGCTTCGACACGCACGCCCAAGAAGGCGTGGTGACGTTGCCGGCTGTGGCTCCTATGATTGAGGGCATTTTGCAGTCATTTGGCCGGCCGGTGTCATCCAGCGAGGTTTTTCAGGTTTGGACCCAGCACTGTGATCCAGACATGCACCACATGTCCCTGGCACACTTCAAGCCATTTCTGCGAGCTTTGCTCCAAGACAACCTCCGAGAGCTGCAACAGGAGCGTGCCAAGCACTCGGTGACACAAACCCTTCCTGCAACGCCAGCTGTGTTAGCGCCGCCGGCACAGCTACCGCTTCCAACCGCGCCAGCCGCAGTGGCGCCGCCTGCGCCGCCGTCAGCGCCATCTACGGCTGGCTACAGCGCAGCTTCCGCGAAGACCCGCCTGGAGCCGAAGGTGCAGAGCCCAGTGCGCCCAGAGCGTGGCCCTTCCCGGGGCAGATCGGCAGAGAGGCCGAAAGATGGCTCGAAACCCAAGAAGGCAGGCCCAAGCTCAAGCACGAAATCTGGAGAAGGCATGCCTTTGTCAGCTCCATCGGCTCCGTTGGCTCCGCCGGCACCGTTGGTTCCGGCTCCATCGCCAATCTCGCAGGATGCGCTGAGCCAAGCATACAGGAGCTTGCCAGGCCTGGAACTGCCAGTTGAGGCGGCCAGTCCCTGTGTCGCCGGAGCTTCGAGCATCTTCTCAACAGCGGCGGCTGCATTGGAGCAAGCGCAGGCTTGGAGCAATGCGCTGGGTGAGAAGATGTTGCTTGACTTGTACCAGAATAGAGACGCAAAATAAGGGTCCCCCTTACCCCGAAGTACTACGCCATTTGTGTTAGTGAAACGACCGACAACCGGGAGCCAGCAAGGCCCGTTGTTCGACAAATTGTCCTGCCGTTCTTCCTTCGCAAGATGAGTCTGTTGTTACCGGAGCCAGAGATGATGAAACTTGGAAAATGGGGGGGGGGGTCATTTGAGAGGCCGCTGGCTTGCATTTCGAAGAGTCCAGTTGCCAAAGCTGTATAAGTTGAAGGTTGAGTGCCAGTTAGTGCTGGCATCCTTTTTGCTTGCCCAAGAGGGGGATTCTCACTTATGCAACTTATGCATCACCAAGTCAAGCAAGAACTCAATTTCGTGAGGGCGTCGGTACCATACCCAAAAAGAAAACTACAATGACCCCAACGCGCACACCCAAACGCGCAGAGCGCGCCCCTGCCGCTCTTGAGGTTTGTGGATCCGGACTTCGCGCCGGAGATCGACCGAAAAGCCATGCTCTTCCCTGCAGGGGACTTGCCAGCAGAAGCCCTGCAGGGCTGTCCTGGCCATGAGCAAGTGCTGTGGCAGCGGCCCGGTGCCTGGCCCCAATTCAAGGCTTTGTGTTTTCTTTGCCCATTTACCGTGGCTTTTTTTTCTCACTTGTTTATTGCCATCAGAGCTTCTCCGTATCTTTTCTGGCGCACGCCGTACGTCAACATCGATTGTCCTTTGGGCCTACCTTGGGGGCTGAGGGCCGGTAAAAAAGGCTGTGGGGACGGGAGAAACCTGACGCAACTTGTTTGGCTTGGATGAGTTCGCTGGTGACCACTTGCAGCATTCGGCCCACTGGCTGCATTAATTAAATCACAAGTTTGCAAAACTGGCAAGCTTCCGCACCTCTGCTTTTGATTCTGCTCCTGGATATTCACAATTCTTGACCGAAGCGGTGCCTATTCTTCTGAAGGGCCCCCTTGGCCGAGTGAAGTGTGAACAGCCGAGTTGTATCCCCAAGAAGGTGGCACAAGGAGCAGCCCTGAAGCCTGGATTTTGCCCAGAAGACCTGTTCCCACTTACCTTGAGTTGCGAGCTGGTTCCTCCCTACTCTTTTCCCCAAGTTTGGAGGTTGCATCAGGAGCACTTGCGCAAAGCCGCTTGCGCACTGGCTTTCGTCCTCAAAAGCGTAGTGAAACCTTCCGCGTTTCAAGTCTGCAGCCCCTGGCAAGAAGGTGACCATGTCCTTTGCAAGAGTAACATCATCCTGCTGGATCCCCTTGTAGAGCAATTGGCTTTGGCTGCAGGCTCCCTCTATTTCCCTGTGGTGGTTTGAAGCATCACCTTCTGGGCCACTTTCACGTGAGTTTTGCTTTGTCCAAAGGGAAATAAGGGAGCCCTAAGTGCCAGCGGGCAATGCCCTGCTTTTGCAGAGCGTGCGTCAACCGCCCTACGCACCACTCAGTTTCGAATTGCTCCCACTCCCAGCCGGGAGCCCTGTCTTCATGCTGGTTCCTAGCAGGAAAAGGTTCACTTGCATTGCATCCATTTGCCCAAGTATATTATTTTTGTTTCCCCTATTAATGTTTAGAGGGAATCTATCACTACCGGAAAACATATAAAAGTATATATAATTATATATATATATATATATATATTTTTTTCCAGGGGGCTTAAGCCAATGGAAGAGGATTTTTCGAGAACTCAGGCGAGGCATGGCCTCGGTTCAGCTTCTGCGGTGAGCTCTCAGAGGTGCGCCTGGGAGTCTTCAGCGACGCCTGGTTCGTCACCGCGCTCTGCTCCTTATCCATGTGTGGCCTGGCTGCTTGGGAGTTTCGCGAAATGGCTGTGGCTCAAAAAAAAGGTACCAAAATGGAACCCTGGTAAGTGGAAACATGGACCAACACCTGCGTGACCCCTCCTGTTTAAATTTGACCCACTGCCAAATCTGGGAGGCCTTTTGGATGATGATGATGATGATGATGATGATGATGATGATGATGATGATGATGATGATGATGATGATTTTTGAATGGAAGCTGAAATCGCCAATCCCCACTCTTGTACTCTTGTCGGGCAGTTGTGTGGACGAGTGGCCAAACCACAGCCTGCGCGGATGAAACAGCCATTATTTTCTCCAGCCTGTTCCCTAGTAAATTAGTGGTTGTCAAACATACGGGTCCGTTGCAGTCGGTAGCTAGTCCGTAGGCAAAAAACTGAAACTTGCAACTTGCTTTCCAACTTGTTCCGGACGGTGGGCTCCCTAAACATTTGCTGAGGCCTGGATTGCTGCTTTGTTGTTTTGTTTTGGGCCCTAGCAGCCCTGACAAAGATGTGAACCTTAACATTGAGGAAGCCAAGAGCATACTGTGGCACTACCCGCCAGCTGAACATGGAATCAAAACAACATGTGTCCAAAATGGCTCGTATTCAGAATATGATTTGCCTTAGGTCCCAGGTGTCTTTTCAAGAGGGATATGCACGATTGCTGGTCAACCAACATGGATGAGGCCATTTTCTCCAAAGAAAAAGGACACGCACGAGTCTTTGTTTGTTTTCGACCTTCGGATTTTCGGAATCCGCCGAGGTGAGGAGCATCTGCTAGGGCACCCCTCGGGGGAGGAGCCGCTCGGGGTGTTCCCGCGGGTCTTTTGGAACCCGGACTTCCGCCAGAAGGGGATGTACTGCTCCTCTGGCGCTGGGTGATTTTTGTCGATGCCCTACTCCGGATGGACGAAATCCTGCACTACTTGGAAACCATCGGAAGCCATTTCATTGTTGGTATTTACAGGGGAATCATCATTCCACCGTTTCTTAGGTGGTGCTGGATTTCGTCCATCCACAGTATGGATGCACCAAATCCACTGCCCACCAGTTGGCCGGAGGTTTCTCAACGGCTTGAGGGTTTCATCCATCCCAACTGACGCAGAATTTGGCCCATCCACAGGCAATGAGCTTTCAGGGCCCCTTGTTTTTTGACTAGCTTTCCCACGTTCATTGACCTGAGGCTTGGGGATGATGAGAGGTGCAGTATGCCCGAAGCATTGCAAGTAGGGGGAAATATGAAGCTGACAACTGTAAATGTTTCGTGATCTGCCAGGGTTTGTGGGAATGTGTGGTTTACTTGCGAGTCTTGTTGGGGCCAGCATCATACGCTTGGGCCCCTTGGGTGTTAAACCTGCCTGGGTCATGATGATTGCCCAGTGCAAGACCTGCTTTGCATCTAAGGGATTGGCGGGTCGGCGCTTTTGTGGAATTCCAGCCCTTCAGTCCTTTTGCTGGGCACCCCTTTCCTGAAACGGTCAGAAGGTGCATCGTTCCCTGAGGTTTCAGGTTTTTCAAGCACGGGCAGTGGCAGTACGTGGTGGTGGACGACCGGCTGCCTTTCGACCGGCGCCTCAGATGGAAGCGCGGACCGGCCTTTGAACCATTTGACCTTTAGGTTTTTCTATCTTGGCATTCGATTCCAAAAGTCTACGTGGGTGGGGAACAAACATATAACCCAAAATAGAGCTCTGGTAAATGTAAACATGGGCTAAGACCTGCAATCCCCTAGTGACTTAGTGGGTGAATTGACCCATATCCATGTTGTGTGTCCCCTGTCTTTTTGAATTGTGCTTGTGTTTTTCAAAGTCAAGGCTCCCACAAGGCCAGGCATGACTTGATCCCCAGGTCATTTGTCCAGATTGCACCCTTCGATGTAGCAGTTTTCCCCCCAAAGTCAACGTTCCCAAAGTTGAACTTATTATTTGTAGTAAAGCTACAGTTCCCAGAAGTTCTTATGCGCTTATTTCCACATGGTGTTTCCCCGAAGTCCAAGGAAGGCCCAAAAGGTCAACGTTCTTTTTCTTGCGGCCCTTTTGCCTCCAGGAAATCCAAGGAGCCGCTCTTCTCGCACACGCTGGGCTTAAACCAGGAGCCGCAACTCTGGGTGGCCCTGATGGAGAAGGCCTATGCCAAGCCCCTCGGCTTTGAGCTCATTGGCTTCGAAGTTCGAAGCTTGGCGGGGGATTTGCCCCCTGTCCAAGGCTCCATGGGGCCTACTTTGCCCTCTGGCTGGGCCTTGTGGATGATGCCCTCGAGGATTTGACCTCCTGGCCCAGTGAGAAGCTGCAGCTGTCCAAATATGCCAAGAGCGAGTCGCGGGATGAGCCTCAATGTTGGTGATTGTTGCTGTCCATCTTTTGAGAAATCTCTGTGTTTGTTTGCTTGCTTGCTTGCTTGCTTGCTTCTTTGCTTGCTTTGCTTTGCTTTGCTTTGCTTTGCTTTGCTTTGCTTTGCTTTGCTTTGCTTTGCTTTGCTGGTTGGTTGGTTGGTTGGTTGGTTGGTTGGTTGGTTGGTTGGTTGGTTGGTTGGTTGGTTGGTTGGTTGGTTGGTTGGTTGGTTGGTTGGTTGGCTCTGCTGGCGGAAAGCCGGCGCCGACTCATTGAGATACGTCCTGAGTGAGGACTTGTGGTGCAACCTCAGCCTGGAGTTGGACACTTGCTCGGTGGTTTGCCTCCGAGCCGACGCGGGGAACGGGAAGGGCGACATGGTGCAGCTGGACCCACGGAGTATCGGCCTGGACTCCCACCCGGACGCGGGCCTCTTCTGCACCGGCATCCACCGGAGCCACGGCACTGGGTGTTCAGTTGCCATGTGTCTTCGTGGTGGGGTAAAGTGGAGTTTATTTGGCCCTGCGAGGCATGCATCCAGCTTGCAAGTCCGGGGGTGAAATGAGAGACCCCAGGCTAGATGCCTGCATCATTCGAGTAAAGGTCCAAAAAGTTTGAAGTTTAATTGAGCCAGTCTGAGCCATTATGGGTTACACATTCAAGTGGTTTGCTTGTGAGTTCCCGGTGCTGGATCAACAATGACAACCAAATGTATTTCGTATGTGGGGGCTGTATAGTTCCATCTCTGGGACCTGTTGGGTCGCTGAATTGCCCGTGGTTTCAATTTGCCTTTGAGCAGATAAGCGGAAGTGAAGGTGGTTTGCTCTGCACCCAGATGCGTCCTTCGGAAGAGTGTTTCGCTCAGGGTGTCGCTGTTCATGGCAAAAGGCATTGCCATGCCCGCCAGCCGGCGTAGACGGGCTTGGACTCCTTTGCCTCCGAGGCACTCACTCCTTACATTCCTCTTGGGCTGTTTGGACCAAACGCTCAGAAGTTGTCTTTGGCTATCGCAGCGCGATGGTGACTTCCAATTTGTGGATGCCGCACTTTTCCTCCGAAGTTCGCTTGGGATTCCACCCCCCCAAATATATATATATATATATAACAAAATAAACATCAAGAAAACAAACAAAAACAACCAGGATCCACCCCAAAAAGAATCATCGGCAAATGTGGCGCATCCAGCCCTAGGAACTGGGCCTATCCCTTGCTGGCCCTGCGAGCGGCCGTCTCAGCCGGCGCGGCTGGGGAGCAGCTGGTGCGGCTGCGGTGCTTCGGGGAGGGCTGGCATGGGCCCTGGGGGGACCAGGACCTTGCCTGGAGCCAGGCTCCGCTGGAGACCTGGAGCGAAATGCGAAGCGTTTGGCTTGCTGTCTTCTTCTTTGTTTTTGGGGGGGGGAGTCTCAAAATAGGACCCGGACGCTCATGAGAATGGATGGTTTCCTTCGCTTTGCCTTTAGTTTCCCTTTGTTTCCTTTGGCTCCCTGTTCCCTTTCGTTTCTTCTAGTTGCCTTTCGTTTCATTTGGTGTCCTCTGGGCTGGGTTTCCTTTGGCTTCCCTTTCCCAAGCCAAGCAAGTGTCAATATGGTGGGAAATTCCCAGTGTGTCAGAATTTGTGAATGGTTGAGGCCTTCTAAAAACAGGCTTATTAAAAGGGGGGCTGGGGGAAGTCTTCTTTGATTAGTTGGCGCTCACCCCCTTTTTGGCAGAAACACCCAACCTGACCCCCTAGTAGGTTTTGGGGATGGTCCCCCACCAAACCTTGTGCAGGGCGGACCATTCTTTGCATATTCGCGTGTGGGCTCCGCTCCCTTCCAAGTTCAACCAAGCAGAGCAGATGCCCCTTTTTCCCCATGCCCATTGGCCAACTAGTCCTGACGCGTTGCTTCAGTCTTCTTCTCCTGACATTTCCAGCTTGAGGGTGTCGGGGCTTTTGGTTGTCCGGTGAAACCAGATGGAGTTTGCACTTGGGTGCGAGAGGGTGGTCACCTATCGCCCTGGCGCGGTCTCTTCCAACAAGATTTGCGCATTCGATCACATTTACGAGATGTACACAGATCAAGCATGTTACAGTGTTTGGTTAGCTAGTGCTCGTTTTGCGTTTTCAGTTTCTAGTTTCCTGTCCGGGACATTGGGACCCATTTTGCGAGGTCCTGTGCCCAACCACTTTCCGGTGCTTCAAAGGCAACCCTTATTCATGCTTTTTGTGGGTATCTCGCTGCGGTTTAGGATGTGGGATCCTTCCATCCTCCATTTTGAACAACCCAACTTACAGACTCACCCTGTCATTCGTTGCAGTTTCTCCCCTTTGTTTCCTTGGCCCTCCTTGCGGGATGGCCTCGGGGAAGGGTCAGGGTTCCACTTCCGCGCAGATGGCATCCGTTGCAAGTCTGCCAAGGAACTGCTCCACCAGCTGCAGGTCAGCGTTCCGGCAGATTTCATCCCCTCCTGCAGCGCCAGCCGCCTGACTTCAAGAAGCAATGGTTTGAGCTTTCAAATTCGCCCTTACATCGGGACCAAGATAATGTCACGTGTTTTAGTTAATTATTTATTGATTCAATCGTTCATTATTTCTCTCTGTTTCTCTATACATATGTACACATGATGCAACACATGGATAATTATATATATATATATATGTGATGTCCACGCTTCCGCTCTCCGGCGTGGAACCTCACAGGGGGTTCATGGGGGTTCCTTGCAAGAGGATTTTTGTCTTCCAGGCGCCTTCCAACTGCCATGTTAGTGGGAGGGAGGGTATGCGAATACCCCTCCCGCCCCCGCCAAACACAAGAAACATGGACCCCCTCCCCAAAAGAAAAAGGACAAAAGGAAAAAAGGAAAAGAAAGAGCAATGAACAAAGACACCCCCCCCACCCCCCCACACACACACAAAACGCGAACAACGAGCCCCAAAACAAGCAAAGAGGCCAAAACACGTTTGAACTGTCAGCCCTTTGGTTTTGCTCCCCAGGCAAAACTTCCCGCCTCGACGCGGTGCACAGCTCCATCCTGCGCCCCGTGATGCCTCTTCAAAGGAGGAGCTTTGCGGCTCGAGCATGTCTGACCTCCCGTAGTCTTTTGTAGATTTACATGATTTACGTGTAACACGCCACGTTATGCGTAGAGAGGAAGTGGACCCGCTGTTTGGAATCCATGCCGATTTTTGTTCGGGGGTTATGCATGGAACGGGGCATGTGCGTGTGTCCCAATAAAGGCACCTATGCACAAGGGAGATCATTGGAGAGGGGGGCAGTGAAAATCAAAATGCGCTAGGGTGGAGTGTCTCATTCCACCGCTTGTTCCGGTTGCCTCGCAGTTGTTGGGATGGCCATCCTAAGCCTTCCAGAGTGTCCGCCATCACTTCTTTTTGTTCCCATAGATGGTCGGTTCAGCCAAGTATCTGATCGTGCACGGCGTTTTCCATGCTCACCTCGTGGTCAGAAGTCTTTAGCCCTTTGCACTGCAGCGAGGCAAGCGAAAACGTTGGACAACCTTGAAGGAGCGATGAGCAAGCCGAGTGCCACGATGGGACCTTCTTCATGCGCTTCGATGACTGGCTGCAGGCGTTGACGTGTACTTCGCTTTGCGCCAGAATCAGCTTTTTCTCGGCTTCTTCAATGGCTCCTTTGCCAGCCAGTTCTGCCGAACTGGTCAACGCCTTTCTCTCCCATAAAAGCCACACCTGCTAGGTGATGGGGTTTTGCAGCCTTGCACTTTCTGGGCTTTAAGGCCATTGTCTTGGTCTGCACTTTTTGTTCCGTTTTTGTCTTGCCAGGTCTTCAGCCACGTGCTCTTGTGGCAGCCCCTGCGGGACTGGAGCTGCCTGCGGGTGCACGGCGCTTGGGCCGCGGAGACCTGCGGGGGGACGCCCATCCCGGTGATGCAGCCGGTGCTGGCGACGCTGGAGTCCTGGGCCCGCAACCCCCAGTGCAAGCTCAGGCTGGACACGGAGGCGCTGGCCTTAGACTTGAGCTGGAATCTGAATCGCCCACGTTTTGTGTTTTGTATTTTGTTGAAAGAAGGGGGGTTAAGAAGGGGAAGTTAATTAACAACAAGAGAGTGGTGATTCTGCGACGCTTCCTGGTTTGTGCCTTTGTGTTTTTGTGTTTGCGCGCGTGTGCCACATGAACGCTCGCGTGTGTCTACATGGGTTTTTGCTTTGCGAGGGCGAGGTGGAGCTGCGGGTGACGTTGCATCAAGAAGATGCGCGCATCAACGGAAGCGCACCGTTTCCTTTCGAGGAGCAGCTCCGGCAGATGTTTCTTTGCGCCACTGAGCTGAAATGAGCCCTTTTGCCTTTCTGACTTTTCCAGTGGGACGTGCTTGCGATTGGCATGGTTTACCTGACAAGCCGCATTGTTCCAGGCACTTTCTGGTTAGCTGCCAGCGCCGCATAGCCCATCAGCCCCAAACCAGAATCTGAGGGACAAACGGGATGGGCGGCTGTTTTTTTGTTTAGCCTGTTCAGGTGATGCTGCTCGATGAAGCCGAAGACCGACTGCAGGTCTTTGACAAGAAGCGCATCGTGCGCCGCAACGGGGCGAGCGCGGCGAGCCTCCTCAGCCGGCGCCGGTCTGTGATGCTGCGGACGGCGACTGAGCCGCGAAGGGAGCCTTTTGGATCTTTGTTTGTTTGTTTTTTTGACCCTCCCAACTAACATGGAGCCCACCAGAAGGCTCCTGTAGGATGTGTTGTCTTCCAGGGACCCCCAGTCAGATTCCATGAGCGTGTGTGTGTGTGAGGGTACCTAATTGAACCCCTGTAGTGAGGTTCTGCCCAGTCCCGGGACCTATGTGGTGGTGCCTTCCATTTGGGAGCCTGAGCTGGCTCAGGATCAGCAAGCACCTACGTTTTCGATAAGAACGTGTTCTTGGCTGCCTCGTTCTTTCCTCATTCTTCCAAGGTGTATGGGGTTAAGCAAGTTTGGCATGCCGCGTTTTGGTTGGTTTAGCGGCGGCGGAAGGGCCTTCGGTCCCTGATTTGATCAAGCCTCTCCAACGCCACTGCCGCCTTAATCCATGCACAGATGTTCATTGGTGTGTGGCTGCGCGTGAGGTAAAGTTTTTGCTGACGCTGCACTTGCGCTGTGACCCTGAGAAGTTTGTGGTGGACGCGCCGGAGTCAGAGGGATTCAAAAGCTCGCACGACGGCCTTGAGCCTACCCTAAGAATTCCTGCAATGCTTCTCCTGTGAAGACCAACCATGTCCCATGGATTAGGTGTAGAATTTGGTCAATCCACAGCACAATGGCTTCAAATTGGAGCAATCTCGCCTGGATGAAGCCGAGCTTCAGGATTCGTGTGCGTGTAAGCATGTCGGTGTTGGCTCGTAACTTGCTGCCCCCCTTGAATTCAAGCAGAACACAAAACACACTCACACACCAAACAGAGTTTAATCCCCTCAGGTAGAGGACTTGCGTTGTTGATAATTCACAGCCGTTAGCTGGCTTGGCCGAAGGGCCAGTGGACTGATCATGGCTTTGCTTACGCTCTATCCTCATGTGTTGTTTTTCCTGGTTGCCATTTTATTCTTTGCATGATCTTTGAGTCCCAGTTGTTGCTGCCATCACCGAACTTCATGCGGCGCTCGGTTTGCAGAATTCACGTGGGTGGTTGCTTTGTCATTGAGACCCCGCGTTGTGTTTTGCTGCTCTTTAAAGGGGCCAACAAGCGGGCCCCATCACGTTGACAATGGCCACGCCCGTTGAATGTCGGCTCAGTTGTAGTTTCGACTCGTTGGGCACGTGGCACACGCCATGTCCGACGCCGATGTGTCACCCGAGCCGGAGAAGCCCCCTGCACGCGACCATGCGCAGGGCTACGTGCCCTGCTCGATTGGGATGGTGCCCTCCGCTTTGCTGGACACACCGTGTGTGGCTCCAAAGAAAGTCTTCACCCATCTTGATACCTGTTTGGTCAAGTGGACAAGGGACAGACCTTTTCGAAAAGACTAGCGTCTTCCAAACCCCTCCTGTCCATTTCCATGGTGGGAAGCAGGGTGCCGCACACATGTTTGTCTCTGGACACATTGCGTTGCCTCGCGCGGCTTGCACTCTTCCTCTTGCCTTGCGAACCGAGGTGGGGTTCCTCTATGAGGAGGCCTTTAGGGAACTCTATCAGCCGCCGGAAGAAGCCGAGGAAGCCCCAGAAGGCCCAAAGCTCAGGGGGCGTGCACATTGTTGCGCGCGCATTTGGGTGTCTTCAGTTTTTTGTGGTGCCCTCGGTGGTTGCAAAGGGGGACCAAGGGGAAGCCCATTATGGGGAACCCCTTGCTCGTCCCATGTGGCCGTGGTCAAAACCGTTTTGGGATCCCATTTTGGTTGGTAGGTGAGTTCACCACCCATAGGACCCCCATTTTGGTGCTTGGATTGGGTCCCGTTCACTGGCTAACCGATTTGGATTTTGAAAAGCCCGCGGCCTGGGATTTCCTCCTGAAACCCATGGACAAAATTGCAGAGTCTGCTCGGAGGAGGGGATGCTGCGGCTCCTTCCCTGGATGAGATCAACCTCAACAAGGCCTGTGGGGCACAAACACCTTTAAAGCAACCACGGCTTGGTTTAAAGCAGAAGCAGTTTGGGAAGCCAACCTGTTCTTTTTGCACATTTTTGGGCCCAACTATGGGAACTCGTGAGCACCATGGGTTGCCGTCTTGCTCTTTGAGGTAGACTGCATGGAAGCAGTGAAATCAATCTTTGGGATGGAGCCACTGGCCATATTGCAAGGGTTTGCACCTTGAGGGAAAATGCCGGAGATGGACGGGTTTTGCCTCAGGCGCTGGTGTTTCAGGTGTTGATTTGGGACGTCAACATGCATCGAAGAAGAGGTCCCTCTTTTGGTTGGTTCCCTTTGTTTGTCCTTGGGGTTCCACCCCGAAGAAGGTAGCCACTCCAGAAAAGACACGCCCAGGCCGTTTTTGTTTCCCCGCGAAACCAAGCAGAGCACCAGGAGGCGGATCAGATCAAGGCGGTCCAAGAGCACGTGGCCGCGGAGCAAGATCGGCTCGCGCAGCTTCAGGAGAAGCTCCAGACCCAGTTGGGCGGTGCCAAGGAAGGCGACCAGCAGGACGCCTTCGTCCCTGGGGAGTGGTGAATACGCGCCGTGGTGGTTTGCCGAGCTAGCAAATGCGGAAATTCACCGGATGATGCTCATTTTTTGCGCAACTGGACTTGGGGGACGCATAGTTGAGTGGGGTTGACCTTGGAGACAGCTGCTTTCCAAGTTGGCCAAAGACCCAAGTCCTGAACAGGTATCATATTGGAAGTGGGGGAGGGGGTCCCTAATTACATGTTACATGGATGACGGCCAGCAAGAGGAACCAATTACTTGCTTGTTTTCAGGCAGGAACGAGGGAATGACCCGTAAACTGAACCGTCACCGGGTGGTTCCCCTCAAACAAGTCCCGACTGAGATACTGAGAGCTAGCAAGGTCCAGCTACAAACAGCTTCAGCAAAAGCACTTTGCGCATTCTGGCTTTGGCCCGTTAAATCTGGATATGTTTATTTTCTTTTTGGGGGGGACCCTCCATTTTGGGCTCCATTGTCCCCTTGTATGGGGAAGACGGGATATACGTGGATTTGGAGCGTCCGCTTTCCGATTTTCAGGAGGCGGAGGAGTTGCTGCGGAGATGGGGCCTGGTGATGCGGGAGCAGCTGCCCGTGCCGGAGAGCCGGGGCCTCACGGCTTTCTTTTCCCCAATGTCTAGTTTGGGCGATGATCTTCCATTTGCTGAAGAGTATTGTTACCCCTCAGCTGACCCCAACCGTACAAGAGAATGAGAAAGGTTGCTTTTTCACTGTTTTTTTTTGTGAGCCTCCCAGCCTTACTAGTGAGCCAACTCTTCTAGTAAAGGCCAGGAGGGTTATTCCGTGTTGTGGGAAACCCTGGTCGATCCCAAGATCCCTGTTATTTGAAGCGCCACAAAACCAATAAACCCGTCATTTGTTTGGTTGGACTCTTCCCCCTTTTTGGGGCCACGTCAGATGCGTGTGAAACCATACAAGTTTTTTTCCCAAGGCAAGGAAGTCTCTGAAAGGCTGACTAGGGCTAGGATAAGCAAGCCTGTGGCAATTTTGGGGTGCCCTTGGCCTCAGAAACCGCATGCTTTCACCCTCGTGGCACGTCCATGTTTTTTGAAGATGGCTTCCACCACCCCAATCCACTGCCCCCGGATTCAATAGGATATACACCCTTTGCATAGTGACTAGCGGCTGTGTATCCCTTAAAAGCCCTAAGCGGTTTGGGGGTGGCGATGGAAACCATCGATTTTCGGCAGGCAAGCTGAAGCACATGGTGGATCGCGAGGAGCTGGACCGGGAGGGCCTCATCGCACCGTGTAAGCCTTAGTGTCCGCCAGTTGGAGGGTATCCCCCACTGAAATCCTCAGCCTTGTCGGTTTTCGTGTTGGTTTCCCTCGAAATGCCACTAGAGAAGGGGGTGCTATTTTTTACGGCTTGTTGGAGTATTTCATTGCACATATAGCCGGCCCCTCGAGAAATCTAGGTTTGCCTTTTGGAGGTATGCCCAATTCGTCTCCAGGCAAATGTGGGCAAGGACAACCCGGTAAGCCCCAAATTTGGGTTTGTCTCCAATGCTTGGCCCAGAAATTGTTCAAATGCCCTATCCTGCCAGGCGAGGCATGATGGAGGACATGGAACGCTTCTATGACATCAAGAAGGGCACCGTCCCCCAGCATGACAACTTGTTGGCCATCTCCAAGCCGGAGGACACGGGGTTGAACATTGCATGAAAAGGGGGCTGCGTGCTTCCCAGAAAGTGACAGGATCCCTGTTTTTCTGGCCATCCCTATTCGTCAACCGTGGGTTGGTTGCAATGTAGCTGGAACTTCGAGCTGCACAAAGTTATTCCTCAAGCATAGATGCGAGCCCTGCAGGTAGGTTTGTAGGACCTGGTTTCTATGGGCCGGTTGTTTTGCAGTTGGAAACGCCATCAACTACACAGACAGCACTGGCAACTTATACAGAAGCCTTTGTGATAAAACTATTCAGCGGCGATTTGTTTCTTCCAGGGAACCGCCCCTGGCTAAGCATGTTGGACGGCCACATGTGGGGTTACCCTTCGGAAATTTACATATAGAAAGAAGACTCCAAAAAAAACAACTATGTGTAGTCCGGACCTTTGCTTTGCTGGCTGAACGGGCAAAACCAACCACCCGAAGGGGGTACCTAATTTGGACAGGCTCCCCTTTGCCCTCCCCTCCCCCAAGAAAGAAGTGCCTGTCGAATGAATCCTGCCAAGAGGTGGGGGGAAGGCCCTGGGCTACCGGCATGGCCATCTTCGGCCAGGAGCCCAACCACTTCAAGATGACGAAGACGGGGCAGCTCCGAGCCGAAGCCATCAAGGCCTCGCTGACTGAGCGCTTGCCTGACTCGCCAGGGTTGAGCAAATCTGGCTGGCCCGGCTATTTTTTTGGGAGAACGGAGAATCCTCAGGGTGGATGTTTCAACACCAGCGGCTTAAACATGTGAAGTTGGTTGGCTCTTTGGGGAAAGCAAACGGCCTCTCATGCTCCCGGGGGGCACTCAGCAGAAGGGGAGTCTAACGTTGCACCGCTTGAATTACCGGAAACCCACCTGCCAAACCAGCCATTTAAGAACTTCCCTCTAACTTTCGAATCCCAGAGTATGTTGGGTGGTTGGCTTGCATTTCTTCCATTCCCCAATTGGACTAAATCAAGGCTTTCTGGGGATGCCATTCTTGGACTTGTTGGGTAAACTTATGCATGATGCGAGTTGCCATGATGATGTTGGTTTCCCTTTCGTTTTTGTTGCTGGGCCTTCGGTTTGATCCTTCCTTCGGCACCACTTAGCATCCCCAAACGCGCTTTGAGCACCAGGTGAAGGCCACATTGACGGGGGAGCAGAAGCAAGCCATCACGGGTGAGCTGGAGGCAGAAGCTGCATGCCCCTGATGTTCGCATTTGTTCGCCAATGTGGTTGCATTTCATTGCATTCTTTGCGCCTGTTGTGTTTCTAGATCGTGCCCTTTTTACCGTTTCTTTTTTGGGGGACGGTTCCAAAATAGACTACAGAAAAAAGGGTACCCTTGTTCTAACCTCTCTACTGGAGAACCTAGGTTTACCCTTTGGCATTTCTTGGTGCATTTGTCCCATTGATTGGGAGACAATGGGCGGCACTCACCCAATCATCAACAGCCGGCCAGTGCTGTATGAGTCTGCAGGGGGCATATGTTTTGGTTGAAAACGCGGTTCGATCCCATCCTTGATATCCTCTGGAATTTCGTTAGTGGGGGGGGCCGGAAGAATGACTGCCTTATTTTGTCGCCTCAGCTGCAGAACAATCTTGTGGCCAAGAGAAGTGAGCAAGCAGCCATCCAGCACTTGAAAATCAGAGGCAGCCCTTTGTTTGAGACAGATCCGGCCATCAGTTTTGCTGGTAAACACGCCCACCCATGTTCACCCTCTTTTCTTCCGATGGAACTCCCCAGTTGCTTAGGGACCTTTCTGTATTCCGAGGCACTTCGGGTCCCGTCACCGACACGCGCAGGAGAGGCTGAGAAAGCGGCCCCGGATGCCTGCGGGCCTTAGCGCCGATCAGAAGGCCAAGAACCGCGAGATCGTGAAGCGGATGCAGATGAAGGCGCGCTCGGGCGGACGTCGACTAGGACAGCCGGGAGCCGGGAGGCGATGGTTTGGATTCTTTGCTCTCGGAAGCTGAGGGCTTTTGGCTTTGAGACGGTTTTGAACACGGATTTGGAGTCCAAAAATTTTCGGGGGGAAAAAAAGGGGCTTAAGGCCCGGCCGTGCGGCGTCCATTTCACAACGGCATCCTGAATGCCTTGCAGGCGATGCCTCGCTTTCAAAGAAAGCCACCAGTCAGTGGGCGTACGGATTAGGTGTCCGGCCTAACGCCCCACATCCATATGTGCCTCGGACTCGGCGCTTGCGGTCCTGTCAGGTGAACTTTCTGAAGAATCCGCGGTTTCTTGCAGATCGGAGCGGGAAGGACAAGGGCGAGCCCTGCCCCTTCTGGCCGCTGTCTTAAGGCATTTGTCCAGGATTTCCAGCAGACCTCTGCTTGACGGTGGGGCAAGAAAGGTATAATGTGTAAGGCCCAGGTGCCTCTCCCAACATGTTCCAACCCTTGCGGGCACGCCTAGGTTTACGCCTGGCACGGTGATGTTCCGCAGCTACGAAGTGGGCGGGCTGTACCAGATCCAGGCCCCGGATTCCGGCGTTGAACTTGACTTCCCCACTTGTGTTGAAGCGGGGCCAGTGCTCAAGAAAGGTCGGGAATGTCAGGAAAGCCGTGGCTCAAATGAGGTCCGGGGGTGTCTGGGCTTCATGGCCATGAGGTGTTCCCGCATGAAATTGCCCCAGCCAGGTCGAATTCCGGAATATCACGGGCATCAGCCGGCGATTGCGGGTGATGCCCTGCAAGAACCCGGCCTTTTCCATCAAGGAGCTCCATTATGACAAGGACCTGCAGTCTTTGGCTTTTTGTTCTCCAGGAAGGAAGATGAGAGCATTCCACCAGGTACTGGTGGGGAAGGCAATTTGAGAAGGCCCTAGCACTGTGAGCGCACGCATGGTTGGGGGACTCAAGTGGTCGTTAACTGGTTGCTTGCTAGGGGTCACCTCGGGGCAAAGTGAGGGTTAGTCAGCGCTTATGGATCTCAATCATTGACCCGGCTTGACTATCCTTTTTGCTGTGCCTTGGTATTGCCTTGGTATTGCTTCATTTCTCACTTTGCATTGGGGACCGTTCTGGCCATGCGAGGAGATCAACTCCCAACGGCCGGAGCTGGTTGGTTTGGATCCCCTGGCTGCGGTGGTCGCCCCGGGCATGGCCGCACACCTCGTGGTGTGCCTGGGCGAGGTCTCTTGATACCCCGCCCATCCACTCCGCCCCATACTTGGAGTAGCCTTGGGAAAATGTTGGCCCGCGGATTGGAAGCGGCAACATGTTGGGACGCCAGAAATCCGAAACATCCAGGGCGTCCAAATCATGTCCTGCCATCACTCATGCTTCGATTTCACGCATTGTTTTTTGGGCATGCCTAGTCACAAAGGCCAGGGCCTGACCGCAATTGACGAGATATTACAAGTTTGTTAAGCCCATGTTCATGACAGATGTCTGTTTATCAAGTACCTAGCAACCTCCTTCTACAGCTGGGTAATCTTGGCAGAATTCTCCCCATTTGGTTCAGTCACCCCACCTAAAGGGCATGCCATTTGTGCTCACGTCGCTGGCCCCCGCCCGAGGCAGTTTGCGCCGAGCACGCTGAACGACCAGAACGAGTGCCTCACCGTCTGCACGGAGATCGGGGACTTCGACCTGCAGCTGCTGTCTAGAAGGGCAACGCGGATCAATGGCCCCTCCCCAGTGACTCAGTGGATGCAGGTCCAACCAGCCTCGACCACACAAACATGGCGCAACTTACAGTAGTCATGTTGGGTGGATTTGCGCTTCCTGGTGCCCTCACTTGTGGTATCTTGCAGTATTTGGGCATCCACCGCACGTAACCCCGAGCAGGGACCTTGCTTTGTAGCACCCTTTGTGGGTGCAAGGAAAACCATGTATCTCTGACAGTGCCGGGAATGGGGCCGCCTCACTCAGTCAAGTGTGCAGGTGGATGAATCTGTTGCTGCTATGTTTTCTTCCCTGGTTTTTGCGACCTGTGAAGGTGACCGCTGTTTGGGAACGCGCACCTACAAGAAATAATGCTGCCACCCCACACCCCACCCCCCCTCCCACAAAAAGAAAGGAAGAACGGAGATAAATAAACACGACATGTTGATGTCCAGCATCATTTTTCCTCATCCTAGCTTCAATGTTTCTAAGCAGGGGCGTTGAAAGCTAGTTTGCCAAGAAACTTTTGGGGTCATCAATTAAGAGGTAAGCATTGACTCCCCACTTGAAGCATGCAAGAACGTTCTTACCACGTTGCCCGAATGCCTGCAAAGCACTTGCCCACGGCAGTTCCGCTTTTGACATCCGTTGGCCAGGAAAAGCCCTACCTAAAGATCGCGGACCCCGTGGACTGCGGGTGCATGCTGGCAGGCTGGACAGGGATACCCAGGCTACCTAGGTGACCGAACCGACCCTCAGTTTTTTTGTTTGAGGCATCCGTAGCTGCCATGGCCAGTTTTTGTTTACCACTTCGGCCTGTCCGGCAGGAAACAACATCACCGAATTGGTGAGGGTTCAGAACACAGGAGGTGAAGGAGCCTTTAGACTGATTGTCGACGAGAACGAGCCGCCGGAGGACTAGTCTTGCAATGACACCAATTTACACCAATTTGCTGTCCGGGTTGGTCTCCCATCAGAGGCAGTTCAGATGCGGAGGGTGACTGTGCCTGAAGTTTTAGGGTTTGGGGTGTAGAATTAGCTGAGTGGCTTTCATATTGCAGGTGTACTTTGCGAAGCTCGTTCCAGTATATCATACTTGCTTTGCCGGGCTCAGTTTTTTGGTATTGCGCTAAAGTTGCTGGATTTCAAGGTGCAAGGAGTTAGGATGCTTTGGGGCGGGGGGGAGGGGGAGACTTTCACTCACCTGCTATGCGAAGCCGAGTTGGCGCATCGAATCACGGCAGCGCAAGCAATGCAGCGGCACGCGCACGGAATTTCTATACCTGGAATGCCGTATGGTCATTTTTTTGTGGATGCCAGCCGTATTTGGATCGTTTCTCCCGTATGCCATGTTTTCTGGTCGGTGGCCGTATTTGCCCGTATGCAACCGGTATTGTTTCAACAAGTTGTTGACAAAAAGCAGTAAATTACCGTATGCCTAGTTTTTTTTGTTTGTTTAGTTTTTTTTTTTTTTTTTTTTTTTTGTGGCCCAAGCCGTATAAACAACGTCACATGCGGGTTTCCAGGTACAATGTCTACAATCAGCCAGGGCCAATAAGTATCAAAATATCAACAAGCGCCTTTGTTTTTGTGTTTGGGGTTCCCTTTGCCTGCCAGAGTCTGTGTTTTCCATTTGTTTTCTCAAATGTTTGCTTGTGCTTTGTAGGTGCCAAACAAGGTACGCCTTCCCCCTTGTCCCCCTTCCATGAAGTCCACCTTCCGGAGGACTACTATTATGAGTCCTTTCCCGACTCGGCCCCAACGCTGGTGGTGGGGTCCTTCCGCGTTTCACCCGCGTCCTTCTACATGGACGCGAACTCCTCGGTGGAGCTGAACGTGCGGTTTGAAGCCGACAAGGTCGGTGAACAAACACGTGGCCGCTCTTGGTTTTGTCGCCCAAAAGGACACACGTTTGTTGTTTGCTTTGTGCAGGTTGTTTTTCCTCCTTGCGACTCTAGGGCGGGTTTAACACTCTTTAAAGGACCGCCAAAGGAAACGCGTTGCTTTTTTGAGTGAAAGTGGGGATGGCGCCCAGAAACAAGCATGGAACCCCACGACCGCGAATGGAGGAATCTTCTTTTAGGCGCCCCTTCGGGCGCCGCCATTGTTTCACAGCGATTCAAATGGCATGGCTAATGGAAGGCTTCCACGAATCAGCAACTGCACGCACAATCTGGCCGTCTCAGCCCCTCTTCAATTCCTTGGGTGCGTTGCTCCAGGCTCACCCCACAGCAACCCACAGAATCGCAATTCAGTGCTTGGGTTGCAACGGGGGCTAGCCATCATAACTTAAACGAACAAGGGGAGGGATTAATAGGGTGGAGGGCGACCCTTATATGTTCCATGTTCATGTTGGGACTGACTAGGTAACACACATTTACAGTAGCCTGCGGGCTTTTTCATGCTTCGCAGCACATGATGGAAGGTTGCATTTATGCAGGCGTTTTTCAACACAACAAGTTAGGCATATCAGTTTCCAGCCTAATCAGCACCCAGAGCTTCCTTAACGGATTGAGGGCAATACAGTACATGGTTGTGAACATATCCCTGCCATAGCATGTTCCATCAAGTTAAATGATGAACTCGACCAAAGGGGATCTGCCCTCAATCAAAATGACATGTTTTGTACTGTGCTTTTGTCAGGGGTCGACATCATATCCACAATGAGTAGGGACCTTTCGGCATTTCAGATCCAGGCGATACCTTGTTTCGCTTGACTAGATGCAAGATTTGCCAGGACAACAACGAGTGAATAACGACCTCGATCTTTTTTTGCTTTTCCCAGTCCACTTTTTGATCCCTTTGGACCGAGGTGGGTCACCACCGCTGCCCTTTGTTCGTGGAGGGCAACGACGGGGTGCTGACGCCTCTGACGCTGGTGGCGGTCTGCGACGCCGTGCGCCTGGAGTTGGCCTCGTGGCCGGGGGCCGGGGATCTGAAGCCCACGCCTTGTGTGGAGGGCACCTCGCCCTGGCAGCGCCACGGCCGGTTGGGGGGAAGGTCGGGAAGGTTGGGGGGGGCGGGGCCAAAAGGGGGGGGATTGTGTGGGGCCGTTAAGGGGAACAGGGGGAACCACGAGAAGGGGCTTTTTTTTTTGGGGGGGGGGGGTGAAAGTAGAGCTCGGCACCAGCGACTGACGGCTGACTGAGGCTGGTGCCCTGGCAGCTGAACTGGCTCCGTGGCACGCAGGTGGGGCACAAGGAGCTGCGCACCATTGAGATCGCCAATGGCGCCTTGGTTTTTGCGGAGCTCGGCCCAAACAAAAAATCCAATGATTTTGGAAGACGTGGTTGCCTTTGGAGGGGTTCATTTGACCGTTTCTTCGTTTCTTTGTGTTGTTGGCGGGTTCTTCCTGTCGCGATTTTTTTCCGTTGTTACTTACAAAAGATGGCCACCAAACAAAGCACGGCGTTGTCCCTAGAATGGCCACACGTTTGAGGCGGTTTCATGCCCATGCGCGTGGATTGGGTCCTGACGCGGCCTCCGAGACAAGTTCTCGCCCGCCTCGCCACGGGCTCCATTAGCCGCCTCTCAGACCGGGTGATCAACGAGATCCCGGACTGGCACACGCACCTGCCGCCAACGCATTCACAGCCGTCCTGCCCCTTCAAAGTGGAGCCAGCTTCTGTCACCATCGCGCCCTTCACGCGAAGTGACTTGGTAGCAGTAAACTTAGGGAGTGAAGATCTATGTGTACGGCAGATGCCCCTAGTATCGCCAATAGATCAGCCACACACTGCAGCACTTGAAAGCCAACCATGTCCTTCCCGACGTGCAGCATTTAGGGTTGAAACCATTTCGGAGCGTGCTGGTGAACAACTTGCGCTAGACTCCAGACTTGGGGACCCCATGGACTTAAAATTTGTGGATACCTGGAAAAAGATAAACACTTTTGGAACCTTCACTCAAAATGGATGCCAAACTAGGCCAGCTTTTGTTTCTGTTGGGGGTTCATCATGTTTGGCGGTTGGCCATTTCAAAGCGCGAAAGCCAGCAAGAGTCCAACTGATTTGTCTCGAGGGGAGGGGGTTGAGAAGCAGAGATCATCTGGATGGTCAATCGGGTCTGGGGTCGGGGGGGAAACGTCGCATCAAAACCCAGGCAAGTTCACCTTCAGCTTCCACTCCCATGGGCCGGTGGGCAGCCAGAGCTCGGTCTTCGCGTATTTGGTGGCGAGGGACCTGCCAGACAGCAAGGCCTGCCTGCTGCATTACAACAAGCTGCTCGAGATGCAGGACTCGGTTGATAGGCCATTGGCTGGGAGAAAAAAGCCGCTTTGGGTGGCTGGGGTCATGATTTGACCGTTCCTGGGAGGTTGAAACTCGGTGGGGCAAAATGGGTCCGTGAACAGCCAATTCCCGGAAAGCCAACATGAAAGTGGTTTAAGCCTTGGCAGTTGAAACGGGTGGGCCCAACTGAAACCCCCTCGTTCTCCAACTGTCAAAAAAGGCATTGACCTTCCAATCTCCCCCAAGGCGCAACAAGGCCTACATCATTACAACAAGTTGGTAGGGGCCTCGAAACCGGGGTAATAAATAGAGTCAGTTGTTTTTGGGTGATAAACCGCCCATACGTGTTTTCCAAGCGGGTGCCAAACCTGGTGGAATTTTGAACTTGTCTAAAACTTCTATTTAGCTGCTGGAGCCTTTCCTCTGCTTCTGGTCCATGCGGGTCAGTTGTCGGCCACTTGATTGTCCTGTTTTTCAGGTGGGGTTCCCTGCAAAGACAGCCAGCAAAAGAGCGGGGTCCCTGTGTGTGTTTGGTGTGAGCGGCTTGGATTACTGCTTGCCGCTCACCAGGGACATTTCATATTTCATATCGCTGAGGGAGGTTGGGGGGCGATCGTTGAAGCACCGCCTGCTGCCTGAAACCACACCTATATCAAACACCCAAACACGGAGGCAATGAAATACGACGGGTGCCCATGTTACGACTACTAGTGCCCAGTTTCTGTGTGCTGGGCCCGGCTGGAGGACGAGATGCGGCCGCAGGAGGGGGAGTACTCCGCTGCTTTGCCACTCTTTGGGAGCATTGTCAGCTCGGTCTTCGATAGGAAGATCCTCTGCCCAACGCGAGTACGGCTTTTGATTTCCTGGTGTCAACCAGCTTCGGCTGCCAGTTTTAAGCATGACATCCCCCCTGCCCAAAAGAAGGAAAGGCAGCAAACCAACAACGGAACCGTTAAGAGCAGAGAAGTATAGGTCTATCCTGAGAGTCTCGATTGTTTTTGGGCCCTTAAAACTGGTTCTTTTCGGGGCCCCTGAAAAGGGGGTCGGGGTTCTTCATTGAAGGGTCCGGGGGTGTGCATTGGAAAAATCACGAGCCTTGTATGTAAAAACAACAATGTGGCGGCCCTGTTTGTTGGTTCACGTTGAATCCACTTGACCGAGGATCAAAGCCACTGGCTCTACCCACCCGCTGGACCTCAAGGTTGCAGATCCCAAGGACCCAACAAAAACCGAGACTGAGCACCGAGCTGTTTGAATCTGTACACTCATCCGCTGCTGCGGATGAAACCTTTTCCCCCCCCCCCCCCCCCCCGGTTTTTTTGGTGCACCCGAAGGAGGTCTTTTCGTTGGGCAAGCTACTCAGTACACATTTGACCGTACCCCCTTTTCTAGGATACATGTTATATTTGCAGGCGGGGGGACGGGGGGAGTATGTTCCTAGCCAGGAACTTGCAAAAGGTTGCCGTGCGCACAGTCATTTGGGCAGCTGTTTCACTTGGCCCTAGAGCACTCTTATTGTTTTGTTGGTTATTGTTTAAACCTTCCGGGGCTAGGATCCCTGATATCATGTTGTGCAGGCTGGCATGTGGGGTGAGATTAGTGCGGGCGTGATACAATATGTTGCATTTTGAGGTTCGCAAAGTATGGACCAGAATTGTTCTGAACATAATTGTAGGTGGTTAGTTATGGAAAGCTTGGGAGGTTCCCTACATGCGAATTGTTCCAAGCAAGTTCCTTGTCACCTGGGAATGAAGCGGCTGGGGAAGCGAGCATGCGGAACCTCACCCTTTCCCGGCTCGCAGTGAATGCAGTGTGCTGGGTAGTGCCAGGATCAAGGTAGAGAGTGTTTAATCTTTACGGGCGACCGGAGTGAAGCAAACAAGTGAAACAATGTTGCACTCGGGTTCGGAGGGCCGTATTTGTCTTTCAGCTTCTTGCCATCCCAGGGTTGTCTTTTGAAGGCTACCCTGTTGGAAGGATGCATCGGCGCCCCCCAATACCTCTTGGAGGTATTCCATACTTGTCCTGCCACAAAGCCCAAAACCGAGCAAACCATTCAACGACAACTAGACCAAGCAGAGTCCCAAGACCAAATGCGCCAAAAAATAAGAAGTAGCCGGACTTGTTGTGGTCTCCAAGGCACGGCGTGAGCAGTACCGGTGGTACGTCCCAGTGGCATCGCGCTACTCCATACCATCGCCTAAGTGCAAGAAGTAAAAGTCGCCTAAACCAAGGCACCGTGACAACCGTGACAACCGTGGTTGGTTGGTATTTGCAGGGGAATCATCATTCCAGGGTTTCTGTAGGTGGTGCAGGATTGCGTCCATCCACAGTAGTGGCCATAGACCGAGGTGTTTTTTGAACCCGACCCCCGGAGGACTGCGCGGTGAGCCGGGTGGTCACCGCGGTGTGCCTCCAGGGCCGCTCAGTGGGGCCCACGGTGCAGGTGATGCCACGCATGGTGTGCCTCCCCGGGGATGTGTTGCCCTTTGTGCCCCAGGCGCGGCTCAAGTCTTGGCCTGGGGGCAGTCTTGCGAGGGGAGGTAGAAAGGACTTGCGGGTTGCGGGGGGGGGGGGGGTGTTTGTTTGCACTTGCGAGTAGGGGGAGGCGAATCGCCAACTGCAAGGGCTGGTTTAAGCAGTTTGTGGGTAAACCTGTTTAAGCAAGGTGGCCCAACCCAGGGGCTTGCCCGATCAGTGAAGGGGATGGGAGGTTCCTTCAACAAAAAGCAATGGGCGTTGGGTTTGAGAGTCTGCAGGAGAATACGTTTCAATGATCCGGTGGCAAAATGTGGAATGTGGCAGGGATACTTAATTTTTTTAGGGCAGGCGGTAGCTGCCGGGATGTGTTTGGTCGATTTCCTCCTCGCATGACTCCTCATGATGGTGAAGATATGTGAAGATCTAAATTGACCAGATGCAACTGGCCCAGGTTCCTCGGGCCTAGCCGATGCCAAAAGATCAGGGTCAAGGGGACCTAAGGTTGGCCCCCTTGGCTTATTGCTGCTGGTGGGCTCATGGCAAGGCACATGCCAACTGCTTGGTGCCTGGTGACATCTCAGTATCAGCCGCCCAAGATGCCAATCCAACCCCTGTCTGTCGGAAGGTGCGGGAGATCAAGCTGCACAACTCAGGGACCTCTGCCTCCTACTTCCGCGTGCGCCTCACCTCCACGGTGCACGCGGCAGATGCGCATTCCATCGACCCGCTGTGGGTGATCTCGGTGCCTGAGGCGGCCGTTCGGGCGCGGGGGTGGACTTGGGTTTCCTATGGGTTTCCTATCTATGGATCCCGTTTGGGTCTTCTTCTTTTTGGCGTGGTTCGGCAGGAATTTAACTGGAAACCACCTGCTTTGATGCTTCCCTCATTTTAGGACACGAGCTCACTGACCGGAGTAGCAGGGAAAACCCATGAACCGTGCGGAGCAACCCTGATACCCCTGAACCCCTTTCTTGAGGTTTGCCTGAAGTCCTTTTTGGTCAGCAGTTTGCCCATATCACATGTCCAGGCTCAGCTTGGGCCATTTCCCAATTGTCCAGCCATGGTCTGGAAGGACCCTGTGACGGGTTTGGGGCAGCTTTCTCTCAAAGGGCGCTCCTATCACAAAGCGACGGACCCAAGAAGTGAGGGAACTCGCGGACAGTAGTTGGCCGCTGTCCAAGGGAAGTCTTGGATCCCCTTGCAAGCAGGCAGGCCAGGTTGTCGACGCTTTCCCGTGAGTTGATGTTGAACCTCAGCATAAGGAGAGGCAGTGGAGTATTTGTCCAGTCCTGCTTTTGGCCGCTCAGGTTTGACTAGCTGATTCGGAGGATTAGAGGGGTGATTCGGAGGATTAGAGGGGTGATTCGATTCACCCCAAGTGGGCTCAATCAGCTGGCCGCCAGCTCACCTGCATGCAGCCTTCCACTGCTCAAACCGAGAGGGAGAGACGATGGGATGCGCGGCGGCAACGGGTCGCGCTGAGAAGATGAGAGTGGGCCGGACTCACTACGTCTTAAAGACTCCAATGGAGGGACCGTGGCCTGCCAACACCAAGGTCTGTGTTCTGGCCAACGGCTGCTTTTGGGGCTCGGAGAAAGGCTTTTGGCGCTTGCCCGGCGGCGGTATCTATTCCACAGCTGTTGGCTACGCAGCTGGGAAAACGCCCAACCCGACCTATGAGGAATGCTGCTCTGGGCGAACAGGCCACACGGAGGCGGTGCAAGTCGTCTACGACCCAGAGAAGATCAGCCTGGTGGACATTTTGCGGTGGTTTTGGGAGTCACATGACCCCACGCAAGGCAATGGCCAAGGGAATGACCGAGGTACACAGTACCGCAGTGCCTTGATCTATTTCGACAGTGAACAGGAGCAGCTGATGCGAGCCAGCAAGGCGGCGTACGAGAAGGCGCTGCAGGCAGCGGGGAAGGGCATGAGCCGCAAAATCACCACGGACATTGTGGCGGCCTCCGATTTCGAGGTGCCCTTTTACTACGCAGAGGCCCAACGACCAGGTTTCCCCTTTTCCATTTGTTGTTCTTCGTTTTGAGGGGAGTTTCCCCAGCCCAGTGACACCCTGTTCTTCCAGTTTTGGGGGTACAGTAGCTTTCCTATGAAAATCGACCACCAAACAAGGGACCCCCCATGGCCGGGAAGGACTGCCCCATTGTTTCATCACTAAAGTCACCAACCAGTTTCTTACCCTTGAACAACCTTGGCGGTTCCCAGCCGTCCCCTCAGCTTTTCAGCTTTTTGGTGTTTAGTGGTTGGGTTTCCCTTTGTTTCACCAAAAGGTTCGTCACTTTTAGCTCACATCTGAACACGGCCAGCCTCCAACGAGTGATAAACCCCAGGACTACCACCAGCAGTACCTGGCCAAGCCGGGCGCCCGGCCCTACTGCAGCGCCCAGCCGCTGCAACTCCCACTGCCCGGCTTCGAGCAATGGGCGCCAAAGGAGCTCAAGGCTGGGGCCCCGATCCAATGACCCGCTTTTGGGGTCATTGAAAAACGAACAAATGGGTATGGGTCAAAACGAAAGCACCAGGAATTGGACCGCATGTTTTAGCCTTTGGTTCCATTTACCAGGGTTCCATTTTGGGTATATAATTTTGACCCACAGCCAAAATGGCCATGGGTGGATGTGCATCCATTTGCCGGCACGGATCCTTTTTTCCAGAAAACTGCCAGGAACTCAGGGAAAACGGCAGGTTTTTGAAAATAAGGATGATGTAGAAGAATCTATAACCAACCTCTGGAAACGTTGGCAAACTCAGAAATGTCCCGTGCTTTCCCCCTTTTGGGTCATTTTGACCAAAAAGCAAATGTTTGGAACATGTTACAAAACCTTTTTGTTCCTTCTTTTCGTGATGTCATCAGATCTTAGACTTGTTTGGCAACATGCCGCACTTGTTTCTCAACGTTTTTTTTGCAGATGCCTTTTGAGTTTCCCATTGGTGGGGTCTTATGTTTCAGGCGTTTTCCCACCTGTTTTTACACATTGCTTTTGGTGAGTTTCCTTTCGGTGGAGCGATGTTTAGGGCGGAGATGTCGAAGCAGCTTGGAAGGCCCACGCGCCCAAACTGCCGGAAGACTTCTGGAAGCTTCACGCGCCGAAGCCCCACTGTGTGATCCGAGCCCCGCATCAGCCCATCAAGTGGTGAGCAAAGCGCAGACTTGATTTTTTGCACCTCTCCGCGTTACGTTTTCTTCGCGAAGTGCGATCCAGTGGTAGAGGTGTGCATTGTGAAGTGTCGAAGCTTCATATTTTCGCGCCAGCCGGCGCCCTGTAAGATACCATCTTCACGTGCACCTACCTGCTCATGCAGACTAGGTGCAATTGTTTCCAAAGCGGTAACTTGAGCTCAAAAATTAGCATGATGTCGCTGATAGAATGGAGTTAATGTCAAGAATTCCCTTCTTGGTTGTGGCAGCCGGGTGTTGTACACTGAAGCCTTGCGTTTTTGAGAAAGGGCTTCATGGGGAGCTCGGGGTCATAGAGGGTGGGAGGCAGGGTCCAGTTTGAGGTGCCCCCTTGCAGGGGATCTCAAAATGGGGCCTGGGTTGCCCCTTGAACAGCAGCCAAACAGATGCCTTCAAGGACTGTCACGTGTGAAGGTGAATGCTTCGAACTCAATCGAAGCGATCGCTATGCTCTTGCATAGCCATATCCAGTTTCTATTTCGCATGAATGACGTTTGGCAGCAAGTTGGGTCGCAACCCAAGGGAATGTTGCACCCATTTGCCACCACCTTGGGTCCCATTCTTGAAAGTTGAAAGGAGGCCAACCAGTTTTGGCGGTTTTCTTCCCTAATTTTGGCCAATAAAGGCAAAGCCATGCCCCAAGGAGCATCGATTGCCTCTTCCGGCTGATTGTAGCCGACCCAAAGGAACCCACCCGGTACTTCCATTTTCTTAAGATTATGATTGATTTCCCTTTTTGGTTTTACAGGGAACCCATCACTACTGGACTTTTTTTCCTAGAAGCAAATGGAAGTTCAGGTTGGTATTTTCATGGGAAGTTGGGGGGAAGTAGTAGGGGGAAGGGGGGGGAGTGGTATATTGGCTTGGACCCCTTTGACGCCAACCAGATGTCTCACCTCCCTTTGTGCGTGGGCGACAGGTCGGGGTGAAGCCGGCAGAGCCTGAGCCGAACCCCCGCGGAGACCCAGAGCTGGAGGACACGTGATGCGTTCACGGGCACGTGAGGCCCAGACCTGAGGGCCGCTACTATTCTTTTCTGGGGAGCGCCGGAGAGAGAAGAGCAAACAAAGCAAACCGAAGCAAGATGCGAGCTAGGCAACCCACTGGTCCATGCCGGCTCCGTTTTCCGCATTTGCATGCTGATTCAGAAGGAGGGTCGGCGCATCTACAAGGAAGCCCCTTTTCATCCTTTTCACCGGCTCACCCAGTCAAAACAAGCGGGGTGTACATGACTGATTTTCGCTTAGGAAAGTGGGGTGTTCCGGCTTTCTTTCGGTGGTGGATATGATCAGGCAGATCCTGTGGAATGGTCCTTCGCTGTTGGTGGCCGTGAGTTCGGCAAGTAAGCACATACCTTTTGCATACCCTCCTTTTTTGGGGGTGAGGTCACACAAAGGGTCTTTGGGCAGATCTGCGTCGCAAGAAACAGAACAGCAACAGCCGTTTTCCTTCTCCTGGCACCTGCCCATTTCCCAGAGGCACCTTGGACCCGGCCAACCAACTGAGACAACCACTGGCAACCTGCACGTTGGGGTGTCATCTCCTTGTACCCTGCAGGTGTCATCTCATTATACAACTACTTGCGACAAGCCAAGCCATGGCAGGCCTTTCCCGCAAGCAGGCCAACATCCTCCTGTCCACATAGAACCAACCAGAGCAGGAACATTGGACCCCTCAGTCAGGTTCCATGCTGGAGAGGTTATCCGGGACACCTGCTGCAACCTGCTGAACACCTGAGGACCCCCAAAGGAACATAGTCATCCAGCAGCCGCATCCATTTGCTCAATAATATTTGTTATGTTCCCCTGTTTGTTTTTAGAGGGAATCTATCACTATATACTGGAACTATATATTTATATTTTTTCCAGGGGGCTTATGCAAATGGAAGGCCCTCAGTCAGGTTCCATGTTGAGGGTAACCAACTGCAACCAACACGTCGCAGGAGCGGCGGCTGCAAGCCGCGCGGCTCGCCAAGAGCTGGCCCCCGCTGCCCCCGGAGCCGGGCCTCGCTGGGGCCTCGCAGATGCCCGGCTACGGCGCCTTGGCCTCATGCGCGGTGGCGCCTCGGCGGAAGTTGAGCCCAGGGAATTTGCGGGGTGCCAAGGGTTCAGCTGAGTTCAACTAGGTCCCTCAACTAGGTGCCCTTTGACAGTTTCTTTTTTTGGGGAGGGTTCCCCTACTAAAATAGACCACCGAAAAAACGGCACCTATTCTAACCTCTGTACTGCTGCAGGACCTAGGTAAACATAACGTTTGCCCTAATCCAAAAAATGCGCCCAAAACATATCTGATGAAAAGGATCATGAACAAATTGACATTTTGTTTGGTTGGCTTCACTTACAAACGCGCCGAAAGGGATGAGTGTGCAGCTATTTTGTCTAAACCCACTATTTAGCACCGAGTTTTGAGTGGTTCTTATGGTTTGCAAAGTCAGAAAGGTTGGTTTTGTCATTGATCCTGGGGAGGGGCTTTGGAAATGGCGGCATCTTGGGGCCGGTTCGGAATCGGTTTCCAGCGCCGTCGTTGGCAGGAGCCGCATGAGGGCCGCATCCCCGCCGGGGGCGTGGTCACCATTCGGATGACCCTGCGGGCCGTGCACGAGTGCGATCTCCAGGGGAAGCTTCGGCGGCAACTGTTCGTCACCCCTGGGCCCTGAAAGCAAACATTTCGAGGGGTGCTTCAATTGTCACTTGGGGAGGTGGCTTCCCTTGAAATTAATTACTGTTCATGGGGTAGTTTGAGGACTCACCCATGATGAAAGGTCTTTCACTCATGGATTCCTTAGTTATAGTACGGGGCTCCAGCTGTTAAGCCAAACGGATCATCGCCCTTACTCCCAGACACTGTGTCATAGTATGTACTTCCTGCCCTGAAGGGTGAAACCTTAGAGGTTCCTTGCCTCAAAACACGCCTCACTGCCACCTAAGCCCTCACGAGATGCACAGGAAGTGAGGCCCTCCGTCTCCACAAACACACACACACACAGACACAGAGACACAGAGACACACAGACACACAGACACACAGACACACAGACACACAGACACACACAGACACACACAGACACACACAGACACACACAGACACACACAGACACACACAGACACACACAGACACACACAGACACACACAGACACACACAGACACACACAGACACACACAGACACACACAGACACACACAGACACACACAGACACACACAGACACACACAGACACACACAGACACACACAGACACACACAGACACACACAGACACACACAGACACACACAGACACACACAGACACACACAGACACACACAGACACACACAGACACACACAGACACACACAGACACACACCGACACACACGGACACACACGGACACACACGGAGACACACGGAGACACACGGAGACACACGGAGACACACGGAGACACACGGACACACACGGACACACACTTTGGCACACACTTTGGCACACACTTTGGCACACACTTTGGCACACACTTTGGCACACACTTTGGCACACACTTTGGCACACACTTTGGCACACACTTTGGCACACACTTTGGCACACACTTTGACACACACAGACACACACAGACACACACAGACACACACACAGACACACACACAGACACACACAGACACACACAGACACACACACAGACACACACAGACACACACAGACACACACAGACACACACAGACACACACAGACACACAGAGACACACAGAGACACACACACTTACACACACTTACACACACTTACACACACTTACACACACTTACACACACTTACACACACTTACACACACTTACACACATACACACACTTACACACACTTACACACACTTACACACACTTACACACACTTACACACACTTACACACACACACACACTTACACACACTTACGCACACTTACACACACTTACACACACTTACGCACACTTACACACACCTACACACACACACTTACACACACTTACACACACCTACACACTTACACACACACTCACACACACACACACATTTACACACACACACACTTACACACACTTACACACACTTACACACACTTATATACACTTACACACACACAGACACACACAGACACACGCACACTTACACACACTTACGCACACTTAAACACACTTACACACACTTACACACACTTACACACACACTTACACACACACACTTACACACACTTACGCACACTTACGCACACTTACACACACTTACACACACACTTGCACACACTTACGCGCACTTACACACACACACACACTTGCACACACACTCACACACTTACACACACTTACACACACACTTACACACACTTACACACACTTACACACACTTACACACACACACGCTCATGGGCTGAGACCTTTGTCTAGGAAGATCGTCATTGACCTGCCGCTGGACGAGCACAGCAGCGAGCCGGCAGCTGCGCCACTCAAGGCGCCGGAGTCTGCAGAATCCCCCCGCTTGCTGTCAGACGCCATTGGCTTGCTGAAGATCTCAACTCGACCACCTGGTTTTAACCAGAAAAAGTGACCATCAAAGCGCGTAGCCCTTGCGGAAGGAGCCTACTCCGTATTTGGGGGGGGGGGGGGTGGTTCAACATTGGTTTTCCCCACTATTTGAATGTGAACTCGGGCTGAATTTGTTTTTTGGGCTATTGTCATGCCCTGGCCAAGATCATACATCTGCAACTGAACTAAATTCCTGAACGATATCCGTTGTGTTCTTCATCTGCTTCAAGCTACTGAAGCATGCTCAAAACATTGGTTTTTTGCAGTCACTTGGCAGTACCAGAGTGGGTGTGCATCATGCGGGGGGGGGGGGGGACACACATATATATATATATATATATATATATATATATATATCTATACGTACTTGTGTGTGTGTGTGCTCCCTTTGCTCGTTTCCTGTTGTGTATCGTCCTCTCTGCACGCCTCGCTCACTTTTTTCCCTGCGGGCTTGCAAGGTGGGCCTGGCGGTGGCGGTGCGCTCGCCGCGGGCAGAGATCCGCAGCCGGGCGGTGCTGGACTATGGGGTGGTGCGGGCGCACGCCCGACACACCATGCGACTTGGGCGGAAAGCTGCGGGCCACGGTAGGATTGGGGAGCCTGATAGAGACTTTTGGGGCCATGAAGGACCATTGGGCTATGGTGTTTGTGGGAAATCCGAGTTTAGGCTGGCAGTTGCGGTCTTTTCGAGCCATAGACTGGTTCAGTGATACCCTACAGTGATTGTGCAACTGTTAGCCATGGCATCAGTGAAGGCAGTATGGTATTTGTGCCAACCATTTGCAGTAAATGAGAACCTGGATGGTCACAAATTCTTGCAGTTGGCATGGATGATCCCCAATACTGGGGTAAACTGGCGGCTGGTGCAGGATTTTGTCCAGCCACGGTAGGATTGGCCTATATTGGCCTAATAGTGACTTTTGGGGCCATAAAGAACCATTGGGCTATGGTGTTTATGGGAAACTCGAGTTTAGGCTGCCGTTGATTGTGGCCAAATCTATGAGTGGCGGGGGGGCGGGGAAACTCAACACGGGCTGTAGAGTTCTCCGCCTGGATGCAAACGTCATTCTGCTGCAGCATTTTGGAAAGAGTTTTCGTTTGGCGAGATAGAATTATCTGTCCGACCACTTCAGTAAAAGTGTTTCTTTTGTGTTGGTTTTCATTTTTTGTGGGTGGGGCAGGGTGCACTTTCTGTCAGTATTCATTTTCTGTCAGTGGTGTCCCATCCTCCAGCCAGGCAATTGGCAATTCCTTTGTTTTGTGTTGTTGTTTTGCCGGGGGGGGGTCGGAGTTAGCAGAAAAAGCATGGCCACTGGAGGCCAAGGCAATCTGTGACTGGCTCTAGTGCCCGCATGTGGGCTGGATGCGCCACCAAACTGCTGCCTTTGAAGACGGTTCCCTGAAAAACCCGATCACGGGTCACTGGGTCGCTAGTTCACGTTTCTGCATTTCCTACAGGGCTAGGCGCTCGCGTTTCTTCCCAATTTCTCAGAATCCACCCGCAAGGGATACTTAAATTTGGGGCGGGTGGTTGTCCGCTGGTCCAAGGAAAGTGGAGCTCAGCAACCCCACAGAGATCCCCATGCTCTTGCAGCTCCGGCAGTTCAAGGACTCCATCGATTCGCGGAAGGCTTCGTTTTAGAAGCAGGGCGTCAAAAGCGGGCACCTCTCGTGTCTCCACATGGATGCCGATTTTCGAAGTGGGCCCTTTGGAGGGGAGGGGATTCCCAATTTTGACGCAGCCAAAACTACTTAGCAGCACTGCCGAACCACAATCAGTTGGAGATTTTGCAGTGTGTGTGTGTGTGTTTTTGCTTGCTCTTCTGTGAAAGTGTAGGGCCCCTCTTGACGCAGTACTTGTTTCAACTTGAAATGCCAAGCGGGTCCCAGAAAAGACCCAAGCCTGACAGGAGGATACCACGACCCACACGTTTCCGGTGGAGTCGCACAGGGAAGTTGTGAACCTTTTCCTCGAGGCTGTGAACAACAAGTCCCGGGACGGCTTCGCCGCCATCGACTCCAATCAGTATGTGGAGGTGCCGGTTAAGCCATGGGTGCACTCCAAAAGCGGATGCCTGGACAAGAGTGGAAGGAGGAAGTTCGGAGGAGACAGGCAGGGCCGCAACTCAGAGAATTGCGGTCGAAAAGCCCATGTTCGGGCCGAGCCTAGAACTTGTGTGCTCGGTGGTGCCAACAGAGCCCAACATACGCAGGTCGGAAGATGATACACCATATGAGGTGGGAGTGCCAGATGAGGAGGACCTGCCGTTTGAACCAATTGGCTTGCATCACGGACCCTTTGGGAGGGAGGTCAATCCTTGCATGCGCCCGGGCCCGGAGAGGCCTAGATAAAGAGCTTCATGAGGCCTTGCCGCCTTGCCTGGACAACCCCATGGTTCCCCGAGCGCACGACGTGCTTGCAGGACTTCGTGTTCAATCCCGGCTTTCTCGCATTATGGCCTGGCCAGAGCGGCGAGGTGGGGTCCGCCGGGTCCCAAAAGGGGGTACCTGTGGATTTCTCATTTGAACCCCCCCCCCCCGCTGGAAGCCCCCCTAGTGCAACCCATGCGGAAACATGACTAGAGGTACGTTCATAGCAAGGCTCCTTTGCTCACCTGGTTGGATCAGTAGAGAACCGCTATAGGAAGGTCACGGATTCTTGTTCTTGCTTCCCTACCAACGTGTAGTTTTTGCCTTTGCCTGGGCCAAATGCATTTTTGCCCCGTTGTTCGCATGGCCGTGGGCTGCAGGAATCCGATTTGTGCCCAGGCGAGCCCAAACGTCTGATGTCCCTGGCGCCGCGCAGGTGGAAGTGACACTGAGAAGCCGGGGAGTCGGGCAATACAACGCCCTGCTGGAGGCCCTTTTCGATTTGGGGTGTCCCAGATCGACCGCGGCGTGGACTGGTCCAATCCGCAAGACCCGTGGCCTGGGTCATGGGAGTTTGCCTTGAAAGAGATTTCTCCGTTGGGAGTATGGATTAGGATTGGCCCCTCCATTCTGAACAGCCCAGGTAGCCCACGGATCTTTGTCAAAACTAGCTTACAGAGCTCGGTCCGAACAGGAGGCCCATGCTTGACACCCCCACCCACACACCCAAAACACAATCGCATGTTTCCACGTTTGCCAAACTGAGGGGTGTGATGTTTTTGTCTATATCCCATGGCATTGCCGCACAGGAGCCATTCAAACGTTGAGGGCAAAACCGGACATTCGATGGCAGTTTGGTTGGCTGCTTCAGAGCCTTGCCCATTTGCCTGTCATGAGGTACACAGCTGCGGTGTGGTCCGTGTGGCAAGTGAGGTCTGTGAAAACCCCTTATCCAGGAAGCTCCAAAATACGTGCAATCCAATCCACTGATGAGATGTGGGGCCGTTTCGGCCAGGCGGTGGGCTTCAATTCTTTGCACGCCCAGTGTTTGGAAGTCTTCGCGTCGGTGCAGCTGCCGCACCTAGCCTGCACTGGAGCACCGGATATTTTTGGCATATGGCTCTTCTCCAAAAGGGGGAGAATGCCATGGTTTAGTTTGCGATTTGGTGGTTCCTACCTGCCACCGGGTTTCGCATCATTCTGAACAGAAGGAGTACCTGCCACAGATGGCGGGAGCAAGATTCGGGAGCCACATCACCCTGTCGTGTTTTGCAAAGCTCCTGATGTGACATGTGTGCAGCCTGAGCTGTGTGCAGCAAGCAGGGGGCTGGAGAGTTGACCACGGACTGATGCCGCAAAAGAGCAGGGGACTAGGCAATGGCGAGATACCCACTTGGGGCTCATGCCATGTGCCGCCTAGGATGGTCCGGATCAACACGCACCATGCGCCTGCACTGAATGGACAGAGACATTCGAGCGTGTCCTGGGGCGGGGGTTGGTTCTCCTTTGGTCGCCCTGAAGGCGACAACCCGAAGGAGGCGCCCAAAAAGGAATTCTTCAGAACGGAATGGGAAGAGTCTGGCTAGACTGTGACTTGCATCACCGGAGCCAAGCTGAGGCGCACTTCCCAGTGACCTATCTCAGGACTCGCGCCCGGGGCCTGGGGCGGCGAGCCATGGGACTGGCTCAAGTAGACACCAAGAAGCTTCCATGTTGACTGGTGTGCTTTTGTTCTCATTGTGTTGTTTTCCTCCTTTATGATGAACTTGTTTTGGGGTGGGAGGGGGTGGGTGGGAAGTGGGAAGGGGGAGGGGCATTCTGGTATTCAGTTATAGCTGCTGACGTTGCTTTAGTGGCAGCCTGAAAACTCGAAGCCAAACTTCTTGCTGCCTTCGTCTTTGACCAAGTCTCGGCCGGGTCGTTGGTGTTGGGAACCCGCTGGTGCCCGACGTGGTGCTCGTACAGTGTCAGCTCCGCCAATTTCTTGCTGGTTCCTCCGACCTGAAGCTGAGACATTCCCAGCACACATGTGTCCATAGCTCCTAGCATATGGCCACCAAGGCTTTGCTGAATATGAAGCCCAGTTGGTCTGAATCTTTATCAGGTCCTTTGACGTGCCTCCCTTATTGCCTTCATAGTCCGCCATGTTTTTCCTGTCTTCGGAAAAAAAAGGTTCGGGCTGCAGGGCATGACGCAGCTTCTTTCCTACAGTGCTTGCGCCCCCGCCCCCCATCCCCAGCGTTACTACCTTTGACGCATCACCTTGTTATGCCAGACCCGTTTTTGTTCTGGGGTGGTTTCCCCTTCAATCGTGGTTTCCCACCGGTCAACCCCAAAGGATTCGGTTCCCCGCACCGGAGCCACTGGTTGCACCTAGCAACACTCGCGCGAGGACTGCCTCGGAGCCAAAGGATGTGGAGCTCCGCAATGAGTCGGAGATGACAGCCAACTTCAACTGGCAGATTCCTTTGAAGATGGAAGGCTGCAGCACGGCCGATGCGAACAAATGAACAATATATACACGAAGAGCTATGCAAAAGGGTAAGTTCTGCACGTGCTTGAGTGGCATGCTTGCCACTCATTCGGAGATGAGCCGGAATGGACAGTTGATCGTGGCCCCAAAAGGTGATCACCTTTTTTCTTCTGCGCCCCAGATGGGGCAAGAATCATTTTGGACGCCAAAGCAGCTCCAAGGTATCGAGTGCCAGATCCACCCCATGCAGGCCGGGCAACGTTTAGTCGCAAATGAAATGAATTTGCTTGGAGCCCTGATGGGTGTGTGTGTGTGTGTGGGTGGGTGTGGTTTTTCCCCCCCCCCCCCCCGGGTACCCCCCAAAAGAAATTTAACAAAAGAAAAGAAAATAACAGTGCTTTTCCTTGTCATGTTTGGCATCGCCGAGAACACATATCATCACCTTGGAAGGGAGCACAAGCATGTGGCTGGCCAATTGCAAATTGTCCTTCGTTCTTGGCCTTGCGTCTTAGGGCTCCATTCCTCCCAGAGGGAGCCAGAAGTGCACGATCATCGCCGTGCCCACGAAAGAGTCGGAGGATGGTCCGGGCACCCAGCGAGAAATGAGGGGCAATGGGAGATCTGGCGATACCTGTGTCGTAGCCTGGCCAACTGACAAGTTGGACTTTTTGCAGGGATGCTCTGCCTGATGCTGCCTTCTTGTGGCCAGATGTGTGCAGGGTTTTGCCTCCTCTCTGTTATGTGTGTGTGCGACGGTGCGTAGCATCCTGCAGGCCCAGCCTGCCTGCCCTGCAACCTCTTCATCGAAGAGATCCTGCAACCGCTGGAGCCACTCGGCTTGATCGCTGTCCTCTGAAGACTGCCTTATGGAACAAATTGCGTCAGAAGGTCCTTTGCACTCTTCCCCTGCACTTGTATACTGAGTCAAGTCTTCTCCGTGCAAATGTTGGAGGACTCATTTCAAGGAGGGGGAATTCGACTTCCTGGAGTGAATTGTGAGGACCTCTGCTTTGGGGCTTGCTCATGATTGCTCATGCGCTAGGGGTGTTGCGCTTGCTCAGTTGGTTGGCCAGTGTCAGACGGCCGCCAAGTCACGCCCAGAGCAATAAGGAAATCCAGGAAAGAGCTGTGTGCAGAACGCACTCCCCAGTTCCCACTGCTCTTGTTGAAGCAAGCACGAACGAACCACATCAAGTGAGGATCGACCAAATTAGAGTGCAATCCCGTCACATACACACTTCCATGAGCTTTTCACTACACAGTCACGACGACTACGAGCTATTGGGGAACAGCCTTAGTCGGATCACGATCCAATCACATGCGAAGCCGAACCACATACCACTTCTTTCCTTTGCAGCATTTGGGCCCCTCCCTTTGCTGGACAGCCGCCGGTTTGCGCATGCGGGAGCCTGCTTTTGTTGCCTGCACGATTCCGGCTGATTCCTCGGAGCTCGACTGCGCATTGGCTTTTTGAGCTACAGGTTCACGCATCGCCGCACGCGATGAACAGCAAATACCAAATGTTGTTACTTCTTGCTCACAGTGACTTTATGTTGTTACTTCCGTCCTAAAAGGTTGTCAGCCCCCCAAAAAGGATTCCATTTTCTTACCGGGGTCAGTTGTGCTCACTCGGATGCAGAGTGTTAACAGCTGCCCAGCAACATGACGAAGCCTGTTCCTTGCCCCAGCAAGCTGCAGGCTGCGAGTCACAGCCATCGTCTACGGCTGCGAGGCGCTGGGTCGGCCAACCGCACGTGCACTCACGAGGACCTGGTCCGTTTCTTGGAAGTGACATGGTGAGCCGACTTGAAAAGTCCCCACAAAGTGAAGTGTGACAAACTCACTCCCTGGCTGATTTGTGATTCACTCACGTTTGCTTGAACATTTTTACTTTAGCAACTCCATGCAAATCGCAGCCTGGCAGCACAGCTGTAGCTTTCAAGCAGTGCCCAAGGCAGCGCCCAAACCAGTGCCCAAGCTGTGAACTCCGTGTGTTCAATATGTTTGGCTCCTTGAAATGGCGCCAGACGCACGGGCGTGACCGGCCAAATGACCCTGGCCGAAACTCCAGATGTGACTGTTGTGAAAAGTGTCATGGAACCATGCAGGTTATTTGAAGCGGAATCCCTGACCATCATGTTGAAGAGTCACTGAATGAGACAAGGGGCATTCCTGGCGATTCTTGACTTCTCCTGCCTACATCTTAATCCAGGGTTGCCCGCAAAGAACAATGTTCAGTGCTCTGCACTCGCTATGGGTGGTCAACCCGTTGTAAAATATTCCTTTTGTTTTTTTTTTGCAAACCAAAAGGATACCCCAGATCCCTATATTGTCATACCCATTTGGGATGGATGAAGTATGAAGCTCTATGAATGGGACAGACCACCATCCACAGTGTGATCTTGATTTAAATATAAACATGTTATATCAACACAAAAACAAAACACAACAACGTGATTGTCCCATTAGGCGTCCAGGTCCCTATGTCCGGCAGAAGCCGCTTCTACCATAGACGTTGCCATCCGCTTGTCCCCTTTCCAACTGTACCACTCATTGCGCACCACACACAAAACCCGTCAAGTTCTCCCAGGTGTGCGTCCCCAGGCCCGCCGTTGTCCTACCTTCAGTCTGCATCCCACTTGCCCAAAATGGGACGTTGACCTCCTCCACGCGCCACGGCACCTCGGTCGGCGGCTCCGGCCCCGTCCGCCAGGTGGACTACGCGGTGGTGACCCCCGCCGAACTGCCGCCCCAGATCCAGCTGAGGCCCCGGCAGCCGGAGGAGTCGCCCTGCGACCCTCTGGGCACCTATCTCATCACCACAGGCCGCGCCTCCAGGAGCCGTCCGTCGGGGAGTTTGGTTGAGTCGGTATGTGTGTGTGTGTGTTTTGCGTGTCGTGGTTGGGGTGATTCTGTGGTTTGTTTGTTTGCTTGTTTGCTTTGTTTTTGCTTTGCTTTTGCTTTGCATTTGCTTAGCTTTGTTTTTGCATTGCTTTTGCATTGCTTTTGCTTAGCTTTGTTTTTGCATTGCTTTGCTTGGCTATTGCTTTGCATTGCTTTTGCCTTTGCCATTGCTTTTGCTTTTGCCTTTGCTTTTGCTTAGCTTTGTTTTTGCATTGCTTTGCTTGGCTATTGCTTTGCATTGCTTTTGCCTGTGCCATTGCTTTTGCTTTTGCCTTTGCTTTTGCTTTGCTTTGTTTTTGCATTTGCCTTTGCTTTGCTTTTGCTTTGCTTTTGCCTTTGCCTTTGCTTTTGCTTTTGCTTTGCTTTTGCATTGCTTTTGCTTTGCTTTTGCTTTTGCCTTTGCTTTTGCTTTGCTTTGTTTTTGCTTTTGCCTTTGCTTTTGCCTTTGCCTTTGCTTCGTATTTGCTTTGTTTTTGCTTTTGCCTTTGTTTTTGCCTTTTCTTTTGCTTTTGCTTTGCTTTTGCTTGGCTTTGCTTCGCTTTGCTTCGCTTTGCTTTGCTTTGCTTGCACGCCCTTCTTTCAGGTCGTTTTTGTTTGTAAGATAATTAGGCCACACCTAACCCCCTCCCCCTGCTTTGCTTCACACGCGGAGCGGTAGGAAGATGCCCATGGTGGACTTTGGGGACCTGCCACTTCAGAGGGCCAAGGAGCTGCATGTAGTGTGCCTCGCTCGGCGAGCCAGCGAGGGCTGGGGGATGGGGGAAGAGGGGGGGGATGGATTTGGATGGGGCCAGGGCCCAACTATTCTCCCTACGCGGGCATTCAGAAATCTCCTCGTCCAGGGTTTGGAGTTTCGGCGTCTGAAGGACAATCAGAGGGTGTCTTCGCCTTTTGTTGGGAGGCAAAGCATTGATTCTTGCAAAGTCCTTTCTCACTTTTAGGAAACACCCTCGGTGTAGCAAACACTTATTGCCACAATCCGGGGGGCATTGCTGCTCATCCCCTTAGGTGAAGAATTAGCCATTGGGCAGCCCTTCCAGTATCGAATTCGTGCATTGCAGCTTTATCGTGGCTTCAACCGGGCTTTGCCCCTGTTGGTTTCGACTCGGTTTTGCCCCAGCTCACTTCAACGTGAAGAAGGTTCACCCTTCCTTATGGCTATTTTATGGCTTTACGCTGGTTTCTACCAGTGTTGGCAACCATGTCAAAGTGAAGGTCCCGCAACTTTTAAGCAGCAGTTTTTGCTGCTTTGGTGACGCGTGAGTGTTTGGGCAAGCAAGTTCTAGTTGCCACACAATCAGTAGGCCAGGCAAGGGCAACCAAGGCATTGTCAGACTTTTTTGATCCCGAGGCTCTACAATCGCACGGGCATCGCCACGCCCTTCAGCGGCTCGGACAGGTCGATGTGGTCAGGGGAATCTGTTCGAGCTGGGGATTCACCAAATCCGCTCGAACTTAATCGAGGGAAGGTTCTCAGGTTAGTGCAGGGTGGACACTCATACTTTCCGAGCAAAACAGTCCAAGTCGCATTGAGTTTCTTACGAGTTTTCACCCCAACCCATTTGCTCCGCAGGTCTGATCACAACATATAGGCGCCGAGCGAGCGGTCTGAGGCGCGAAGATCGAAAAGAACCCGGCCTTCGACCCCTTGGTCAAGGGCAGGAAGATCGGAGACTACCTGGATGCAGCCACGCGCATGTACGCGCTGATCAACCAGTCAGGCAGGTTCCTGGCCATGTTCTGTTCCAAAGGGCAGGGTAAATGGTGCCAAAGCTTTGGTGAAAGAAAGTGTCCGGCCTCCGGGTGAGACCCATCGTTTCCCCTCAACCCCGAGGAAAGTGCTTGCCTTGCACTAAAGGGGGTCTCTCACATCCCAAAGATCAGACACTCATGGGTGTGTCTCTTTTTGAGGGTACCTACTTGTTTGGTGGTTTTAAACGGCAAGCAGGGGAAGGCCAGATTCGGGTCCAACCAAAGGAACTGCATCCTCGCGCTTCCAGCGGCTTCCCTGCGAGCCACTCGGAAGCCTCGGAAGCCTTGAGGCGGGGCGGAGCCCGACGAGGAGACGCTGCGTCAGACCTTCGAAAGCTCCCCGCAGCCCGCCGGCGCCGGCCGGGACGAGACCTTGGACGGCAGCGCCAGGCGGGGCATGCGCGTTTTCGAGGGGCCATCCATGGCCACGGAAATGGGAGAGGTGGAAACCGAGGAGCTGAGAGGTGAACCGGTTTTTGGCGAAGTGGATTCCACTGGTCGTCAATTTGCCAGTGCCATCTGTTTGTTCTGGTCAATGGGAACCTGGGCTACTGAACTGGTCATGTATTTCAGATACAGGTTGATTTTTGTTGGGAGAATTGTGGAATGACTCACCAAGATTGGTTTCTACATCGCACACCTCTACATCACATATACCTTTCTTGCATGTGCAAAGGGTACGTAATCATCTGAAGTTGAGACCGTAAAAGTTGGCGACGATGTCCGGATTTTCCAGAAATGGTGCGCTAGGCTGATTTCAACCAGGTATCTCCACCAAGACGTCAAGCGGCCTCCTTCAACCCTTCAACCTGCTGTATCCCAGTATCACGCCTTTCGTGGCGTGGGTGTTGGGTTGGCCCCTGACCCCCAAGCCATGGTTGTTGTTGGGGACCATTTTACATTTTTGCAGATTGTGGTTTAAAATCCCCACTCAACTGCAAAACAAGTTGTTCGCTCCCCTTCCAACGTCAACCAAGAAGCAGTTGGGTTGGGGCAGATGGTCAAATCCGTCATCACCCACTTCTGTGGTCAGGCGGGCTACCTAACATGGGCGATGGTCGAATCAACTGGGCCCCGGCCTCTAAAAGGGCGTTTGCCAGCAACACAAATCATGGACAAGTTCCCCAATGAAAGCGACGGGCCAAAGACCACGGGATTCATGTTGGATCAATTTGGTTGAACATAATGTTGGCGTTCCGCTCCAAAAGGTGACGAATCCCTATTAAAGAATATGGGACCACTCCCATATTCATAAACATGTTTTGTTCTTTTTTATTTTTCTTTATAAAAACACACACACACACATCTAAACTTGTTTCAGTTTGGTTCTTACTTCGACGGTGAGTCTAACTTCAGGAGCTCCCAAAACAAAGGACTAGGGCCCAGCCTTCGTCGCGTGAGGATCAAAGTGAAGAAGTTGAAGCCGCTGGGCAATGCAAGATGCCCCACGCCTCCTCCCCCAGTTTTCTTCCCCTGTCATCCTCAACAAGACACGAATTTGGCCTTACTTCAGCATGAGGATTGTTGGACAAGGTGGAGTAGGGGAGCCATTCGCTTTGGATCATTCAACAACGGAGACGCGAAAGCCATTGAAAGGCGGAGGGTCACAGCTTTGTAAGTGCAGTTCATTTGGCCGAGGACCACTTTGAACAAGACCAAGAAGAGCAGCAACAAGAAGAAGAGGCTTGCTGAAACCTGCGCCAGGATTCGTCAAATTCAAAGCATCAGAAGCAGGAGGCTTTGGTGCTTGCTCGCCAGGTGGATTCTTGATGACAAACATGAGCGCCAGGCTACTTGGAGGCAATACTGGTAACTTGTGCAAGCTATCCTCAAGTTGCCTGGAACTGCGACCGCATCCTGGTGGGAACATGAAAGGTCTGCATCATTCAAAGGGATGGCGCTGAGGTGAAAGCAAGACAACTGAAGGCTAGAAACGTGAGCTGTGCATGTAATCCTTGTGAAGGTTGAAGAGCGGTAGCGGCGGCGGCAACAAACACACAGCAAGCAACCACATGCAACAACACATGCGTGTTTCATTGGCGAGGCCGCAGGAAACCCAAATGAAAGCAATGGCGGGGGGGGGGGAAGAAGCGGGAGCAAGGCGTTCCGCAGCAGCATCGGGGCAGACTTCGCCAAGCAGAAGGAGATGAAAGAGCAGGGCCGGGCCGCGGCCTCGGACTCGACTGCCTCGGACTGGGGCTGGGGGCTGGGGAGAAAAAAAAGCACGGAGCCAGGGGATAGCTGCGGAGGGTTGAACTGGGTGATGGCTTTTGAACTTCTGAGGGGTCTAGGTGATGAATAGCCATCCGAATCTCTATTTTTTTTGGGGGGGAGTCAACCACTTCCACTTCGTGGGAAGAGAAGCTGGAGTTTTGACCAACCAGCGATGCACTGGGAATAAAATCAGCATTCCATTCCATCCAGAGTACACAGTACCCACGGGGTTTCTGCGGATTGGCAAGTTTTAAGTGCTGCCTGCTAGGTTCTCTGCCACACTCCAAAACAAACCTGCAAACGAGAGGATCTTCGTTGCTGGCATTCGTGCTGGCATTTGATGGCTTTGCTTGGGGCGTCAAAATGGCTGCAATCAGAGAGGGCCCATGCCAATAGAGGCCTTGGAACCCACGCGGGCTAATGATGGGACCCTTCTGTGGAGATTCACAGTTGGCCCCTTGGCAGCCATCGGCATGTCACGCTCTTGGACTCCTCGATGGGTTTTGGCATCCGGCCAGCTCTACCAGACTGGTGGCTTGTGTTGCCGCCTTACCACAAAGTCATGTGTCACCCACCGGGGGTTCTTCTGGGACTTCAACATGTCAACATGCACAATACCTAGGTCCCCCAGGACCCTTATTCTAACCTCTCTACTGGAGGACCTAGATACAATTTGGAGGGGGACCCATTCTCGCGTGCCTTCACCTCGCTCAGATGGCTTTGCGTGCCGGCCGTGGCTTTGTCACCTGGCGGAAGGTGAGGATCGGACCGTGACCGGGAAAGATGTCGGGTTCTCAAAAAAAAATGTTGGTGTCCCTCAGAGAGGGCCACAGGGCTGGACTTCCAAGACCTAAGTGAAGTTGTGAAAAGGGTGCCAGTGCCAGGGCAAGAAAAGCACAGCAAGAACTCCCAAGTTCTAAGGCATGGCCCTCTCTTGTTGTGACGCTGGGCTTCTAGCATGTAGATCTGTTGTAGTCTTGCAGTGTTTCTGAGCCTACGCAAGGTTCTGTGCTTTGCTGAGGCGCGTTTTGACTTGGGTGAAATGGAGCTGAGGCTGTGCGAGTGTCTCCGGCCAGTGACTGGCTCCAGCCCTTCAGCACTGCGGTGATCTCGCTGACATGCTTCAGCGACCTTCCGGGGCTGATGGAAGACGATGCTTGCAGAGGGCTCGTTGGATTTTCCGGTTTCGCTTTCTGAAAACGTCACCTTCTTGGGCATAGTTTAATTAAGCCTTCCTTTGGTGTGACCTGAGCTGAAGTTGAATACCTGGAATCTTGAGGGCAAAACTCATTTGTTAAGGGAACTCAGGTGTTTTGTTTCTCGACACGTCGTAATCTATTTGGTGAACTCGAGATGGCTAGGTCGTGGACTCTTTGCATTTCCAAAGGGCCAATTCTGTGCCAAAGTCTGCCCATTTGCGGCGCTGGCGGAGAGTTTCTACAATTCACTAAACTCTGGTTCTGCTTTCAACCGAAACCAAAGGCAACTGATTCAACACAAGAGCTAGTACTGAATTGTCGCATTCCTCTTCGTACTCCTTTGATGCTCCGTTGTTTCCCTTCCGGGTTGATGGGTGCACAGGTTTGTGTCAACATGATGGACACCCCAAAATGCCTTTGAGCTCCTCGTGAAATAGACCAACGAGAACAAACAAAAATCAATAAAACAAACAGGAGGTTCCCGCAAAAAGGCGACACCCACCCGGATTCCCCGAAAAGGCGACACCCCGCCTTCGGGCTCAGGAGCTGGTCCTCACCTTGCGGGAGCTCCCGGGCCACGCGGATGGCGAGGCGTTCCGCATCCCGCTGCGCCTGCAGTCGCGGCTCGGCGGGAGTCGGCGCTCGGCCTGGGGGCCTTTGGGCTGTGCCCGCGTTTCTGAGAAGATGGGATGCCATTTTTTGTAGCATGGCCATTGGTCTAGGGGCCCCTTTGCCAGCACCCTCCGACCACTGCCCAAACGGCAGTAGATAGAAATTTCCGAAAAACGACCGTAGTTAGAAAAACTACTGTCAATTATTTTATTTGCGGGATGCCCATAGTCTAAGTACTGCTAGCTACTGTTTACAGCGGGGAGATGCCATAGCGGGGGTGGCAGCAAGTGCAGCAAGCGCCTCACAGCGTGTCACCCCTGTCACCCCGTGTCACCTGCGTGTCACCTGCGTGTCACCCGGTGTCGCCCCTGTGTCGCCCCTGTGTCACCCCGCGTCGCCCCCCCCCCAGAACGACAGTAGATCGCTGCGAACTACTGTCGTTTGAGCGTGTCGCCCCGTGTCGCCTCCATGTCGCCCCTGTGTCGCCCCGTGTCGCCCCGTGTCGCCCCCGTGTCACCCCGTGTCGCCTGTGTGTCACCCCGTGTCACCGTGTCACCCCGTGGTCTTGTTTTTCACTGTTTGGGGCGACATGAAACGACCGTAGATCGCGGATCTACTGTCGTTTATTTTATTTTCGGAACTACTGTCAAATACCCGGTAAGCAAGAAAATAAAATTTAGACGGTAGTCGGAGGGTGCTGGTGGGGTTAGAAGGGTTGAGGGTTGTGGGTTCTGGGTTGTGTACCATCCCCCTAGAAGCATCTCGCTGGAGGTCAGGCCCTGCCCACTCCCGCGAAACTGGCCGGCGACGCCCCTGGAATTCAATGTGTGTGTCGTTTTCTGGGAGAAGCTGAACTTGGGGGCCCTTGGCCCCCTTGCCCCACTCCCATCCCTTGTAAGGTGGGGAAGGTTTATCAGTGGAATCAGTTCCAGGGGATCTTGCGCCCGCCTTATTGGGGTGGGGGGGGGAGCCGGTTGCAACGGCCTGAGGTTTGGGAACCCCTTGTACCTGCCGGACCAGCAGGTAGGCTTGAACACCCTGGCGATGCCGCCCAGGCCCATGGATGTGGACCGGGTTGGGGTGGTCGCCTTGAACGATCTTGAACGCGGCGTAGGTCCAAAAGAACAAATGAAGGGGGAGCGTCAAGAGAACACCAGGCAAGGGTAGATATTTGAGAACTGTTCTGCAATTGGAGGGCTCGATAGTGGAAGCCGAAAAGCATTGAAATCGGAGCTGCTCTGTCATCCCTCTCCATTTTGCAAGCCGCTTTCCGACATGAACTCAGCCAGATATCGCTGAGCAGGGTCCCATTTTAGTAAGGATCCGTTTTTGAGGGGACTCCCGACTATCTCTGAGTTTACAAGCCAGGTATGAATCAGGAGTCATGGCATGAGAACCTTGCCAAAGAGAGGGGCCTGAGGAATGCAAGCCAGGGGTCAAAATTGTTCTCCTAGGGGCCCTCCCAAGGGAGTCATGCTGGGAAAACTGCTGGCTAAGCACAAAACTTGAATCCCCCCCAAAACGAATCCGAAAGGGGATGGATGTGTTTTGGCCTTGTCCAGGCCATATTTCTGCGCCCAGAACAGCCATGCCCGAAGAACAACTACTCTCCCGCCCACGTGCATCGAATGTGACGCGTCGCGGAAGCCATTTGTTCTTCTAGAGGGCCTTGGTGGGATTCCAAGTTCTGGGACATGGGCAATACCTGTTGTTGAGGGTGTTTCTTTAAACCAAAGGTTTCTGCCTTGGTTCCTTGGCTTCCCCTGAGCCGGAAAAACGTCCCCTCCCCCCCCCCCAACTCACGGATCGACACACAAGAGGCTCAGCTGCGGTGTCACAGTGCCGGCGGAGAAGCAACTCATTCGGCGCTTCAAAGTTGGGAACAATTCCGCGGCCCGGGTGGTGGTGAATTGGAAGGCCGGGGCCGGTTTTGCCGGCCTGACCCCCAAACCCCCAAAAAACATCCCCGGATCGCTTCCCCACACAGCCGCAGAACTGGCTTCTTCCCTGGTCCCGGGCCTTTGGTGGTGCCAATTTGCCCTCCTTGTTGGAAAGGGTTTCCCTGCAAAATCAGCTACCAACACGAAAGGTAGCCACTGAGCCACTGGAGATGTGGGTCTCAAGTGGGCCAGAGGTGCAACGGCCAGAGGTGCAACGGTCCAGGGGCACAGGTCATCCTGCGAGTGCGCACGTCAGGTCTTCCCAAAGTCGCAGCTGGAGAACATGGCGGAAGATCGGCACATGATCCACGTGGCCCTCTGCGGGCGCAACTCTGAGGTGAAGGATCCTGCGAATGCTACCATTTGGACACACGCGGGCCGAGACCTTTGGAAGGGGAAGGATTCTATATATTACGCAGCGATGTTGGAAGTGTGTTGCTTTCGACTAGAGGCTCAAGAACATTAGAGGCAGGTAAGGCGTGGATTGCCCTTGCATTGAGAAAAACAAAAGAACGCTGCATATAGGGTGTGCGGTGGGGCTTCATGCAGATGTTTGGCTGACCTTTCTGATGGTGCAGGATCCTTTCGTGGAGGCTCCCAAGAAGGAGGTGGCAGACAAGGCGCGCAAGAGCTTGGACCGTATCAAGGTTCACAAAAAAATGGTCGTAGTCCACCCTAAAGGGTGCCTCAATTCCTGAATTCCTGGGCGCTACGCTTCTAGCTGCCTGCTAAGAAAGGAGGCGATTTCCGTAGCAAACCCGGTTTTGGTTCAAGAAACGAACGCTTGAGGGTTGCTTGGGGCGCCTCAGCAAAGCCAAGGAGAACCGGCCCGCCCAAACTCAGCCCTCGAGGATTAACTGTTGGATGCAGATGGCAGCTCCGCATTTTGTTTTGAAGTACAGGGTGGCAATGGATTACATGTATTGCAAGTAGATCACATATTTTGCTTGCTCCCCACTTGCAAGATATTTGGGGAGATATCCCTGTAAACTCACCCAAGAAAGGGGACCCTCAGAAAACGCAAGCCACCTGCGCAATTGGGCCCGACCCTGTCCGGAAGTTGGCTTTTCCCCGTCTAGAGACAAGCCCATTTGCAGGACGTGCTGCAGCTGAACGTAGAAGAGGTGTCAAAGGCTTTGGATGATGACGAGGAGCCTGATCCGGAGGAGCCGTTCAACTTTAGGAGCCGCAGTTCAATGGCACTTTGTGTTTCCCTTTCATTTGTTCAAGCTAATGTGTTCATTATTCAGTTGTTGGTTTCAAGGAAACACATTTCCGTGGGTGACAAATGATCAGCCTCAAACAAAAAGGCTCCCTTTTCTTTATCCTGTAACTGCTCACTTGTCCAAAGCCGACCTTTTGACCTTCTGCATTTGCTCGCTTTGGCCCATTTGTCCAGCTAAAAAGCTTTGTTCAGATCCCAGGTCCGCTGGTCTGAGACAGGGAACCCAGGTTTCGAATCTGCCGAGGATTTGGTCCGAGCAGCCTCCGCAGATTTTGGATCCGTTTGCACTTCCCGGCGGCCAATTGCCCGTGGAGATTGAACCAGAGGAGGCCATCGCAACCCGAATGCCATCACATTGGATGGAGGCTATGGACCTCTATGGACCTAGGGGTGTGGGGACATGGCACCAGAAAGTTGGGGTGGGGGTGGGGGGGGGCAGGTGGCCACTTTCTGCAACGGAAAGCCCATCGAAGGTCAGAAAGTTGTAGCATCACAGGGAGGGAGTGCCGCGACTCTGCTTGAAGACTAGCATGAAGCTACAGCTCAGAATGCAAATTGCATGCGCAGCTACATCTAGCCCAAAAAGAAAGGCAACTCCCAGCGTTCCATTTTAAGACTACCTGCCCCCCCAGGCATAAGCCCAGGACACCCCTGCGCTGAAGTCTATCTCGGGGTAGTCAAGGGATTGGGCGCAAGTGGCACGAAACCGGCCAAGGTACCTGAGCACGGCACCGCGACCTTCTCTGTGACCATGACCTGCTTGAAAGCGACCCTGACAGCTGCGAACAACTACCGCTACACTCTGATCGGAGATTGCGCCTGGGCAATTCCGGCTGTGGTTGTTAGGACCGCCCATGTTGGGCTTCCCAATTCGAACACCAACCTGCTTGGAAGGCTGTGTGGCATGTTTGTTGATAGGGCCGTAGTTCGCATTTGTTTCCCGTATGGCCGATTGTTGTATGGCCATGTGTTGTCTGGCCGGTGGCCGAATTTGGACGTACACACCTGCAATTGTTCAACAACTGCTGACCAAAAGCCGCACATGACAGTCCCATTTTTGTGTGGCCCAGCCGGTGGTGCCAACACTCATGCCCGCGTGCCATGCGCCCCGATCCCCCAAAAGAAGGAGGTGGCCAAAAAGTCGCCAAGTGTCCATCAACTTCTCCCCCCACCCACACCCCCACCCACACCCCCACCTGCCTTTTCCACGGTTTGTGGGATAAATTAGTACCCCCTGGTAGTGTAGAAACCCTTTTCAAGGGAGGCTGTTCATTTTAGTCGAAAAGGCAAACCCTGCTGCCACACCACCGCACCCAAACCCCACCCCACACCCCCACCCACACCCCCACCCCTCCCACCCCCCAGCCCCCCTTCTGTCGCTTCATGTCGCGTGAGGCCGCTTCACCGCGGACCGGGCCCAGCGCCTCGCCTTCGCCGCGGAGAACCCGGACGAGGAGTTCGACGACCACCTGGCCATGGACGCCTACGCGGCCTCGGTGGAAGCGCTGGGGGGTTGGCTCCCCATGTCGTTTTAACTTTGGTGCATTTTGCCAACTATAATGTGTTTTCCATCAAACCACATAAACCACTAAAAGTTAAACTTTTGGGAGGGGAGCAGAAAGCAACCGAGTTAAGAGAAGCGCCGGGTTGTTCTGTTCAAACACCGGAATTGTTTGGTTTGCAGCTATGGTTCTCCATTAGAAAAGTATGGTTCTTTTCGGAAACAACGGATCTTCCCGTGGATTTGTGTTGGTTTCCCAGAAAGAAGGATCCCTGGCTGGAAGAAACGGGGAAGTTACCACTAGAACACCTCTTGAGCTGCTAGATCTTGAGCAAACTTTGGTTCAGCCTACTGTCGATGGACGAAATCATGCACCTAGCAAACCCCGGTGTTTGATTCGATTGCCCAACCTGAATACCAACAACCCTTGGTGGTGCGCCACCATCCATGTAGAATGGGTTCATGGTAAGGCCCGTGCCCAGAAACGATGTGGCGGTGCACCAAACAAAGCTGAGGTGAGCCACAATCAAAACCCGGGTAGATGAAGGTTAGTAAGTGGCAGTGCCAGCTGGAACTAGTTGCGGATATCCGCCCTTTCTAATTCTTGAAGCATGGTCCTGGAATCACCATTTTTTTGTACCAAGTGTTGATTGTGACTCAAGTTGTGTACTGACCCCATTTTCCTCCCCAGCATTTAGGTGGCTACAAAAAAACTGAGCCAGGTGAATAGTGATTGCGACTCAGGTGGCTACCGAAAAAAATGCTGAGGTGGCGGTGTCGCAGGATGAACAGGTGAAGGCTTTGCCGGACATCGAGCTGGACACGGCGCAGCTGGTGGACGATGACTCGGACGTGGAGCCGAACATCCAGGAGCTGAAGGAGCAGCAGCAAGTAGAGGCAGGGCGTCTTCTGGCGGTGTATTTATGCATTATATATTTATATTTGTATAGATGTGTCAACATATGTGTGTGAATATATATATATATAGATATATCAATATCATGTATGGTCTCCTGTATCATTTTTTTGGGGGGGTGACAAGCCGTGATTCTCACCTGGACCCGACAAAAGGGGGGGTGGATTCATTTTGCGTTTTCCCCACCCACTCCACCTCGTTTTGGCGGGGCTGGCCCCCTTTCTAACTTTGCTTGAAGGACACCACAGCAATGGATGTTGCTGGGCAAGTTGTGGGTTCCTCACAATGAGTGCCTTGCGACCTCACCGGTGATCAAGGTTCCTTTCTTAGTGCCGGATCTGTTTTTGTTCCTATTGTTTTCTCCAGGTTTCCCTTGTTTTCTTGCAGAATTACCTGGTTGAAAAGGGGCCAATCAAAGCTTCTTTCGTGCAACAGGGGGAAACCTGGGACACGGCCTTCAGCGTAACTTGCTGGTGCTCAGGAATGAGAAATGGAATGCCCCTTACAACCATACTGTGGATGGACGAACTCCTGCACCGCTTGGAAACCATGGGAAACCATTGCTTGTTAGCATTTGCAGCGGAATCGAATCATTCCAGAGCTTCTTAGGTGGTGCGAAATGGGTTTCGTCCATCCACAGTATCCCCTCTGGTTTCCTTTCAGGGAACCAGGTTCATTCCCTCGTTCCCTGCGTGCGCGTGCGCAGGTGCCGCCGCCTGTGGAGGCGGTGAAGAAGCTGAAGCGGTCCAGGTCCCTAGCGCCGCCACCCCAGCCGTTGGCAGTGGACCCGCGGCCGAGAAGAAGAAAACAAAACGGCGTGCAGGATTTGTCGACGTTCGGTTTTTGGTTTGCTTTGTTTGGAGTATGGTTGGGGTTGAACTCTGGGTCGGCCTGTTTCGCTTGGCTTGCCGTTGTTTTTGTTTTTGGACTGGCCATTTGTTCTTTGTGTTGCTGGTTTCGTTGTTTGCCTTGATTGTTTGCCCCACTTGTTGTTACAAGAGGGTGCCAGTTTTTTTCTTGGTTGGTTCGGGTGGTGGTTTGGACATTAAGTGCGCGTTTAGTTTTTGCACTACTGTTTCCCAATCAAGTAAGGGGGCCGACTTTCTTACGGCTCGTCTCATCTTAAAGCACGATGTGGCTATGCGGGTCCAATGAGGCGAGCTCGTGTTGGGGGCGGAATTGGCATGACAGTCCCATATGTGTGATTATTCGTGTCACGACGTTTGCTTCTGTAATGGCGTTTGTTTCCGTGTTGATTTCCCATTTGGCATAACAGTTCTTTTGTTGTGGTTTAATGTTTCAAGAGATGATGCCAGCTAGAGGCGGTTGTTAACAACTCGTTCCCTGGGACAAGGGTTGTGCTTGCTTCATGTGGCTGTGGGTCCAAAATATGTACCCAAATGGAATCCTGGTAAATGGAAACATGGACTAAAACCTGCGGTCCCCTGGTGGTTTAATTTTGACCCACACCCATGTGGGAAGCAGTTGTGAGGCCTGAGGCGGCTTGGCCTTTCGATTCAGATGGCTTGAGCTGCATTGATGCTCCAGGCTGTTGGCAGGCAAGATGCTCAGGTTTTCCGTTGCCTCAGTTACATGCTGTGGTGATCCCATTGTATGTCCAAGTTCCCTGTCGCCCAAGCAAGGCGCATCGCACAGAGGAAGTACACTGCTGCAAAACCGACCCTGGATGCACAAACCTGGCAGAGTCATCGGGTGTTTTACTCCCAAAAGTGGAGGATTCCTTCAAATGTCGGACATCCTCATACAGCTCACCAAGCTTCTTTTCAGTGACTCCTGGTTCCCACGGCTGGGCATGGAGTCTGAGGAGCCGCAGCTGGACGTGTTGGCCACCATCGTCATCGACTGCACCGGGGACTGCGTGCTGCCGCGGCTCACGGTGGACAAGAAAGGGAACCCCACCGTGGAGGAGTTCCCAGCGCAGAACAAGGAGCAGGACGGACGGCAAAACCAAAGACTCCCCGGTAACGCCCCCCCTGGCCTTATCCCGAGAGAGGGTCTGAGAAGCGTTCTGGGGAGGGCCCGATTTTGTTTTGTCTTTTGGGGGGCCCCAGGGTAGAGATGACGTTTCTTCCAGGTTCGGATGGGCAGAGGATGGGGATGGGTGCGCTGGAGGGTGTGCGTGCTCTAGACGGAGGCTAAGGATGGGTACCCGTTGCCTTCACTTGAAGTCAATCTAAAACGGCATGCACTCCAAACACACAGCCCGTGTTGTAGATGTATTTTGAGTTTGGGATGGGCGGGGGGCGGTGGGATGGTGAGTTTGTGCTTCATTGGCGTGGCTGCGAGGTGGGGCCCTTGTGGGAGTCAATCTCGAAATGGCCTTTGGAACCCAAAAAGGGCTTTTGTCAACGTCTCAACGTAGGGGGTCGCATTTGGATGCATAAATCTTGATGTGCATGTCCAACGAAAGGTCATACCCAGTTGGGTTGTCTCAAAGTCCCCAAATGGCTGGCTTCCTTTCGGTTTCCACGGGTACCCTTGGCAAAGACCAATTGTCGAGATGGATTTGGGCGCGTGAAAGCGATCCACCTTACAGGTTTGCTGGACGACCGATTTGGGGCACCAAGGTTCCAACCTTCAGTCCAGATGGGGGCAGCACACCCAGATGGCTGTAGAGATTAGGATGAAGTGGGATCAAAGGGTGGAGCTGGAGCTAAGAGAGGTGTTGTAGCTACTTGGCGGTTGCTACTCCTCCTCGTGATGGATTCGCGCGGCTTTTCATAGAAACCAGCCAAGGGAAATTCTAAAAGAAGTCGCCAGCAGAAACACAGTTTTGGGCAACTGTTTTGTGAATAGCCCTGTGGTTGGTTTAGTTTCTAAGAAGGATTTAGGCTTATGTCCGGTAGAAATCCTGCAGATGGTTGCTTAGGCGCGTAGTTCTTTGCGCTGGATTGCAGTTGCATGCTGTCATCTGCCAGGACGACATCGGGGACACCACCGAGCCGCCGGTGTTGAATGCTCCGGTCTTCAAGTTCACTTGGCCTGCCACGCACTTCGGCTCCCGAATTCAGCCTGGATCAACAGCGAAAACTCGGAAGAAACACGGATATCGCTGAAATCTTACACTTACGGGGCCCAAAAAGGGCGTTTCGAGTTGTGCGATGTTAGTATTTTGGCTGTGGTGCCTTAATCTTGTTGTCGTGTGTAATCATTGGGGCATCCCGTTTTTGAAGACAGTGTTGTGGCGGCCCCTCCACAGTCCATTTTCTACCGTTAGCATTGGGGTGCAGCCCGAGTCATGGCCCCAAAAGCTTCATCCCACCTTTGTTCTCCACAGCTTCTTTGATCACTCCCTAGTTTGTTTTTTGATTTTGAACCTCACTCTCTTGGGCAAGATTGAACTTGTAGTCCAGCCGCCATGGCCCCCCAAAAACCAGCCTTTGTCCAGCCCCTGCACCTGAGGCAAGAAGGAGCCCAGTTGGGCACAGGGCCCGTTCACGGCGGCGCTCTTGGGGGGACGCAGGTCCCCGGCATCTCCTTGTGCCAGGCGCGGAATTTCTGGCACGATGCTTAGGTGGGCAAAGAGGACTTCCCTCTTGCTTAACTCATTTGCCCAAAGCCGACCTTTTGACCTTTTGGTTTCCCTGATTTGGTTCATGTTTAGCCAACAAGCCAAAAGGTTAACCTTTTACTTCTGGGTCCTTTGGGCAAGTGAGATAAGAATATGTTTCATTGTCCTTTGTTGGCTTTAAAGGGAATCCAGCACTGCTGGAACTATGTTTATTTTTCCAAGGGGACTTAAGCAAATGGAAGTCAACTGTAGCTGCTGCGTCCATTGAAGTGGATCGTCTCGAAAAGGGATGTGAACCCTGCCAAACATGGCGTTCCCCTTGGCTTCGCTTGAGAAAGCTGGGTCCGTTGAGGTTGCATTTAGACGGGCGCTCAACATTACTCTTAGGTTGTTTCACTTTGAGCGATCATTTGTAGCTTGTTATCTGCGCTCAACTTCAACTAGGGAGTCGCACACAGACCTTGCAAAGGGGGATTGCCTGCATTTTGCGGTCACAGCAGGTTTTGTTTTTTGTTGCTTGTAGGCATTAAGCGAGTCAGCAATCGTGCTCAGGTGCGGCGACTGTTTTGCGACGGCAAGGTTCCATAGACCATTTTGAAAGGTAAACCTAAATCTAAGTTATTGTTGTGCTCGTCCAGCTTAGTTGCTGGTTGGACATTTAACATTCTGTGTGCGGGAAAGCACGCATGTTCCCGCGACTAGTTTGGACATTGAGCGCCAACATCCCACTAATCAACGGGGAAAATAGTAATTTTCAGCACTTCCTTGGAAACGTTCATTGCACCAACCACCAACCCGCCTGGGGGCAAAAACCCACTTTTCAAAATGTTGAGTACTAAACAGGAGATACACTTCTATGCTGGGACGGGTAATGGCTCAATCGGCCAATGAGTTGGTCCGTGTTTGCCATTGGCTTGGGACTCGGGACCATTCGCTCTTGAGCCGCCGAGCCGCCGAGCGCGTGCCATGGGTCCAGGTGCGACAGATCAGCTTCTCCAACCACAACGCGTCGAAGGTCACCTGCAAGTTCCGCACTGAAGGGCCCTTCCGCATTCAGCTCATCCAGCAGCCAGGCCCGCGATTTGCAAATGGAGGTTTGGTCTGTGCGCGCGTGCCTGAAATGGAATGCTACGGTCAGGGGGAAGTGTTGAGATACCTCAGGCACCTTGGGGAGTCGCTACCGGGAGCGGTGGCTTACAACATTCTTTTACGACCATGGTTCAGCATGAAGCCCTGCAATGGCCGGGACCACGTAAAGGATTTCCACTATTCGGTCCCTCATTTAGACTGATGCCCTAAGTGGGTTGGACCCCGAAAAGACCGGGCACCCTAAACAAGCAGCAGCCCCAAGCCTGAGAGGGCGCTATGGGCTTGTCTCGAAATGAGATGTGAAACCCTAGAACATGTGCGGTTTTCCTTTGGCTTCCCTTTTCAACATTTCTGGCTTGAGTTTAAATGAGAATCTTGAGGTCAAGATTTGGGGAGGTCACGGTAATGGACCCAACGCCACAAAGGGCACCGAGCCTTCGCGAGGCCATCACCCAGTGCAGAACTCCAAGAAGGGCAAAGAGCAGAAGCCGAGCTGCAGTGAGAGCTCTGGAGTTAAGTTTCCCTGCAGAGTTTCCACTGGTAACCAGTGGCACGCATGTTGAGTGGGATCCCATGGCGAGGAATGACATCAAGCAGCTCTTTGTGCTGCCGAAGTGGGAGACGATCACGCTGCATGTGGCCTTCCTTCCAGAACAAGTGCCTGCGTCACAGTGGCACCATTACCTCACCAGGCCGGGGTGGACATTTCTGACAGAAAGAGGCAGGCTAACAAGGGCTTTCTTACCCGAGTAGAGGTGCGCTCAGCTTTGTGCCAACGCCTCTTTGGCTTGTCCCAAACAGAGGTGGCAACGGTGACAGTGTTGCCGAAATGGTGACAGTGTTGCCCTTCCCCTTGTTACGTTCCTCTCAAAGCACCTTTTGTGTGCTTGGGCCAAGTGCTTGGGGCTGCCAACATGTGCCACCGTGCCAGGCATGAGCACGTGTTCAAGGGGGACCTGATTGTGGAGTATCCGCGCGACACATCCGGTGAGGTCAGTACACACAAGGAGCACACCTTGCGGTACCTACCAAACGGCTAAGTGCCTAACATAGGGACCCGAAAGTCCAATGGCTAGTTTTGACGCAGAGCCAGATGCATAACGCTTGTGGAAACGTGAGTTTCAGAGCAAGTGCGCTGCACTTGCCAAGAAACCCGCTCCAAAGTGATAAGCTAGTCATAGGGATGGCCAACTTTGACACCCTGAAATGAGTCAATTGTCCACAACCCTGGCCATTTCATACTTGCTTCGCACGAGGACGACCTCCAGCGGATACACCTGGTGGGCACTGCGCGTCGCCCCGCCGTGCGGGTCCATGCGATCCCCAATGAGCACGACCGGCCGGCGCGGTTGGAGCGAGCTGAACGGCCGCCCTGGTCGGATCCTCTGCCGGTTCTGGTGGAGTTTGGATACACGCATATCACAAGCTCCGTCACCAGAACGAGGACAGCGGGTGGGCTTCCGGTATGGTGTTGGTGGAGGAATGCAGAGAAGCCTATGCCACGAAAGTGGCAGCTTTTTTCAATTGTGTCAGGTCAACGCGGGGAAAAGGGTAGGTCTAATTTAATTTGCGTCTGATGCCATGCGGGCTACTTGCATGGCTTGATGGCTCAAGTGTAGGAATTATTGAACATGTTTCATCATGTTTCAGTTTTCCTGCTAGGTTTAAGTCGAAACAGAACATGTGATTTATATAAAACTCCAAAATCACCTTTTGCCAGACCGTCACAAACAGATCACTGGCATGCAAGTTGGGGGAAGCAAACGATCCGCGCCATGAGTTCAACCACGAACACTCAGCCAAACATGTTGGTCCGTGAGTTGAAGTTTTGGTTGACAAATCTGTCCACTCTTCGCCGCTTGCAGCCTCATTCTGCAAACAGGCAGCAAGGCCCTGGCTGCTTGATCAGTTAGTTTCTGACAACCCGGTGGGCGTTCCCTCAAACCAGTGGTTGTTGGTTTCCTCATGGCCCCCCGTAGGCACCATCCAAAAGGGGTCTTAAGTTTGGGGCGCACAAACGCCAGCAACCACTTGTACCCATGTTTAGGTATGTTCCCGCTGGAGTCCTTGCCAGCAGTGGGCATGGCACAGGCTTTGCCTCGTCTTGAAAACAATTTTGACCATTTGTTTGGTCCTACTACCCCTTCCCCACATAAAACTTGCTTGTGCTCAGTGGGGAGTGAGGAAATGACCCTATGAACCATCCCTTGTGGTTTTCTTTAAGCGGACACCCAGGTTCAGTCCCTTATTCCCTACTGACTCCTTAAAAAAAACAATGAAAGTGGTTGGATCATTTTTGTTTGCCCTCACTTCCGAAGTTCCTAGACTTGATACTGTTGGGAGGTCTGTTGTAGCGGTAACGGTTCAGACTTGTCATGGCAAATTCACTCACGTGAATGTCAGACAAGGGCAAGCAATCGGTTAGGTTTCGCAGGATTTTCCGACGACTTGAGGTTTGGAACGGTTGGAAGCCTACACCAACCTGAGAGAACAATGACCATGGCCTTCATTTTGGAGTTCAGACAAAGATGATCAAGATTCCTTAAACAAGCACAAGGAACCACAAAACAACTTAACAGAGACACACACCAAAGCACCTGGCGGAGAAAACGAGCACCGGAGGTGGCATTCAGTTCCCCCCCCCCCCCCCCCAGGCCACCTCGCCTTTCCATTAACCTCCCAAGTGTTTGGAGCTCTGTGCGAAATGCACAGCATGGTTGAAGCCATTTAGCATGTTGCGAAATGGACTTCTTCCGTCCACTCTTGACCTAGCCGGAGGACCATTTTGCTGTCCAACGTCACCAACATCATGGCCAGGTGGTCCCTGGCCCACGTGGGCCGAAAGCGGAAGCAGAGCCCAGTGGTGGGCGCCACACTGGTCGAGGAGGAGGACAAATCCGCGGGTTGCGCTTGGTGGACCCCCATCTTGGTTGGTGTTTAAAGGGAAACCCTTCTTTGGCCATTGCTTTTTCTTTTTCCAGTTTGTGACTTACAACCACTTGCTCCGAAACGTTTGAACCATCACTGTTTTCGGGAGACCATCCACTTCTCTCTCCTACGCTTGTTTTGTTTTTGGCTAACATGTCCTCGGGAAAGCATTCATCGCCTTTTTCACAAGCCAGCCGTTTTCCTCGGGTTTTTTGTGGTTTCTAGAGGAGCAGGATGCCTGGAAAGAATGAGGTGTTCCTACCCCTAGATGGATGGATTTGGTGAAATCCCCTCTACCCCAGCCACAAACTCCTCGCCTTCTGCCTTGGGAGTCCGAGCTGGAGGTAAGATTTGTCTTGTTGCATGCAGCTGATCAACATGTGCTTGCGACAGGCTGGGTGTTTTGTTTCTTTTCATCTCGGCTTGGGTCAAGAGGTGGCCCGGCCTCTCCTTTGGTAAGTGAGTAAGTGTCTTTTTGTTTGGGGCCCCCTTTGTTTTGTATTCGTCTCAGGTTTGGCATCTTGTTAAGCCTTCCTCGCTCGGGGTTTTGCTCACCATCAGCGTGCAAAATGCACATCGCCGTGATCATGGATGTGGGTCTTGGTCACCTTCGTTGGCGGGATCCGAAGCCGAACGCGTGTGGTATATATTCGGGGCACCTACAAAAGCCAGCACATATATGTCCAGATTCCATCGACTCCTTCCTGGTTTTTTCCGCGCAAACCCTTTATCCAAACTCCAAGGCATGACTGTGACAGGTACGCTTGAATTGCTGCTCGAGTTATTGTTCATGTACCCCTCATGTTCTCTCGGTTTGCGGGAGCCTTTGGTCCACTATTTGTGTAAATCTTTGGGTAGGTTCCCTGGTAGGCAAAGGGTCGTCATGCCAGCAAAGGGTAAGTCCATGCTGGGTCCTTGGGTTCATTAACTTGAGCCTTACTAGAGGCTTACTTGCTGGATGGCTGAGAGCTTTAGAGGCGGTCACTTCTCAAAGTTAACGGGGAGGTGCCTCCCGAGCTAAAGGCCAGGGTGCTGTTGCGGTGCTGGTGCATGATTCGGGTGGGGTCCAGTGGTCGGTTTCTCAGCTTATTCGGCCCGCGAACCATACAATAACTCTGGTTTTGACCTGAGTTGCCTTGAGTTACTCACCACTTGCCATTATCGGTATACCCAGGTATAGGTAGAGGCTCGGTATAGGTATAGGTTTACCCAGGGGCACCCACGCAGGTACAGGTATACCCAGTCACCCGGTATACCCAGGCATATCCCTTTGAAGCCGCCTCACCGGAGAAGCGCACCGGCCTGACGGGAGGACTTCCGTGCGCTGGACGAGCGGGAGGCCTTCGAGTTCGACATCTCGGCGGGGGAGCTGCCGGGACCCTCCAAGGATGGCCTGATCCCCGGCTCCGAGGCGCCGCTTCTTCGCTTCGGCCTTCGCCTCGGGAGTTTTTGGGGCGGGGAGTTTCTGGTGCGTGACGATGTGAAGGCGACAGTTGACCCAGCCTCGCAAAGCGAGTTCTTCCAAGACGAGCAGCCAAATTCGCGGAAGCATTTGACAAGATAAAACTGGGCGTTTCCTAGTGCAAACGAACTGGCCACCTTCAACTGTGGAGCATTTGCAACTCCTAATCCCTGCAAACTCCTGGGCTGGCTTTGGAACACCTGATGGGGGTAGCTGAGGCTGATGTCCACAACAATCCAAGTAGAGAACAATAACTTTCAACACATATAGTACAACTTCTGTACAAGGTTTGCGGCTAACTTGCTTGCAAACGCCCATCTCTGAGTGCTTGTGGCACCAGCAAATCCCCCATGCAGCACCGCAACTCACAGCCCACCGTTGCCTAAAGGCTCGGAAGCTGAAACTGGGGGACCCCCCCAAAGAAAAGAAAGAAAGAAAGAAAGAAAGAAAGAACGAAAGAAGCAACACACACACACAACACACAGCACACACATACAACACACACACACACACACACGCACAAACAAACACGCAACACACACACACAAGACAACGCACACAACACAGAAATATCAAGCAACACCAGCGCAAACACAGATTCAATAACGGGAAGCACAACTCATAGCACATAGGCCAAACCGTCAGCTTTTCGGCCCCGAATTCGGTGGCTTGCGAGGAGCGAGTTCCCCACTGGTGTGCCAAGACCTCCGCACTGCCTCACGGGCCGCCGTTCCCAGATGAGGACGTGACTCCCTTGACACGGGTGCACGGCTCTTCTGGCGTAGTACCCTCGCTGGTTGGCCTATAACGGACAATTTGAAGGAAGCGCAGCATGTTGGGTTCCATATCCGCTGCCCATGACGGAGAAATGTTGACGGGGAAGGGCCGAGATTGTTTGTGGGTGCATTTTGCATGCCTCTCCTAGACACCCCTCCACGCACCCTTTTAGGGGAGCAGGTAGCCTGACGTGCGAGCCAATCCCGAGCCAGTATGGGACAAGGAAAGCGCATCTAGGGTTTCAGAGTCGTTCAAATCAGCATCGGTGAAGAGAAAACCTTCATATGCGGGACTGAATCACCCAACAAGCCGGCCTTCTTTCGCGGGCCTTCAAGGTATGACCCTGGCAGCTTTGTGTTTGGCACATCCTTTCACAGCTTGGCAGCCTTTGCTAGTGCGCACAGCATCTCATCTCATCCCACCTGAGTTGGATTCCGCACTTCAGGGTTTGCAATTGGTTGACTTCGTTCCGATCCTGTGCCTGAGATTGCTCACCCTTCTAAGGATAGTTTTTTCTTGCATCCCTGGAGCAGGTTCAACATCCCAGGGTCCCCCACCCCCCGTTGCTCCACTTCCCTGAGGGAAATGACTGGGCATAGTGGAAACCCAGACATCGATGACATCGCCAAGGGTTCCAATACTGGCAAACGGATACCCTTGATGCTTCCATGGCATGACCCACCGCATCATTGGACTCAGGCACGAGTATGGGCTTTTGAGGAAAGCCCCACCCCTTAAACAAGTTCCAGGTGTATTGGTCCAGGGTTAATACCTCAAGCTGTTTTCACCACGCAGCGCCGACACTGCTTCAGTCCGTGCAGAAGCCCAACAGTCGCTTTTGTAAAGGGGGATTAGAGGACATCGCACCGACAAAGTTCTTGTGTCAGCGTTTATTCTGGCAGTATCGTGCCAGGAGCGCTTTGAGCCCCAGAGAATCAAGATCTCCTTTAGGCCGAAGAAGAACGAGCTCTACAAGTGCCGGTTCCGGGTGCAGGCGAGATACAAGTTGGGCTTTGATTTTCTGATGGCCAGACCTAATTCAAGGCTTGCGCTTTTGAATATGTTGCCCGTTTGGTTTCCTTTTCGACGTTCCTTGCAGGGAATCCAAGTCTGACCCGGTGGTTGCAAGAGCGGCTCGCACATTTGGTCACAAAGGCTGCCAGGTGGCGCTGAGGCGACCTCTGACAATTGCTACCCCTTGCACATATGCTCCGACGTTTGTGTTGGTAAAGCCCGCCATTTGTGAAGGGCAGCCTCGCCTGACACAGGCACAAGGGGGGGCAGACTTTTGGTGGCCTATCGGTGTTCTAGATGGTAGTCATGGTCTCGACAGAGAAACCCTCTGATTTCGGGGCTCTTTGGACACGAGCGGGTCGTCCAGAGACAACTGAGAGCAGCTGTCCGTTTCTGAGAGCACTTTCGTTTTGCGAAAGGCTCCTGACCCTAAGAACGGGGGCAGTCGCGCATTTGGTGGCGTTCTCGAATACAGTGGTCGTGTTTAATCTGAGTTGCGCCGGATACTGTTGTTTTGAGAATACACGCAGGCAGCCCCTTTTCAAACAGGATGATTTTCCTCAGGAAGCCACAAGGGGACCGGGGTGATAACGACATTTTGGCAAGGGGCCAAAGCGGGGAGCCCCCTTCATGGCGATCAAATAAGATGCTTTCCGCCGGTGTTTGGATTATGCCTCTCCACATTCGCTTGGGAGCAAGAGGAAACGGACGAAATCAGCTGGTTGGTGAGGTGAACTCGGGCGGCGCAAAAACGGGGGAAATCCCAGGTGGAGAACGGGCTCACCATCGACTTCATTTGCCGGGGCTGCGGGAGCTTCGACGAGGAAGACGACAACTTGGACTTTCACGAGGCGTAGCATTGCAGGTTTCACCGAAGTTTCGTTTCACCCCGGACCGGCCCGTCGCTCCCCCAAAGCTTGGCAGGCTTTCAAATGTATGTGGTTTCTTGCAATGTGTATCTAGTTAATAGTTGGCATACATGCATGTGTCGACATACATGTGCATGCGTGGCCAACTTTCTAACTACAGGGTTTTGTCCCAATCTGCCTAGGGGTGAACTTTGTGTTCGGTGAATTTGCCCTCCCGCCCAAGCACTCCTTCGGGGAGCAACTATGGTCGAGCCTGCAAAACCGTAGGCGAGGGTGAGGAAAGGAGCCATCAAGTCGCATTGAGCAACCAGTGGTTTGCCAAGCTCCGTGGCCAGTAAACATGAATCTGTTTCACGCGTGGCCCAAACTCAATTCAGGCAATGGTTGCACAAACCGTCTCACCAGGAATGAGCAGAACGTTGCTCCTAAAGGCCACGGAAAACGTACTCTTGTTGCATCACGCATGCCTGGCAGTCGGCTTCACAAAGCCGAGCCTCTGAATGGAAGGAGTTGCCACACATTGTAGAATTCAATTGCGGGGAAACGTTTGCCTTCCTAGTTGTCGGTGCCAGCATGCGTGGTTTCCCTGGGACAACCGTCAACCGCGCGCAGGGTTCCCTGTCACTTGGCAGCTAGGTCTCGCGCTCCCGCCCGCCTGGCTGTCCGGCTTCAGGGCTCGGATTCCGCGCGGCCTTAAACGGCGGACGCAATGAAGCTGACTTTGTGCCTCGCGGCCCTTTGCATCGGATCCGCCACCCGGATCCGAACGGGGCGATGGGCCTGCGATGGGGCGGGCTGCCAGTGCAGGCGCCCGTGATCGCCGATTGGTCGAGGTTGCGCCACTTACCTTTTGCGAATATGCAAGTGGAAGGGTGCCAGTGTTGTTTTTGGTTTGTTTTTTGTTGTGATGTTGTTCGTTCTGTCTTTGGGTTGGCGCAACGTAAGATGGAGCCAATACGCTGCAAGAACGCAAACATGATACGAAATGGATAGCTTACTTCATGCAATGATGATTTATGACTTGCCATGTACACCAGGAATGAACGCACAGGTACGCATAAGGGAATCCTGCTTTAGTTGGGCTTTCAATTTCTGGGGAATTCCACAATTAACATCTACGTGCTTTAGGGATGAACCAGTGATCAACCGGTACATGCCGGCCAATCTTAGCCTCACTCCCTCAGTTCCTCGAGATTGAACTTGTTGGGAAAACCATATAAGTGGCAACGAACAGTTTCAATCTTATTTGACTCTGGAAGGGCCAGGGTGGGAAGAGGGCAACCTGTGCAAAGTGCTTGGGCCGGCGGGCCGAATTTGTTGGCTGCAGTGAGCCATAGTGAGCCCAAGCCAGCGTACGTGGTCCATAGACATCACCTGCCTCCAGGCTGCAACAGTCTGAGAGCGGATTCCAGAAATGGAAGAAATGGCGTTGGCAAGAGGTCACCCGGATGTCAGCTCCAGGTGCGCTGCGCTGGCCCAGATGGAGACTCCCTCCGCCGATGACTTGGTGCTGCCGCCCGAAGTGCCCCCACCGCTGCCACCGATGCCTCCACGGGCACTGCCACCCATACCTAGCTACACGCAGATGACGGAGGAGGCACCTTGCCAAAACGTTTGGCGCTGCTTGGCCCTGCTTGGCCTTCGCGCACGTTTGGCAGGGAATCCACTTGCCCGGAGGCTCCGAACCTTAGAACTTAGGCCGGTTTCGGAGACCTCACTTTTCAGGCGTGATGCACCACGCTCTTTGCGGAAGAATGGACATTGGGGCGTTCCATGTCAACAGAAAACATCCGACGTCTTGGGCCTTCAGGTAAGGAACCCACCACGTATCCCTTAAGACTATGAAACCAAGGGGTGGTTGAGTCTTACTATCCCTTAAGACTATGAAGCCAAGGTACCGAGGGCTATGGCAACCTCCCAGCAGGGTAAACAGTTGCTCCCCGGAGCAGCCGGACCTTTCAGGCTGTTGGAGGCATGCGTGGGCCTCCGCAAAGGGCACGTTGTTGTTTAGGGGTAGGAGCAACCTGGACTACAACCTACCATACTGTGGATGGACGAAATCCTGCACCACTTAAGCAACCCTGGAATGATGATTCACTTGTAAATACGAACAAACAATGGTTTCCCATGGTTTCAAAGTGGTGCAGGATTTTGTCCATCCACAGTTGGAGGGTAACATACCCAGCATACCATGCTGTTTTTGCTCCTCAAGGAGTGGAACACTGCTCCAGTTGCAAATTTACATCTGGCTCCAAGAAGGGCAGGTCCTTCTGGCGAGTCCGCCAGAAAGGATGAGCTTAGTTCATCTTCCTGCCTTCTGATGTTCCTCCATTGTCCCTTTTGCCCAGCAAAAGCTGCAGGCCGAGTCAGGCCGCAAGACTTGCTGGTGCTCAGTAGGGAATGAGGGAATGACCCCTATAAACCATCCCATATGGTTCCCTTCAAGGGAATCCCAAGGTTCATTCCCTCATTCCCTACTGAGCACCAGCAAGAAGAAGTCATCTAAGGACTTGCCCACCTTGGGGCCGCCGCCGCCTAGCACTACCCTGGCCACCACCTTGGCACCTCCGCCGCCGGGGTTTGCAGCGGCCTTGCCAGGGGCGCATCAGGACTTTCAGGCGGATCCCATGAATGGCGGCGCCCCGGCTGCCAGCACGAGTTGTCTCCGGTTCCTGCGGTTTGGGTCGAAGGCGACCTCTTTGTCTCCTGGTTGGGGCTGGGGTTCCCTCCGCCTCTGCTTAGGAACTCAAACCGGGTGTGATAGTTGAAATTCTTGCCATGTGAATTAGCGAGCGTGAGACGTTCCTTTGTTTGGGGAGACCTTTGAGAAGCTCGAGTCTGGCCTCGGCAAGACTCACCGAGGCTTCGTGCAGCAGGGGGACCTGGACGACCACTACTACCAGTACGTGCCAGGTGCCTTATTCATAACAGCCTCAAGCCCAAGCGCATGCCAGTGTTTGTTTGCAAGAATTTGGGCTCACCCATGCTGATGGTAAGTGACCTTGTGGCTCCTTGAAAATGCTTTGTGAATGGAGCTGTCTGTGCAGATGCAAGCCAGCCGCGGTGATTTAAGAGGGTTCCAAAGCACGTAGCTGGGGGGGATTTGGCACGGTCTGGGCAATGCCCAACAATGTTAACAATCCACCCACCCATGGCAGCAAAGAACACCAGAAAGCCACGCAGAGTTTCGACCATTTTGCCCCCACGCCCTCATTTGACCCAGCATGAATAAAGCCCGTCTTGATTAAGGGAATTCCCTTTCAATTATATAAAAGAGGCTAATGATTTGCCCAGAACATGGTGGGGCGCTTCTTAGCAGAAAGCTCAGAAGAGGCCGGGCATTCCCCGCAGGCAGCGGTTACTTCCGCATGGAGTCCACGGATAGCTCGAAGGTCCAAGTGGCCAAGACCGTGGCCTCCAGCACTGCCGGCCGGGCCTCCACCAAGGGCTGCGAATGCATGAGCCTTGTCTCACCAGACCACCTCATCCTGGGTGCTCGTTTAGAGGCAAGCCTTTCCTCATTTCTTGTTTAAAACTCAGATGACCGACCCTGTTGTTCCGGTTCTCACTGCCCCCTGGCATAGCGGAGAGTATGCGGTGGTCCCCGGCAAAAAACATGAAGCAGCAAGAGTGTAGGATCCCCTCTTAAATGGAACACCCCTCCCAGTCAAAACAAAGCAGGATTGACCATGTTGTCACCCATTTCGCAAATGGGATATGTCCACTTGTATATGTCCACTTGAGATAGCTTGGGTCCAAGTTCCGAGTTCATCTTCCAAGTTGACCGGCTCTTAGCCTTGACCACGAGCCGCCAGATCAGATTCGATTCTGGGCTCCTGTGGGTGCTAGATATCTCATATCTCCTGTTTGTCTTGCGCGTGGCGGAACAACTAGGAAATGATTGTCTTGCCAAGACTTCCAAAAGCAAGAAATAGATAGGGCCTTTTGGCACTTCTTTCTGCGAGTTGAGGGCCCGCCTAGATCTAAGATCACTTTTCGACCCCCCAACCTCCAACCCCCAAACAAACAATCCAAATCGCCCAAGGGCTGAAAAGCATCTTCAGCACCCTCTCCTACTTTCGCCTAACACGGCAAACCTTCGAAGTTCCGCGAATTCCAAGGAAGGCGTGGAGCTACAACGGGAACCTCTGCTCCAACTACTGCTGCAACCCAGATACCTGGCAGCTGAGTTTCCATGTTGGTGGCTTGGGTTCGATCGAAATGACTTTAAAACTGGAAGCAGGTTCAGAGACCCACCTAGGTGTTTGTGCTTTTTTTTGGGGGAAGTGGCGTCAAAGGGAGTCCAAAAGAAAACAGCCCCGCTTTTTAGGAACGCGCTACGCATAGGAACAACATATTGAGAATTGAAACGCAGGATCGGACGATTCCCATGAAGCCCAAGGGTCCAGCGCAGTTCTGGCTGCGGGGCCAAGGCATCGTATCTCTTTGATTGCTAAAGTCAGGATCTAGAAGTTGAGTAGTGAGCAAGGCCGGGGCAACCTGTGGGAGCCCAGCCCAAAAGCTCCATTCCCTCAAGATGAGATGTTGCTTGACTTCGGGTTCCGGCCCCCAAAATCGCCCCCGAGGGCTGCAAATGACAAAGGGGCCCAAAGGGGCCAAAACAGGCACCACTGGTACCATCGGCTAGCCTTGACTGTAAATCGAGGACAACGATGCCTCTGGCGCCTGGTGCTTTGTGAAGGACATGAATTGCCGCTCAGACCCAAGCCGACCTTTTGAGAAGGGCGATGTGTTCCAGTCCCATTCAGCTGGAGTCACGGTCTCACAGGCGTACTTGTGGATGGACCACTTTTTGACACCATGGGGTTCCATTGTTTTCACAGGGGGGTCATCATTGCAGGGTTTCTTACATGGGCCTGGGTCAAAATTAAACTACAGGGGACCGCAAGTTTTGATCCATGTTTCCACTTGCCAGGGTTCCATTTGGGGTACCTATTTTTGACCCACAACCACATGGTGCAGGATTTCCTCCATCCACTGTAGGCACGCATACCCCGCGTTTGGTCACGCCGCTTTCGGCGAGTAAGGTCAGCAAGACAGCTGGGGGCCATGCACGCCGGTGCCAGGGATGCCGGCCCTGCTGTCGGTGAATCGAACAGCGGCGTCTCTGCCGACCCGGCAGGCAGAGATGGGCGCGAAGCGTTTGGCGCGAAAGGTTTGCCTTGGTTCCCCAAGTCGGGGACGCCTCTTTTGCTAATGGTTGCAGAAGAAAGCACACAATTTGGAGGGGGACGGGACCAGTATTTAGGAAACACCTGTGGACTGTGCCTTTGCCAAGGGTTAGGTTTGGGGCCATGAGGCCATGAGTGTTGCCAATGTTCAGCGCAGGACACGCAACGACACCTGCGCGCAAGCCTGCTGCAGAGCAAGCGCAAGGTTGGCAGTGAGTGCGCGTGCTAGACATCACAAAGTCCATGCGTTTGGCGGTGAGAAACGCGCCGGCTCTTGCATCCCCATGATGGCATGTTGTGCCCGAATCCGGGCCAATGAGTGAGGCAGGAAAGCGCAGCCAATGAACACACACGTGGAGTCACCAGAAGCTCGAAGTATGGACCCGCCTATGTGCCGCTCAATGGGGCAGGAACCAAGCAAAGCACAGGGGCAGAAGGTTGGGGTTTTCTTCATTGAGCTCCTGGCTTGCCGTGATTACTATGCGTGCTGATGCCTGCAGGTTTCTTCGGCTCGATGTGCGGCGTTTTTCTTGGCGACAGGTCCGCAATGGCCACACGGCAAAAAGCAACAGGCAACCTTCGAGTCAACACAACGGCAACAGGAGACCTTGAGTGCTTCAACCTCCTATGTAAAGGGCCTTCGGCCATGGCTCCGTTCCGAGGTCGGCGGAAGAAGGCCAGACCTTGAGATGGGTTTGTCTCCAAATCCGCTCCCTCCAAAATGGTTGGCTTCCTTTTGGATTCCCTTTAAAACTGAAACCCACCAAAAGGGTCTTCCCGACAAAAGACCCACCCAGATATCTTGCTTGAAGCACGCGAGACACCGACGGCTAGGAGTATGACGTGGTGGTGCAGGGCCAGTCGGTGGAAAAAGTCGCCCTGGACATCGTCGTGCGCTCAGGGGCCGTTTGATGGGCCAAATAGGTTCGCGGTTCACTCTGATATGGTTACCATCATCTCAATGGTTGTGCGTCAAATGAGGAGCTGCAAGCAAGAGGCTGGTTGATCTTGCAGCCCTTTCATGTTTGCGCCATGTTCGAGTGAACAGACACAGACACAGACACAGACACAGACACAGACACAGACACAGACACAGACACAGACACAGACACAGACACAGACACAGACACAGACACAGACACAGACACAGACACAGACACAGACACAGACACAGACACAGACACAGACACAGACACAGACACAGACACAGACACAGACACAGACACAGACACAGACACAGACACAGACACAGACACAGACACAGACACAGACACAGACACAGACACAGACACAGACACAGACACAGACACACACACACACACAGACACACACACACACACACACACACACACACACACACACACACACACACACACACACACACACACACACACACACACACACACACACACACACACACACACACACACACACACACACCACACACACACACACACACACACACACACACACACAACACACACACACACACACAACACACACACACACACACAACACACACACACACACACACACACAACACACACACACAACACAACCACACAACCACACAACCACACAACCACACAACCACACAACCACACAACCACACAACCACACAACCACACAACCACGCAACCACGCAACCACACAACCACACCACCACACCACCACACAACCACACCACCACACCACCACACCACCACACCACCACACCACCACACCACCACACCACCACACCACCACACCACCACACCACCACACCACCACACCACCACACCACCACACCACCACACCACCACACCACACACCACACACCACACACCACACACCACACACCACACACCACACACCACACCACACACCACACACCACACCACACCCCACACCCCACACCCCACACCCCACACCCCACACCCCACACCCCACACCCCACACCCCACACCACACCACACCACACCACACCACACCACACCACACCACACCACACCACACCACACCACACCACACCACACACACACACACACCACACACACACACACACACACCACACACACACACACTTATCTCGAGAGGCTTCACTAGCCGAGATGAAAAACGCAGTCAGTAAAAATGCTTGAATGCAAAAGCAAATCAACAGGTCACAACATCGACACCGAACAGGAAGCAACAGCGACAAACAGAAACCGCAAAAGGAATTTCTCATCACTGCAGGTACGTGGATTCTGCGTCCAGAATCCATATCAGCACTGATGGGAGCCTCTTCGTTGGGCCGTCACTTCCATGCAGTGGACAGCCCCCCTGCTGCTTCAAGTTTTGCGTCCGTGCTCCAGGACGGTTCACACACACAAGGCCCCGAGTGGGGCGAGTTCACTTATGCAAGGCCCATTGAGTCTTGCAATCTTGGAAAGAGAGGGGTGGAAACAATAAAAGACAACTGCGGCATGGGCAGGCACGATGTAGCAACTGATTCACACATGACCTGTGCCTCAAAAAAGCTGCCTTGTCGGTCCAACTCATGTCAATGCAGGTGTCGCTTGAACGTGAAAGTGAATTGAACTGATCAGAGTCAGTGCAGAGCATAAACCGATGAACTGCAAAGTCGGTGTTTGACCGACCTGTCCCTTGCACATGCGGCAGCCTAGCCGAAACCTCATGGTTGCTGCCTTGCTCAAGGTGCAGGCAATGCTACAGGTGCAACAAGCAATGCTAATGGCAGTACCTCACCTGTAAAATTGCTGCCTTGACCATGGTCAATCGCGCTGAACTGCGGCTTGAATTTGAACGAATGAACGGTCTTCCCCTCGCAGGGGGCTCCCGCATGTGGCGAGTCCAGCCCACAGCGCCATGTCGGACAGGCCGTGGGTAAACACACTTATCTCGAGAGGCTTTCACTAGCCGAGATGAAAAACGCAGTCAGTAAAAATGCTTGAATGCAAAAGCAAATCAACAGGTCACAACATCGACACCGAACAGGAAGCAACAGCGACAAACAGAAACCGCAAAAGGAATTTCTCATCACTGCAGGTACGTGGATTCTGTGTCCAGAATCCATATCAGCACTGATGGAAGCCTCTTCGTTGGGCCGTCACTTCCATGCAGTGGACAGCCCCCCTGCTGCTTCAAGTTTTGCGTCCGTGCTCCAGGACGGTTTACACACACACACCACACGCACGCTCATTCGCTTTGTCGCATGGAATGCAGGCACCATGCTCGTGCTTACTACCGCTGGCCCACTGCCTTCAGGTCGCACACCTTGCTGCCAAAGGCTTTTGCACCGTAGACCCCAGACTTGACGACGAGCTTCTGCGGCAAGGGCGGGAGGAGACACGCTGATGTGAGTTGACGCACGTTCGCTTGGGAGGGCGGGCGGCAGTAAGCTGGGGTCAAAGTCAGAGCTTAAAGGTCTGGAGCACATGCGCGTGTTGGGTTTGGCCATGTCAGGGAACCATTCAGGGTACTTACAGGTGAAGTGCCTCAAGAGAGTGGCAGGACATTGCCGAACTGGATGCACAAGGGTTTCTCAAGCAGCCCCCTGCCATGGTCCCTTGGCTGCAGTCGGCAATTGGCGGCCAAAGGCGCCGGCAGCACTGTTTGCTTAGTTTGTTGGGTAAAACAAGCAAGACGGGGATGGCTGTGGCCAAGCGCGCATGACAACTGTTAAATGTGGCCCTGCATGCATTGGCCATGCATGGCTCGGGTTTACGTTTTGCTGATCACTCACCCTTGGCCATGAAGCAAGCGGATGGGAGGATGGAAAAACACAAATCGCCGCTTTCCGTGCTGGTGGTCGGATTAGGAGACGCGGGATTGAGGTTCATGACGGTTTGCTGGGGGAGGAAGGCTCCTCCATGATCGTGGACTTCTTGCAGGAGGGCCAGCGCCGGGCATCGATTGCCAAACCTCGGTTTTCCCTTCGGATGCAACCCCCCTGCTTACCACTTCCATAGTGAGGCCCTCGTCTGCGTAGTTGATCTCACCAATGAATAGACCAAGATCGATTCGCTCAGGCCAGTGAGTAGCATTGCGGACCCCACGCTGCCGGATGTTGGACTCATGTTCCGCGAGGCTCCAAGACCTTGGCGATAGTGGAACATAGGCGAACTTGAGGGTTTGCACGCTCTCTTTCCGATGCCGAAACGACTTACGAACTTGCCAACCGGTTTCATGTGTTGGCGCCCCTGGTTTTGCAAAGCCCACCCGACTCAGTACTCTGAGCCTTTCCTAGACGTGTTTGCCCAAAAACGAAGGATCCCTCTAAAATAGGGCGCCGGCTATGAATCAATTCATCCAGGGTTACAACAAAGTCTTCCTTATAGCCCCTCCTATGAATCAACCATGGGTTCATTCATCCAGGGTTCCAGCAAAAGTTGCTTAGTTGCACGGAACCCAACAAAGGCTTAGATATCGACAGGTGCTGGTGTTTCTATCTCTGCCGGGGACCCCCCGGATGTGTGTCGCCAGGACGGGCTCGTGGACTCCAAGGGCAAGGAGTTCCGGCACTTGCATGCGCTGGACGAGTCCATGGCGGAGCTGGTGCACATCCTGCAGCACCCTTGACCTGCACTGAGCCCAACGGCCCCGGGTGGGAGGAGGGGAGGCCCTGAAGGAAGCCCAAAGTCCAGTGCATTTGTTTGGGTGTAACAATCTGATCCTTTTGCTAGTTGAGAGCGAGCTCCCTTGTGGCACCATGACTAATAATGTTGCACCTGGCTTAATATCGGCAGTCTAAATTATGTCAAGTTTCCCCGGCTTAAACACGACCCCCGCACTGTTTCGGTACCATGATTTATGTCAAGTTCAGGCCCCAAAAAGTCCCGGTCCCAAAGGTCTGAGCAAGATGCGCAATACGGGCAACTGATTCTCCTGAGTGCAACCTCTGCAACATTTAAAAGCTTAGCAACGGACCAGGCCAAGATCTGAGCCTAAGAATTCCTGGTTTGATCCTAAGCCCCAACCATCAAAATTATTTACTTAAATCCATCAAAAACACTCCCAAAACAGTCCTGCAAAGAGGGTTGCCCACAAGGGGCCCTGATCATCTTTAAGGGGCACTGTTTGGGTACCATGTTTAATGTCCATCAAGTCTGAGGGGCAACCCAAAAGGAAGTGCTGGCAATACTAAACTAAGTAGTGGCAATCCAAAAGGAAGTGCTAACAAGACTAAACTAAGTAGTGGCAATACTAGAACAATACTTAAGTCACCCAAGCTCCCTTCTAGATCCTTATTCAGGATCCTCGAGCACTGTTTTGACTGTTTGGGGGGGGGGACGGTAAACAAGGTCCAACATTATGTATACATATAGGCACACGCACACGCACGTATGTACATGCATACCTGGGTTCCCTGACAAGGAAGTCAGTTTCGTCCAGCCCAGGCTCTCAGTAAACGAGCTGGGCTGCGGGCCTTTGAGCCGCATGCACCCCATTTTGCACGAGACCGGCATGGCGCCGGAGCACGCCCCAGAGCCCACAGAGCACGAAGCGAGCCGCTGGCCTGCAATCCCGGTGGCCTTGTTCCGGGGGAATCGCAGAGTTCTCTGGCCATCCTTCATGGAACACCTCCATACTGAAGCCTCACAAACTCGAAACAGAAAGTCCAGTTTGCACCAGGACAAATCATGCGCGTGGCATGCTAGAACCAACCATTTAAAACATCTTAGAACCAGACAAGATAGTCAATTCCTGGTTGGTTATTATGGGGCTGCCCAATGTTTGAGGGGATCCTTCACTTTTTGGTTGAACCCCCCATTGCCCATGGATTATCCACGGCCATGCAGGCATTTCCATGGAGAATCAACCAACGCGTGGTTCCCAAAGTTTAGTAGACACCCAGTGGCGATCAAAGTGCTAGGGTTCAACGAGCTTGGGCCTTTGAAAGGTTGTGCTCTTGTCGATTTGTTGGGGACGTGTCGGAGACAAACAATGGACTGTCCTGAAATGCTCCTCACTAAACATGCTTGGGGATCCAAAGAAGATCCAACGACTACGGAACCAAAATGGAGTTGCTCACGATTGGCTGCTTGATTTCCTGTTCCAAGCCCCAAGGTCTCAAGGCAGTCGGCTTGTTGTTTGTCGGGAATTCTGATATTTCTTGGATTGACTTATCGCTTGCTGGTAATATTGCCAGGCATTCATAAAACTATCACTACAGGTTTCCTTAGGCTGCCTGCCAACTTCCCTCCTCTTCTGAGCTGCTGTTTGGAAGTCTGGAGGGCAGTCCGGAAACCTCAAGGGTTCCAGCGTCACGAGTGCTCGTAAGTTCTGCTTCTTTAGTAGAACTTATGATATATTTGTCAAGTTCCTCCCAGAAGCTGCCCTCATTTTGGCAGGCGCGCAATCTCGAAAGCAATCCTGGAACCTTTGACATCCATGTGCGGGAGTTTGAGCCTTGCTGAGTTGGTCAACTCAGCCAAGTGGAGTCATGCGCGTGTGCTGAGGTTATTGGCTGGGCGCCTTGGAAGAAGTCACGGTCAGGGTTGGCAGTATTGGTTCACATGGCCAAAGTCAAGGAGCCCTGGGAAGAGACACGCAAATTTATCCAACAGCGGCCAATACATGTCGAAACAGGGAGCGTAACCTTGTCCATGGCCAGATGTGCTGAGGTCATTGCTCGGCTCACGGCCGGGCGTGTAGCGAGCCCCCAAAGGGGGAGAACCTACACGTGAATGGCTTGCCGCTTTTTAGCCCGTCAACATTCGCGATGTGCTGAACAGGTGTCCGTTTGGGCCAGTTTGGTTGAAGACTGATGGCAGCGCTTTCATTTCGGTTCCAATCATTTGGACATGTGTCAAACAAGGGGGCCCCAAAACATGTGGTGTTCTTGCTTGACTTTTCCCCGAAACAGTGAGGCTCACGCCAAGGGTGCTCAATCTTTCAGGCGCGTTGGCACAGAAGAAGCTGATGGTGTTGCTCTGCTTGGGCCCCGTACGTGGGACTTTGGAGCTGCAACCCTACGAAGATGCGGAGGCCTATGAGGTGCCGACGATCCCAGGACTGGGTAAACCGTGGAGGGGAGCCAGGATTGAGTCACCCCACGTATGTTAACATGGCTCGAACCAGAACTGTTGGAACAACCTCGCTCGGGGCAAGAGAACACGTTGTCTTCACTTGCTGCTGTTCGTGGAAGAGCCAGCCATAGCCAGCCTTAGCCGTGGAAGTTGATTGCGAAAGCCAGCTGCTTCTTTTGATCGTGTCTGTGCAATCGGAATACCAGCAATATCCAGCAATGTTGGCTCGTGGCGTTGGTGCGCCAAGTAGGAGCGTTGTCTTCCAGTGGTAACCTCAGGGTTGATTCCCTAAATGTTGTCAGTAGGAAGCTGGGCGAGTTCGTAATTTATCATGTTACGCGCTTCGTTTACTTGCGATATTATGATATTCAAGGAATACACCCCGTAACTTCTGGTTTTGGCTGGTTTCCTTTGCTACATTGAGGAGGGGGAGTACCTGTACCTCATACACATGGTCCAAGGGTCGCTTTCTTTGGTTGTCACGTCCGTCGAATGGTCCGGCGATGGACAGGAAGCTTCATCATCCTCCGTGCGGATGCCATGTGGCACCGGCACTGCGCGCATTCCAAGGCATGGCTCTGGAAAGGGTTCCGTTTCTCCGGCCAGGGCTGCCTGCTTTGGCGTGGTGTTGAATTGCTATGAGCCGGGGGCCGGGGGGTCCCGTCCCTTGACACCAGCATTTAGAGAAGGTTCGGTTTAATGTGCCCAGTCCAGTTCCCTTTTCCGGGCCTCGGAAAGGGCAGCTTAGTCGGAAGCCACCGGAAAATTGATCAACTTCAAGAACCCCAGTGACAGGGATATCGCTAGTTCCATGAAGGGGACTGGCCCCTTCCAAGCGGCGGCATTGTCACAGGGATGATGCGATGGCTCACATAAAGTTTCTTAGAGGGCTAATGCCAACCTCGGATCAATCCGGAGGGCCCCAACATGAATCACCCCCGGGTTGCATCGAGGATGGATGAATCCAGAGTCGAAAGGGGCCTTCCTCATTGTTTGCTGCCCTCACCTTGCCTCAAAAGCCCTGCCCTGAAGATGCTCATGAAAGCTTTAATGTTGGACACTTCTCTCTTCTCACGAGCCTCCCAGGCGCACATCCTAAGTTGCTTCCTGGTGGGCTATGAAAGCCGCAAGGCGGGGCCCAGTTTGGCCCCGCCCTGCGCGCGGAGCTTGGAGCAGTGGACGGTGGAAAGGATGAAGTTCTTGAAGGAGTCCCAAGCGAAGACCCAAGAGAAGCTTGGCAGACTTGGTACATTGAGCCAGGGGTTGGGCCATTGAGCGGGGGGGGGGGGGATTTTAGAGGGTTGGGCGGTTTGTGTTGTTTCTTTTTGGGTCGGGGGGTGGTGTCCGAGGGGATGCTCGGAAGAAATGTGATGGCATACACTTCTGACAATGTGTGATTCCTCTCTCGTAGAAATCTGATTGCGGATTGTCGCAACCTTTCAACTTTCTCCGTCCCTTTCACGTCAACCACAGTGCCACAAAACATCTTCACTCTCCACTGCCCTCTGCTATGTCGACAAGTGCGACATGACTTCCTTTTTGTTGTTTGCTTTTGTGTGTGTGTGTGTGTGTGTCAGTCAGTCAGACCCTTGGCAGTTGAAATCTGAGACTTTGCTACCGCAACTTCCTCATTTCGCGTCGCCCAGGCGCTTGGATCTGCCGGCAGGCTGGGTCACTGCCATGAACCACATGTTCCACACGGCCCAGCGGGTGGCCGTGCGGTCCATGGCGGCTCGCTATGCGGCCTCCTGGGATGTGCAGAGCTGGTACCTGTCCCAGGCACTGGGATGAGGGGTTTGCACCCCAAAAATCAACCCCTACCAATGGTTCAACCACTAGATGTTGTTTGTGATGCTTTGGGGTAAGGGGTTTAGAAGTCTCGGAAACTCTGACGGATGGAGGGTTTCCAGCCCAAAGCCGCTATCCAAAGGAAAGTTGTGTATATAAACGCTACATGTCTGCTACAAAACCACCAGTTAATGGTTGCATTCGACCTCCACCAGGACATGCTGTTGTGTATAACCATTGCTTTGCCATAGAGAGATTGCACACTTCGATTTTCCTTGGGTGGTGGTTTGCTTTCCAGATTTGCGGATTGGCCTTCGAACAATTTATTAGGAACCTCCCGTGTGTTTCAACAAGGAGGGCAAACACAGTTGCGAACCAATCTGGGTCTCCAATGGCTTGGCAGCGCTCGTGTTCCCTTTTTGTTTTTGGCTCTTTTGGAATGTTGCTTTGCACTGCCCTCTTCTTCTCTCGCGAAGCGCCCAATGAGGGTCGCCCGCAGTGCTTGGAATGTTTTGTGCCCATTGGGGATGTTGAGCAGGCGGTCCAGAATAGGCCACTAAACGTATGCCACCAAGTTGTAGGGGTCAGGCTGCCAAGAGCAACGAACATTGCGTGCTCGAGAAACAAGCCATTGATCTATCACCCAAACGTCGCCAATTGCAGTAGTGCACCAGCTCTGTGTGTGTGTGTGTCGTTTTTGGGGGCAGTTGCTGTCTTTCAGAGTGATTTACAGGCAAACCAAATTCAGAGGAAGCCAGTGGCGGCCCCTCTCTTGAGCATAGCCTTAGCCCTTATCCATTGCCAGGCCGCAGGGCCGGACCTGGTGCAGGAGGTTCCCTTGTCCAGATGGGACGTGGAGCAGTACTATGACGCGCACGCCCCTTGGCTGAGGTCGGAGCTTGCGCTGCGAACGGATTTTCAACAGGCAGTATGGAGGGTTGCAGGTCGATTGTTGCTCATGATGTTTGCCATTCCACATGGTATTGCATGGGGGAGTTGGGTGTGCCGGGGCGGGTTTTTGCATAGTGGTTTCCTTTCCAGGGATTCCTGAGAAGGATTGGTTTCCCTTCATGGTAAACAAGTTGAAACACTGTTGTCCCCGGATTGATCGACCTGGCAGATAAGTAGGGGCTGAAGAGTTCCTTCTACAAAGGTGGAGGTCCCCCAATCAACATCATCCAGTTCTTCATCCGCCATGGGCTATCCATTTCGGCCACTCCCCGCCAACCATTTCCCATGGCCATCAAGTGGCCAGGAGGAGAGCTGGCGCGTTGCCAAGTCCTTTGCGCGGCACGGCTCCTTTGTGGAGGGCACGGAGTACTTCGACAACAAGTTCTTCGGCCTCTCAGTGCTCGAGGCGAAGGCGCGGGAAAAAAGGCGGAGAAGCGAGCGACAAAACGTCCCAGGTGGTGACGCCGAGGTGCCGGGGTGTGGGTATTTTGGATATAGCTGGGTCTCATTTGCAACTACTTGTTTATTTGTTTGTGTGTATTTTGGATGTTGGGGTTGAATGTGCAACCACTTTCTTTTAAGGGTTTCGTTTTGGTTTAGGCTTTGGGCTCGCAACGTTGACGGATTGGGTGTGCATGACAGGGGGGCAACAAGGATGTTTAACCGGCTTGTCATCTTTAAGTTTTTAAAAGGAAGCCAAAAGGGAGGGGAGGGAAAATTTGCATTTGTTCTAAACCCCCGGGTGGCCAGGTCACTTTTGGTTTCTATCCTGGCTCTTGAAAGAAGCGGGTCACCTAAAGGGCAGGCAAAAGAGTGACGGGCAGGTGGTTTGCTGGTCTTCTTTCCCGGTTTCGTGACGAAGTTCACTTGGGGGTCTTGAACTTGAGTGTTTTGCGGGCCAGTCATATAGGCCCGGTTACCAACTACCATGAGTTGTCCTCAAGACCGAAAGGACAGGGACCCATACCTACGGCCAATGTATTTTCTTTTGGACGGGTAGGTTGTGTGTTGATATATGTCTACATGGTGGTCGTCGTCCTGGTCATCGTCGTTGTGGTGTTGCGTATTTTCCCATGCTGAGGGCATGGATCCCCACCAGAGGGTGGTGCTGGAAGTGGGCTACGAGGCTTGCCACCATGCCGGGTATACCAAGGGCAAGCTGATGAACAAGATCGGCCCGGCGCCCAGAGCTCCAGCAGTCCCGTCCTTGTTATGTTGGGAATTCTGAACTTGGCATACGTGGGGCATTGCTGCCAGGAACATTGAAAGAGTTCATGCTTTGTTGCTGGATGGAGGGGTGCTTGCTGCCACCGCCGCGGCACCCCTTTTTGCGTGCAAGGGTGCATGCGAGACTCCTGCAAAGGGGCTGTATGATCCACGCCCAGGTGGCGTGTACTTGGGAAGCACCTCGCACCTCGGCAGAGCGTTGAGTGAGTCGCACGGTTTTTGGCTGGGGTCATTCACCGGGACGCTTTGAGGGGGTCGCACATTTGCTCTTGGGGTTGTATGACCACCACTGTTTTGCGGGTACATGTTCGAGAGTGTCACATTGCTAGATCCAGTTGGACGCAAAACTGTGTTGATTGACAAGTCTGAGAAATTGGTTTATGGACTTCGGTTTTTATTTGCTCGAGTGACCCCGCATGGGCTCTAAATGGGTGCTAGCATGCTACACATGGCCTTCCTGTGGTGCAAGCTGGAACTCGTCTGCTAGAACATGTTAGAACCTGGCTAGGGTTCCCTGAATTGCATGCACAAGATGTGCGACTCGCGTGTGACAACAGTTCTGGTGAATTTGTCCAACTTTTGCCTTATGCTTTGAGACTTATTGTTCTAGTGGTTGAGGCATGGTAACGTTGCTCGGAAAGGGTTTCTGTTTCCCGCATGTGCCAGGGTCTCACCATGGAGCACTGACCCAGTCGGGACAATTCCCTAGGTCTTGCAAGTGAACCAAACCACGACCATAGTTTCCAGCATTGCAACCCTTCCGTTGGTGGCTTCCCACACAAACTGGGCCCCAAACAAGTTCCTACCCTTGGCAAACCACGACCATAGCTTCCAGCGTTGCAGGAGAGAGAGAGCGCAAGCAAAAAACGCAACACGTTCCGAGCATCACCGGCAGTGGCACGCTAGGACCATCTTCGGCATGGTCTCGGAGGTGAGCGGCGCCACGGGCGGTGCCGCCAGTATCAACTCGAATCGCTTCAGCTTCTGCCGGGAGCCTTAGGCTCTCGGCCGGCGCGGTCCGGCGCCCGTTGCGGCGGTGAAACCTCGGGTTGGAAGCCGGGGGGGGGGGCTTCCCGTTCGTGAAAGCGTGCGGTACCGTTCACCTGTTGTTTCTCCTAAATTGCCAAATTGCCCCTTTTTTTTTCAGCATGTCTTTCCCCTCCAAGCTCAGGTAATCCTAAATGTGTGGTTTGGATTTGTGATTTTGTTGCTAAACCCCTGCTTGTTGTACGTTGTTTGCTGGAGTCAGTTGGGGTCGCCACCAAACAACCAAGCCACCAGCCCCAACCACGGTGAGCCCAGTTGTTCAGGAGCGCCTTGTCTTTGTCCCTTCCGTTTTTGCAGCTTCACTCAAACTCCTCAAGCTCCCAAACTTGCTAGGGCTCAGCAGGCAATGAGGGAATGCCCTTTCTCTAAACCATCCCCTACGGTTCCCTTTGACGGAATGTCAAGGTTCATTCCCAAAACCCGCACTCGGTCATTCCCTACCTATCGCACCCAAAAGAAAACATGGCTCCCTTCAATGTTCATTTGAATCAACCCCTGTTTATTAATAGGGGGTGTCCATTTCTGGGTTTGGAGATTCACACTTTTGGAGGGGCCCCCAGGCCCCAACCACAAATTTTGAAGACTAGGGTTGATACTGTGGTTGGACGAAATTCTGCACCACCTAAAAAACCCGGGGGTGATGCTTGCCCTGTAAATCCCAACGATGGTTTGCTATGGTTTCAAAGTGGTGCAGGATTTCGTCCACCCACAGTATGAATTGGTCCACCTTCCCCGATCCGAGGCTTGGGCCTCAAGGGCCCCAGCATGACCTGCGACACGGACGGCTCCTCCTCCCTGACGGCGGTGCATTTGGGCGGGGAGGCGGTCCTCACCAAGGGCCACGGCGTGAGCAACGAGCCGGGAGTCTCAGTGGGCGCATCCCGTCGGGGATGCGCACGGTGGGTGCCACCAATTCAAGGGGCACAAGAACCCCCGAGTGAAACGCAGTTTGGCGTATAAGGGGAACAGGGACCCCCGAATTAACCGCAGTTTGCCGTAGATTTGTGGTATTTTGTGGTTGCCTCTGGCTCGTTTGGTTGGCAAAATGGTAGGGGCATCCACCGGAGGCCGAAGTATCTTGCAGCACAACTTGCCAGGACTTGTGTGGCAGGTTGAGTTCCAGCATGTCCTTGGGAACCCGCTGGTTCTTTTAGCTTCCCTTTGAAGGAGGTCAGGGTCTGGTTTTAGGGGTGGGTGGTTTGGTAGAATGTGGGCCCACAAACCCCTGGTTCATGAACAAGGTCGCTCCTCCACGAACGGCGCGGAGGAATTCTCAACCCTGGCAAACACCCAATCAGGATTTCTGGGCGTGTTGCGCCGCCAACCAGTACTGCCTCTGACACAAGGTGACTCTTGCCAGCCTTTCGAAGATCGCGAGGGAACACTCTTGGCAAACTGCAGCGAACTATGGCTCACAGAACTGAAGTGTATGTCGTAGTCTGCCTGGGTGATACTACTGGAAGGCGTGTTGGTCACGCAACGAAAAACTGCAGATTGCAGGCATCCGAGCAACTTGTACACCCCACCGCCCCATCCCCACAGTCATCGAGGTGTCCAATAGGCGGGAACAAGCGGGAAAGGCGCTGAGTCAGGTGTCTCAATCTGGCTATGAATTTTGGTGGGTAACACCTCCATGGCCGGCAGACTTAACTGCAACTGATGCATACAAAAGCGGTCCCAATTGACTCATTGACACTCACACCCATGCTTAGGTTAAGGTAAGCTCCAGCAAGGTGACTGGCTTGAGGATTCCTCGAATCGGCTCTGAGGTTTTCCCTGGCCGGGGGCGTCAACTTCCAACTCGGCCCCGTCTTCCTGCCGCAGATGCAGGCCGCCGGCCTTCTGGGAGGCGCGGGAAGGGCTCGGATCAATCGGTTTGGGCTGGTTGGCGTTTTTTCTCCAGCCTCTTGTGTGGCCCGGCATTTCTTGGATGAAAGGGGTTCGTAAGTTTTTGTTTGTCCGACTTTTGACAGGTGGACTTCTGCATTTTGGACAAGCAGTCGGCAAGAGGAATAGTACGACTGAAGCAATGTGGCGTCTAGCCAGCTTTAAGTGCCAATTGGACACCACCCAGCCCATTTTCTTTTGGTAAGTTGGGGACCCACACCCCTCCCACCTTTTGGTAACAGTGATTTTTCGGCAGCCTCCTGCTTGCCCAAAGGATATGTTTCTATGGGCCGTTCTTTGAGGGTAACCCATCCGCTTTCACAACTCCCGTGCTGGCTTTGGGCGGTAGAAGACACAAGCTTGTCATCCTGCCAATCGACATCTCACGCCTGAGTTTATGGACTTTAAACGTTTTGGAAAGACAATTTGAGTGGTAACCAGGAAGTTTGGAGAATTTGTTGGGCCAATCCGCTCAGGAAGCGAGACATGGAGTAGCCGTTTCGATATGAATTGTCTTCTAAATCCGGTCTGTGCTGTACCGACCACTGTCGGTGCGGTGGAAAAAAATGTTGTTTTTGGGGTGCCCTTCTTTTTGCGGCTGGTTGAAAGGGAAACTGAAGGGCAAACAGCCCTCGAACGAGTTCTTGAGCCCTGTCACGTTTCAATTCCCTTAAATCCGTGGCTTGACGTTTCGCACAGTTTTGCCAGCTCCCCGATTTAGAGAACAGACCCATTGCCCGGACACCTGGGCAAACCCAAGTGCTTACCTTTGCGCCAGGCCTGGGCAGGTGCTTCACCTGGGATGTGAGCACGGAACTCAGCCCTTTCCAATGTCTGGCGGTGTTTTCGATGTATGGGCGTGTCTTTTTGTACGGTAGCCCTGACCCTCTTTTGGTTGGGTTAAAAGGGAAGCCAGAAGAACACCCGCAATTTTTTGGGGGTTCTCTCAGTCATTTGCTGTTTGGGGCGGTTTGTTGGTGCCGTGCCTGGTGTGTTGTTTATGTGCTGTGCTTTTAGAAGTGTGTGCCTTGTTTGGTCCAAAGCAGAATGGTACCGCTTCATTGGCTCCAAGGTGCCCAAGGCTATACGATGGGCAACTCGGCAGCCTGTGGCCGCAAAATTCGTGCAGGTCTTTCTTCCATTTCCCTTCAACAAAAAGGGAAAAGGACAAGATTGCCAAGCCAACTTTGCTGAAGGCCATGTTGCCGTGTGGTTCTCATTTTTTGAACTGGATATGGCCTCAACCTTGTTTTAGGCGCCAGGAATTTGAAGCTGTTCGTTGTGACCCCCACAAGGCCTCCAATTCCACAAACAAGCGCGGGTCCAAGAAGAACCCCTGCCTTCACATGCGGCAAGCGTTGCAGACGCTGGCTGGTGCTACCACTATCTAATTCTAGTTGCCCTGCTGATGCATGTGTTCATGCCACATCTGAACATGATATGTTCCCTTGCAGGTGTTTCCTTTGGTCGCAAGGCGATGGTTGCGGCTTCATCGTGCAGAAGCGAATGTCCGAGTGGGTGGATGGACAGCAGGTGCTCATTGAGGGCGAGCCACTGGCAGGGGTCTCAGCGCGGGTAGGCCCAGCCCCTATGCCTTTCGAGAGGGTTCCATCGCGAAATGGATTGGTTGGATCGGCTCCTGCCATTGCAGTCTTTGGCGTTGCTTGCCCACTTTACCACATGGTCAGTGGACTGCATGTCCAGAATATCGATTTTGGGTGGGCCCCCTTCGGTTGTGCAGGTTGAACATGGGATAGTCCCCAATTGGTTTCTGGTGATATTGTTTGGTATTAAGATGTGATTGTTTGTAATCTATGATGCTATGATTCATTTTGGCTTGGGTACATGTACGCTATATACGATATCCATTGGTCCGACCCATTGAGACTGGTGTCCAGTTTTTTGCGAAACCTCCTTTTGGCTGGTTTGAAAGGAAACTCGTGGGGGGTCAGCCCAGTTGTTCGGCGGCCCTTTGTCTTTGCTCTGGGCTTCCCGCCAAACATGATCGACCCAACAAAAGGCTCGCTTTTTATTTTTTACCAGGGTCAGTAAAGAAGAGGCCCAGCGGATTTCCGTGAGGTCCATAGTAGGTAAACCATGTTCCGTTTGTTTTCTAAAAGCGTGTCCCCTGAGTTGCCGACTGCACTGGAAAAATGGAATTATTGGGTGGGTCGAAATCCAATTTTTCAGACCAAGCACATGTGCTGTTGCGAGGTTGCCAGCATTTGCGGGAGCTCCTGTGCCACCATCGGTATGGGAGCGTCCATGCACGCGCCGCACGGGCCGTCTGAGCAAGAACTGGTGGCACAGACCCTGAAAACCGCCGCTTGGATCTACGATTCGTCTTTTACTTTGTCGTGGGCCGCTTGCTGATGAATTCACACGCCTGGCTTGTTGATTTCATTTGGAAGCTCACTGCTTGCGATTCAGTCTGATAGCGTGTCCTGCATGGATAGCATATCGTGAGTGGTGATGTTCTAAGAGTTTGTCCTTTCTTATCAGCTTGCCATTCAGGCCGCCTGTTGTGAGAAATGTAGCATTGTGAAAAATGTAGCACGGACTTGTGCAATATTTAGCCCGTGTTCCCTCGATGTTTTTTATGGTCCCTCGGTTGCTCGTTCTTGGGCACCTGCCTTCTTCGAGACACGGAGTTGCTCAGAATTCAGCTCGGTTCGAGTTGGCCCCAAGCTCAACCAGAGACAACTTCTCCCCGAGCTCCAAGAATCAAGCCCAAAGAGGAATGTTGGAAGGACAAGATGGTTGCGAATTGCTTGACAGTGTTGCTTGCGGCGGTTGCTTTTGAGGCCATGCTAGACCCGCTGAACATTGACGCCATCGAGTGCAACGGGCAGGGCGCGCTGTTGCGCACCTCGCCTGCAGGTCACCTTCAATCTTTCAAATCCGTGCAAACACATTGAAGCAGGGAAGGGGGGTCGCCTATGCCTCCATGAGAAGACTGGCTAAATGGGACCGGGAACACCCCAGCACTGAGGCGATGCAGTCGAAGCCGATTCCGTGCTGCGGGTGCTGCGGGGGGATTTTGTGGAGGCAGGCGGCACGCACTGCGCGTGGCAGTTCTCCCAGTTCACTTTTCTTGGACGCGCACGATTATCCCGGACTTCCATTGAATATCCAGGCACACTTTCAACCCGGCTGGTTACTCAACATTAAGCCATGGTTAAGGGTGAATTGGTCCGGAAGCCAGAGGTTCACACCGGGGTTCATAATTGCACAGGTTGAGGGTCCCCTATTTCGTTTCGCGGGTCGCTTCAAGGGGCAAATCAACCAATTTGGGTGGCTTCCCTTGCTTGCAGAAAAAGGCCAAGTGGAGTTTGCACAATGAAAGGGGTTCAGGAATATTCCACGAGCGACTCGATCCTTTTGAAACATATGTGCGGTGTTCTTATCGCATGGTTGGAGACAGACCTCCTGTTGCTTTGGTGTAAAGCTTTGCTGCACCATTCGGCAGCCGGCCCTGGTAGCCCTGATGGACTTGATACTTTTCGGGAAGATCATTTTAGTGGAATATAAAGCAGTTCCTGGACTTGCTTGGGCAAATCCACCTCGGAAGTGAGGCTTGTTGAAACGGATTTCCTTTTTCCTCTGAGGGCTGAGCGGCGGATTTGTGCCTCAGGCTCCGCTGCCGCTCACCGCAGTGAAGAGTCGCATGGGCTACGCCATGGAATGCGCGGGTATCGCCTCGCTGCATCGGCTCATTCTCTCGGCCATCTGCGGATTTTTGTCGCCCAACAACCACCTGAACCAGCTGAACCCGCAGCCTGGGCGCATGAAAAGACAGATCGGGGGATGATTCCTCATTCTTTCCGTTGGCGTGGGAAACCGCCTCACGTTTTGGTGTCACAGTGTCCATTCCTTGTTCGACTTGAACACCGGCTGCTCCTGGTCGCGCTGGCGCGGAATGGGAACAAATCAAGTTATCCCCCATTTAGCCCTTCTTTGGCCTTGGAAAGCCAGTAGTTGCCAAGATTGGCAACACTCGAGCTCAGCCAAATGCAGCGACAGCCCAGGCACTTGGAGTTCGACAGCAAGGCGGCCATGCTGACAGCTGCCTGGCACGGAATAGTTGGTGTATGTTGGTGTGTTGAATCATGTGGTCCAGTGCTAGTAGCGTCTCAACAGGAATTATGGATAGGCCAACACTCACGAGAGAACAGCCCATGAATATGTATGAGCAAAGTTGGTTATGCAAACCTTTAGGCTGGAAGTGGTTGCCAGCTCCTTCCCATTTGAATCATGCCGCATATGGCATCATATAGGTGTGCCTCTGCTGCTCTTTGGTTGCAAGGGGAAGCCAAGAAGAAACCACAAGGAAGCCAACCATTCTGGGGATTCCCGAACTCGACAAAATCGATTTTGAGTTCCCTTCAAGCTCTGTGTCAACTGGCACCTTGGCTAAACTTGAAAAAGAAGCGGCGGAGAGTTGTGGCCCCTCCATGGCCCTAGTGCAGACAACTATCATACAGTGGATGGTTGCGAAATCCAGAAATCGCACCACTTTGAAACCATGGGTTTGAAACCATAACGTTTGTTAGTATTTTTTCAGGGTGAATCATCAGAAACCGCGGGTTCTTAGGTGGTGCGAAATGAGGATTTCGTCCATCCACAGTATGTACTTCAAACTCGGGGCTGGCAATGGCCCCAGGAGCCGATCGAGACGGCCATGCGCAGCACCTACATGGGCGTCACCGCCCATGGATTCGGGGGCACGCAGGTGCATGTCATCTCATATGGCCACCTGGACGCCAGCAGGACGCCGAATCCTGAAAGATTGAAGGGACAAAGTTTGGTGAAAGTCGAACCTAGCTTTAACATTGGGGCGGAAGTGGGCATCGGAATTGAGAACGTGAGGTATGGTGCAAGGTTGACTTTCTCACTTGCCCCATTCTCTTAGTCTCTTGAATTTCACCGCGCAACTTAGCCATTCCAAGCGTCGCTGCTTTACACAGCCCATCTTGTATGTAAACTACCGGAAGCCAACAGCGAACCGCACATGTTGTTGATATACAGGTGCTAAAGGAAGCCAAGAGTGAAAGACACTTGTTGTTGTTTTGTTCTTAAACATATTTTTGGGTATTATTATTATGTTTCCACATGTTTCCATTTTTTTCAGGACACCAGAAGTGGGCGGAGAGTTTTTTGCTGCTGTTTCTCCAGTCATTTGCCAGGACTCCACCCGCCCCAACGGAGCGGAAGCAGACCTACTTCAACTTCTGGCCGGGCGGCGGGGGCGAGCTGGAGGAGGAGGGGTGTGCTTCGTTTTGCTTCGGGTTGCTTCTGGTAGCACACCAAATGAACACCACCAAGGCGCCCCGAGCTTGAACACCAGCCCCAAAAAAGGGGGCCTCAATAGTTGTTGGATTTTTTCCCAGGGCTGTTTGGGGTATTTTCGTTGGCTTTGGCTTTTGAGTGCCCTTTCTAACCTTTTTTTTGGTTGGGAGGGTTCCCCTACCAATAGGCAACAGAAAAAAGAAACGGTACCCTTATTCTGACCTCTCTACTGGAGGACCTAGCCAAGGCGCCCCGAGCTTGAAAAGCAATGCCAGGGGTGGTTTTGGGGATTCCCCTCCAGGGCTTTTGGAGGTATAAAAGGTTGGCTTTGGGTTCAACAACCACCAAATTCAAGGTTCAATGCCCGGATGTCCGGTGCCCGTGAACATCAAGTACTAGTATCAAAGCGGGTATCTAGGTCCGGTACAGGAAGATGATCTTCCTCTCAAAGGGGGCCTTTGGTGGATTGCATGTTAGTGGATTGGGTGTATCAAATCGCGACCTGCTTGCAGGTAGAGCTGGTCATGTATCCTCAAATTGGGTGAAAAAACGAGCGTGGTTTTCTGGACAGATTCGGATGGGTTCAGAATGAGGAAGCTACTCAAGAACTGCCGGTCTTTCAGAATCACGGTTCACAGGGCCTTCGACCCGGCGCATGAGTCGAGTTCAGGAGCAGCAGCCGGTGAGGGGCTACTTCATTGCGGGGACTTGGACGAAATGGCGAGCTATCAAGATGGAGAGCGAAGGCCCGAAACCTTCTGCCTTGGGATCTGGGGAGATTCCCACATGGGTATGTGCCAACATAGGTCGATCCCGTCCAATATTTGGGGTACTTTTGATTTCAGTTTACCAACCCCAAAACAGGGAAGCCTCAAAACAGTGCTCACAAGTGTCCTTGTTAGGTTTCAGTTTGGGGCGGGCACTGGGGGCTGCCCCTGGTCTCAGCTTCTCATATTTGTCTTTGCCACCTGCTTCAGCAAAAGGACGCCTAAGCCAAAGGCCTAAAGGCCAGCCCCGAGTTCAGCGGGCATTCACGTTTCTCCCTGTTTTCCGGCACGGGGAGCAAAGGCGAACTGCTTGAGGCTTGCGCATGGCATTTGGAGCTCCAATTTTCAGTGGCCCCACCACACCCATGGGAGTTTTGGGAGTGGTTGGGTGGGTGGGGCGGGGTGGGAGGGTTGGGTGGGCCCCACACCCAGTGTGTGCGCAGGCGGGGATAACTTCGGGTACACGCTGACCCTGGGCGAGAACCGCTGGGAGGAGCCCTTTGGCCGAGCGAGTGCGAGGTGTTTGGAGGATTGGGTTCCACTACCGACCAGGTCAGTAGACTCCTGTTTTTTTTTTTGGGGGGGGGGGGGGGATTCAGTTTTGGCTGATGAAACTGCCATCTCAACCGGCGATTCTTTCCTTTTCAGGTCCTTTCGGCCCGATAGGCTTGGAACACGGAATCTTGTGAAAGGAACACGGTCCAGTAACAAGGATCCCTGCCTGCAGTAGTGTAAGCGAACTAATCCAAAACTATGAACGACACAGCAGTCTCGGCTCGCCTGGACGATTCAGGTGGGCAGGGTGTTTGTGGAGTTTGCCTTGGGTGGCTGGCATGCTCAAGTGTTCTCTAGGTGTTTCTGGCGTTTGGATGATTAGATGTCTCCAATTCTGACCATGGGCTGGATGGCCCCTCAGGGCAGCTGCAAAGTTCCGCGGCTCAGGTTCCAAATCTTCTTGGACGGTGCCTCGGTCTGAAACAGCCCCACATGGAGCTCGGGGCGTCCGGGGGTTGATGGGGGTTGCATGCGGTCAAGTGCAACCACGGTGTTTGGTGGCCACCTGTTTGCCTTATCGTCGCTGGCTTGTTTTGCTTGCTAGTTTGAATTTGCACGTGTCCTCAGGCTACGATATGTCGAGTGTAGGGTAACGGCATCCCAAGTTGCCGCGGGGCTGACTGCAGGCGATGAGAAGAGGACTGCTTTCCTGCCTGAACGAAGGGGGTTCCACTCTTGTGCTGAAATTGATATTGAGGCTGGGCCCTTAGTTTGACATTTTGCAGGGCTCACGAACATGTGAGAGACTAGGCGGCTTGAGGGTTGACTTTCAGAATAATAAAATGCCCAGGCCAGCAAGGGGCGACTCGCTTTTACTTCGACCCAGGGTCGTGGAAATGGGGTTGGTTCCCATTTCTGTGATACCAGGACACTTGCCGTGGATAGTTCAGAAGCCTTCCATCGGCATGTGGGCGGGGGATTCACGCCTTGACCCCTTCTGGAACTTGACTGGTGCCAGGAGACTCCACCCTTCCCGGCCTCAATCCGCGAAGGGTGTTCCAGTGCACGGCCCTGATGCAAAGGCTGGCGGTTCTTGCTTCCAATTGCTAGCTGGTGAGGCATTCCTGGCCCGAGACAGCAAAACACAACGGCAACCACCAATTGAGCACGCAGCCAGCCAGCCAGCCAGCTGACCAGTTAGCCAGCCAGCCAAGCAAGCAAGCAAGCAAGCAAGCAAGCAGGCAAGCAGGCAAGCAGGCAGGCAAGCAAGCAGGCAAGCAGGCAAGCAGGCAAGCAAGCAAGCAAGCAAGCAGGCAAGCAGGCAAGCAGGCAAGCAGGCAAGCAGGCAAGCAGGCAAGCAGGCAAGCAGGCAAGCAGGCAAGCAGGCAGCAGGCAAGCAGGCAGGCAGGCAGGCAGGCAGGCAGGCAGGCAGGCAGGCAGGCAGGCAGGCAGGCAGGCAGGCAGGCAGGCAGGCAGGCAGGCAGGCAGGCAGGCAGGCAGGCAGGCAGGCAGGCAGGCAGGCAGGCAGGCAGGCAGGCAGGCAGGCAGGCAGGCAGGCAGGCAGGCAGGCAGGCAGGCAGGCAGGCAGGCAGGCAGGCAGGCAGGCAGGCAGGCAGGCAGGCAGGCAGGCAGGCAGGCAGGCAGGCAGGCAGGCAGGCAGGCAGGCAGGCAGGCAGGCAGGCAGGCAGGCAGGCAGGCAGGCAGGCAGGCAGGCAGGCAGGCAGGCAGGCAGGCAGGCAGGCAGGCAGGCAGGCAGGCAGGCAGGCAGGCAGGCAGGCAGGCAGGCAGGCAGGCAGGCAGGCAGGCAGGCAGGCAGGCAGGCAGGCAGGCAGGCAGGCAGGCAGGCAGGCAGGCAGGCAGGCAGGCAGGCAGGCAGGCAGGCAACAACAACAACAGCAGCAGCAGCAACAGCAGCAGCAACAACAACAGCAACAGCAGCAGCAGCAGCAACAGCAGCAGCAACAACAACAACAACAACAAGAACAACAAGAACAACAAGAACAAGAACAAGACCACGAAGCGGCAGCAGCGGCAACGGCAACTGCACTGGCATCAGCACTGGCATCAACACTGGCATCAACACTGGCATCACATGAGAAGCTGCACAACAAGCAACGAAAAGTGTTTCTTCAGATTCTTCCACAGGGCAATGAAATCAACTTTGACTAGACCAGGTGACAGGTGCCGTACGCACCTGCACGGGGTACATATGTGGCAGTACCACGGCGTGACCTTAGCCTACTTTTTTAAACAAAAGAAGAAGAACAACGCACGCACGGAAGATCACTGCTCAGGGCAGCGTTTAGTGACTGTGAAGCTGTTCATTTTTTGATCCCTTGCTCACTTCCCAGGTTTCCGGGCCATTCTTTTGAGGAATAACGATTGATCCGTTTCAGTGATAAGATGTTTGAGCAGTTGGCCCGGCAGGCCCGCGGCTTGAATTGGCGGATTGAAGGACGGCAAATCGCACCGGCTGCTCCGTTGCGCACATTCGAGTGCTGTTTCCCCCAATTTGGACACCGCGCTTGCCGCGTTCGCCCTACCTTCAACAACTGGCCCTTTCTCGCAAATAATGCCAGGGATCCCTCCAAGTTGTTCATGTTAGCCTCCCTTAAAAAGAACCATCCCAAAAGGGACCATATGAAAGAGCAACTCAGAAACACCTACATCAGTCTTTCTGTTTGGCCAAAGGTTAATTGGCCTGAACAATTCCTTTGAGCTGCTCGCCAGGACGAGGGCGATGGATGGGGGTGCCAACGGACGCGGCGGAGGCCTTGTGCCTCACCGACAAGGAGAAGACCGCCAAAGCCATAGAGGCCTGGGCCCATTTGGGTGTGGGTCAAAATGTAACCATCAGGAATTGGACCGCAGGTTTTAGTCTTTCCATTGACCAAGGTTCCATCTTGGGTACCTGTTTTTGACCCACAGCCGTTTCACCCATTTGGGCGTATGGCGCGCCATGCATTTTGGTGAAGGGGGAGACCTTCGCGTATTCGTGGCATCACACCGTTGTTGTTTTGGCAAGAAGTGGTGAGTGGTGGGTGCAGGAGGGGTTTTAAGTCTCCAGTGTGCAGACTTGCTGTGGTTTGGTGTTCGGCAAGTTTTGGTCAGAAACGAGGAGCTTGGATTTATGTGATCCAACCCAGCTAGGAAGGGCATCCCTAACCTTCATCCAGCAGACCAGGAAGAGGTCCTTACCGGGCTTCAGCATGTTGCTTTGTCTGAGGCAATCAGCTTACGCCTGGGCGAGAAGCCAGGCCCTCAGACACAGACCCCAGCGCGCACAGCTGTTGGCTTTTTTTGGGCATACCGCAAGCATGCAACCGGACTCAGTCGAAAGGCTTCTTCCCTTTCAGAAAAAGAAACTGGCGGGTTCTGTGTTAGCGTTTGGCGGTGCAAATGATCCTATGTTCCAGTTTGAAGATGCATGCCAGGATGGCATATAGATCTACGCGCGCCATTTTTTCAACAATGGTGATGGCTGCTACTCACTTGTTATTTGCATGCAGCTCTGACTTGGTTGTTGATGTCATGAATTGGTCATGAGCCAGGGCGCTTTCTTGTTCATCTCCTTGTCTTGATGCTAGGCGCGTGGCTTCCCCATCCCTTGGCGCGTCGTGCTTGGGCCAACTGAGGGAAGCTTCGCTGGATGGAGAGCGGCTGATGGAGTTCGGCAGCGGAGATATCGGCCAGCCTGGGGACAAATATCGCATTCGCTTGCGCATAGCGGGCAAGTACAGAGACTGGGCAAGTGACATCTCTGTTTCAGCGCATGGTTGCTCCAAGAGGCAGGCTACTTATATAGGAATTGTTCAGCAACCAGGACGGGCACAAGAGCAAGAGGGGCAATGCTGAAGCCTTCAGTGAAGCCATAGGAATGCCTCCGTGTGAAGCTGCCACCTCAACAGTTCTTTGGAGGGGGGAACTCACAGGACTGGCAAGCGTGGGCAATCCTTGGTGCATGGAGGTTTGGAAGGTAAAGGCCTCTGATCAGGGGTCCCTATTTTTCCCTGAGCCAATTCTGGCCGAGGTTCCTCTTAGGGCGATGTTAAAGGAGGACATATGTGGATACTCGTTGATGCCACCATGAAAATTTCAGAGTTAGCTCAGCAACCGTGGTAAGTTGCTACTTACGATTTCGCAAGTCTTGCAGGTCAAGAGCATGGATGTTCCTGCCATTGTGGGGAAGGCCGTTCCGGTGCCGGGGATTCCGAGGAACGGTCCTTTGGGAGAAGCTGCCGTCGGAAGACCATGACACCTCCTTCGATGCTCCGGCAGGCGCAGCGCTTGCTCCTTGTGGGTTCTGCCCTTTAAAACACCCGGGCCTTTACCTTGGACGGGCTCCGACTTAAAATCATGGACCCAAGGGTTCCGTTTTCCAACCAAGGCAATCGGGCGAATGGGGGGGGGGGTGTCGGTTGTGGTGCGAAAATGTGTAGTTCCAAGACTAGACAGATCTAGACAGGTTTGGTGTCCTTGTAGGCCAGTTCCAGGGAAGAACATGGATGGAGTCCACTGGTTTCAGTTGTCTTTGAAGAATGTGCAGTGGCAGATTGTGCCCGGCAAATAACACCGTCCAGTGTTTCCAAAAATGTTGTCTCCCAGTCTCCGTTTCGTCTTCCTTTAAGGAGCCTACCCGCATACAAACACACACCCATATTTCTTCGTTTGGAGGTTTTAAAGAGAGTACTTGTGCGCTTTCCGCAATTATTTCAGGGGCAAGACGGGAATCATTTTACACTTACGGCGCCGTAGTCAGCCCAGTGGCCAAATGACAAGGTTCAGGGTCTGTCTGACCTGGTTGGGCTCCTTTGAGACTTAGTTTGTTTGTTCTGAGTGTACCCGAGATAGAATGCTTCAAAGGGAGGCCTTGTGGGAATGCCCGGCGCACTGCTTCCTAAATGCTGGGTCAATATGCCCAGCCGTGCAGAGGCGGTCCCCACAAAAAGACGGCCCCGCTTCCCTCCAATGGCTTCAACACACCACCAAGGAAACATTTGCAGTCGTGGCACGGGGGCCCAAAGAGAGCTTTGCTGTCAAGCCGTGAGCTGTGCCAGGTGATTACTCCATCGTGGCCAGTTGGAACTCTTGGTCTCCGGATCCTATGTCCCTTCGCAACGACACCTGGTCAATAGAGGCCGCGCTTTCGGGTGTGCGCCTTTGTTCATTTAATGAGTTTATGGCGTGCGGTGAGTTTGTCGGCGGGTTGACTTGTTGGGAGGTGAGGGGGACAGTCCTGGGATGGCTTGATGGGGGAGGCCTGTGAGGAAGGGAGCCCTTCCCACCAGTTAGGCCCCATATCCCCTTCAGTCCTTCTAGCAAGTCCCCCCTTGCATGGCCCAAGTGGTTCAACAAATGCACACAAAAAAATAAACATAAAAAAAAAGAAGAAAGGACAAAAAGATTGAGCAGCCCACATCCCACCAGCTCAGTTGAAGTAGTCGTGCAGTCTGGCTTTGCCATAGGTGGAGCTCCCGGCAGATGGCGGCGAGTTTCAAATCTTGAGGAATGAGGACACCAGCGATGCCAGTGCATTGGGGAGGTTGAGGCTTCGAACCCTGTGCAAATGGACAGTCATGAATGCTGGGACCTGGGACCTTGCTGAACGCATTTCGGATGTCTACAGGCATGGTTTTTAGTTGTAGGCAACGTGCTGAGGTTCAGGAAGTTCAGCATATCATGAAAAGTTCAATGCTCATGTTCAATTTGGACGACCTCGCTGCCTTCATTCATACATACAGATCAAAGAGCTCAGTGCTGCAGGCTTTGGTGCGGCATTTCTCTCGAGCAGCATTGACGCAGATGTTCTGCCCCCTGCTTGTTGCTCGGCGAGTTGCTGATACAATAAAAGGGTGTCAGTGTGTGAGTGGAGTTCCTTCCGTTGAGGCCTGATGAATACGTGATTGCCTCAGAGATATGCTCGAGAATCCTTCTCACCACGTTCTCTCACCACCAGGGTGAAAGTGAGTGAGTGAGTGAGCGAAAGCTGCTGCACTAGAGTAACGTCCAAATGGGATTATATAAACATTGCACCCGTAATGAAGACAACTGGGGGGCCCAAAAAAAATAATAAATGCACCTGGATTAAAGACAAGCACCCGCCACCCGCGCAAAAAAAATCCCCCCCCCTCCAAAAAAAAAGAAAGAGAGAAAGGAGAGGAGAGATAGCCAAGCCAACACCTGGTCCTTGGATCTTTGGTACCTTGTTCCTTAAGACATTAGTATTTTTTCAGGGCGAAAATTGGAAGACTCCCCTCCCCCCTCCCCCCTCCCCCCTCCCCCCCGATTTTATGGCAGGACTGGTGCCAAGTTATCGCGCCCCAGCAGCGGGCCGCGCCTGCACGGGAGCTTGGGCAGGGCGGCTTGGAGGCAAATCCAGCTCGCCTTTTCCGGGCTCAAAGGACGGGAGATGGCCGCATGGCCTTTCTTGGGTGGTTTAGGCTATTTTGGGGCTAGGTGACATGTTGGGAGGAACCTCCGCTGAAACATTTTACGGCTAGGGCTGTATAATTGGGGGCAGGGCCCCGGAAACTGAACCTGCTGAAAGTCTGCCCTTCAAACCACCAAAATAAAAAGCTTAGAGAGACACTCTCGCAACTGAGGCCCAGAACACTGCAACAAATGCCGTGGATGCACCTGGTCACTACAGGGCAAAGCCGGGGACGTCTTCCGCATCACGCCAGAGACCCAGGTTTCGATTTTTCCCACTTGGCTCAAGTCTTGCCTGCTTTTGGTCCCATAGAGATTTGTCCATCAACCAAAAGGGCTGAACCTCCTTTTGCAAGCGGGGAAAACTCTCTGTAAACGATTGCGTTGAAGGGCTCTCGTTGACTTTGTCCTACCCGGCTGCCTTTCGAGTTGCCAGCAGCCTGTGTAGTAGGTGGCATGGAGCCCAGCCAAGGAATGAAGCCGGCGGTGCTGAAAGGGAAGGTCGGACAGCAACACAACAACAACAACAACAACAACAACAACAACAACAACAACAACAACAACAACAACAACAACAACAACAACAACAACAACGACAAACGACAACGACAACGAACAACAACAACGACAACGACAACGACAACGACAACGACAACGACAACACAACGACAACGACAACGACAACGACAACGACAACGACAACGACAACGACAACGACAACGACAACGACAACGACAACGACAACAACAACAACAACAACAACAACAACAACAACAACAACAAGAACAACAACAACAACAACAACAACAACAACAACAACAACAACAACAACAACAACAACAACAACAACAACAACAACAACAACAACAACAAGAACAACAACAACAACAACAACAACAACAACAACAACAACAACAACAACAACAACAACAACAACAACAACAACAACAACAACAACAACAACAACAACAACAACAACAACAACAACAATCGACACACCACGGGTACGGACACAACGGAAACAACCACGTCGAAAACGGCAGCAACAGCATCACAACAGCCCCAATAGCAAAAAGGAAGAGTGCGTGATCATGACTACGTTCAAACCAAAGCCGACAGCAGATTAGTAGCAACCAACCTTCACCAACCAAAGACACGGGCGCAACTGCGACACCAAAACCGTCAATCGCACCAATGCCAATCGCGACAGCGTCTGACAGGCAGCTGTGTGTCAGAACATGGAGCTGCTGATCTTTGCTTCAATCAAAAGTCTTCCAACGTGGTACTCAATTGTTTGGGCTGCCTTTGTAGTTGTTTTTGTCGTACTTGCTATTTTGATGACCTCCCCAAGCAGGCCTACTTTCGTTTTCCGGGCTATAAACAAGGTGAGCGATGCTAAAACTGCGTGCTATTTGTCCAGCAGCATGGTCACTGCTTCGAAACTGATTGTAGGTTGCCATCGGACCTCGCTGCAATTCTGCCGTTTGATGCGCACCTCCTACAACGCTGCATCCGAGGTTCAAGCGTGATCTGACAAAAGCGCCCTCAGGCAACTTGGCTGCAGGTTGCCGATAGAGCCTCTCAGTGATGCAGCAAGGCATCCACTTTCAAGAGGAACTGCTGTCATTTGCTCCCCGCCCATGGAAGATACAATTTTGGTCCCCCAGTGTTTCCCACCCACTGCTTTGCCTGCAAGTTTGCTTTCAAAACCGCTGCAGTTTGCATCTTCTGCAAAGGTATCACTTGAAAGACGTATACACTTTCTCCAGCTGACGTGGCATTTGTGGGGGAAGATCCACTTCCTTTTGAAGGGAGCCTCTGTCAGGTGCCATGCTCTTGGAAGGGAGAGCATGCAGCTAGACTCGTGCTCCAGCCTTTTTCTGAGGCAAGCTGGAAGATGTGAAGAAAGTCTCTTGGGAGAAGGTGCGGGAGGCGGCAGCTTGGGATACATGCCGCTTCTGCGGTGGCACTGACGCGCGTGTGGTGGGTCAATTTAATTATGATTGATTGTTAGTTTGTTAAGTGCAATTTTCTCCGGCATGCCCTTCTCTCTTTATTTGGTCATTTATTTTCTTTATTTCCTTGTTTAATTCGCTCCTTATTTATTTCTTAGTGTTTTGTTTTTCTGCTTTTCTTGCGTTTCTCATTTCTTGATTTGTTGCTGTGTTAATTTGCTTCTTGGTTTATTTGTGTCTTTGCTTGTTTCTGTGATTGATTGTTTGTTTATTTGTTTGTTGGGTTTGTGCGCTGTTTTTGTTTCCTGTTCTTTGTGCTTTTTTTGTGTATTTTATTTGTTTGTCTGTCTGTCTGCCTGCCTGCCTGCCTGTCTTCTGGTTTGCCTGTCTTGTGTGTTCGTTCGTTCGTTCGTTCGTTCGTTCGTTTGTTTGTTTGTTTGTTTGTTCGTTTGTTTGCAGGTATTGCTTGTTTGTTTTTTTATTGTAAACGCTTTGGGTTGCCCGCCTCGGCCAGTCCGCTTTTGGCTGGCTTTGAGGTGTATACCGCATGAAGCCTTGTGTTTGTTGGAGTGGGTCGGCGCCGAAACGCGAGCTGGTTTCCAAGGTAGAGGGGTGCATGCCCACGTGTTTCCACATGACCTCAAGGGCCAGAACGAGAGCCGCAGAGAGCTACAGAATGGCAGCGGGCTTGGGCCAAGCGAAGGTGGACTGGTGTCTGCGGGGGTTTGCTGTTTGACCGGAGTTGGACCTGTTTTTAGAGGGGACTTGACAGGTTTCTAGAGGATTTGATTGGCTTCTGAGGGGATTTTGACCTGTTTCAATTGACCAGTTGGACCGGCTTCTAGCGGGAATTGAATGGGGTTGGGGTCTTTAGACGGGATGTGATTGGTTCTTGGACGGGAAGTTGACGGTTTCTTCTTCCAGGCCCGCTTCAGGTGGACTGGGGGCATTTTGGCCGCGCGACATGACCCCAGCAAGAGAGCGAGCTAGAGACAAAAAGCGAGGGAGAGAGGGGGAGGAGCGCACTGCCGAGGGGCGGTGGCCTGCCTGCACTGCTCTGCTTGTGTTGCGGTGCTGACGCTTCTTGCATTGGGTTTCTTGAGTGTCGTATGTGTCGATAGCTATTTGCTGGTTGGTTTTGTTGTCACTCATTCGTTGCACGTTTGGCCCAGCGTTGTTCTGCGACAGGCTTCTGCTCAGACCTTGGCTTTGCGAAGCACTTCCTTCGGAGTCATTGGCTCTTGGCCGCTTGGCTGTTCCCAAAGCGAAGGAGGAAAGTAAAACATGTAAAAAGGTTTGTTTCTCGTTTGTTAAAGTCGCACCCGTTTCAGCAGCCAGAAAAGTCGAAAAGTGACGTGTTTTGCTCATTCTCTTGGAGACCGAGCGGGGTGTGGCTTTTCCACGACTAATGTGGCCCCCTGTTCAACTCCATGAGGCGGATACGGCGAATGTTGCGCTGGATCCGGAAGAGTGTCATTTGTGACGTTTTTGTTTTTAGTCAGTTTGGCATTGGTCGCACAAGCCTGGGGCCGGAGCCTCCTGCAAAGCGATTTGGTATTTATGGTAGACTAGACTTGGAACAGGTTCTGAACATGCATTTTTCTGTTTGTCCAAGTGGGCAAAGAAACTGCGCAAGGGACTGGGGAAGACATGGAAGTTTTCTGGAACTAGATGACAACTGACCAGCCACGGGCATTCTTCCCCTCATCGCCGTGCTTGGCTGCTCAATCACAACTCGGGTAAGTGACGCTTAGTTCGGGACATCTCGGAACCAGCCAGAACCGAGTGTGGACATCCGCCTTGATTCTCTACATGATGGGTCGACCCCTTTGGCCTGGTTTTGATGGTAACGTTCGGTGCGTTCATGCAAAAGGCCTTTTGGCCTTGCCAGTGGCGAATTTTCTTCGCTTGGACTTGTGTGCTTCACCCTGTGGTTTTCCCGAATGACTGGAACATTCCCCCCCCCCCGCCCCCCACGCCAGTCCATTTTTTGGGTGTTCAGCTGGCAGCTGGGTCTTTGCAAGGAACGACTTCGGGCGTGTTCACCCGATGCACAAGGACTCCGCCAAGGATGGTGAAGCTGCAGCTTGGCCTGTGGAGGCATAGGAGTTCCACCCTCATCCCGTGCATTGGATCTCAGGTGCGTTCCACCCTCATCCCGTGGGCTCGCCGCTTGAATGGCTGAACCCAACCCCGAAAGAGTCCCAATTCTTGTCTTAGGATCGCTGGGCAACTGAGGGATGTTCCGAACTGGATCATGCAGCTATGTTTGTTTTACAAGGGAAGACGGTTGGCGGATGTCAACCTGCACGTGAATGATGTCGACCAAAGTGTCAGCAATCGCCTTTTGGGATGAGCTTAGACTGGGACCAGAGTCAGGCCAACCATTCAAACAGTTTAACTGTTGACACATCGCTGCAGGAGCTAAAGTATCGCCAGCCAAAAAGACCGCAAAATCCATCCTCAGTTGTTGTGAGTTGGTTTGAACAACCGGCCTACAGACCCCTGTCAAAAACAACAACTCATTTTAACAGGGTTAACAGACAGTACGACTGAGCAACAGACAGTATGACTTCATCATAATTAGTTTGATGGCCCTCTATTGGTTGCTCCTACTATTGTCGGACATTCAATAGTTTCAATTGTCAACCACCCAATGGCTGTCCAGTGGATTGATCTCCCAAGAACATCCGTGGAACCTGACAGGCAATGCATGGCCTCCATCAGCTTTCTCGCATTCGCTTTCAGTGGGTGAGTCCTTTGGCCCGTGTAGGACCCATTCGGGGGGGAGGTCATTTGCCACGTCTTCGGTAAAATGAAGATCTTATCGAAGAAGTGTATGGACGGAAGGGAGGGCGAATGCGTCTCCTGCTCAATGGGAGATGGACCCCCTGAATCACTGGGATCACCACTGAACATGGTCAACCTCGAAAAGGGTTCCAATTCTTCTCCTGAAGGGCTGCCAGGGAAGCACCTCGTTTTCGTTGGAGGTTGCAGCGCATTTCTCGGGGACTCATTTCCTCGTGTGGGGGTCCCCATCCTGAACTTGATGCTTTTTAGAAACCCCACATTCGTGGCAAACAAACGGTTTGGGCCTATATGGCCAAATCCATCGGAAAGACTTCCAAGGTGTACAGCTTCTTCCTGGAACTGGGGCGGGAGGGTGTTGAAGGCTTCCAGCTGGTCAAGGACTTTGACTTGAACCGAGCCTCTGATGCATTGAACGTGCCATGACTGGCTAGATAGAAACCATACATATATATATATATATATATGGTACCCCCCCCCCAGGGACCTACCTTTTTGATGAATTCACTGGTATTTGCAGTGTTTTCTACCCTTTTTTGGGCTTTGGGGAGAGCAATGAAAAAGAAGCATTTCCAAGGACGTTCTGGAAGCTTCAGGCTTGATTGAAACCGATTTAAACCGATTTAATTTAAATCGGGCATGGATTCAAGATTCAAGATTCAAGAATCCAGGCCAAACTTTTCCAGGGATTCTTGAATCCAGGCGTCGATTTAAACCGATTTAAACCGATTTAACTTAAATCGGGCATGGATTCAAGATTCAAGATTCAAGACTCCCTGGAAAAGTTTGGCCTGGATTCTTGAATCTTGAATCTTGAATCCATGCCCGATTTAAGTTAAATCGGTTTAAATCGGTTTAAATCGACGCCTGGATTCAAGAATCCCTGGAAAAGTTTGGCCTGGATTCTTGAATCTTGAATCTTGAATCCATGCCCGATTTAAGTTAAATCGGTTTAAATCGGTTTAAATCGACGCCTGGATTCAACATTGCACTTTGCGCGGCTGTACTTTAGCACAGTGTTGTGCAAGCATCCAAGTCCTGATTATTCATTCAACCTGTTTCAATCTAGGCCCACATTCAAGATTGCAGGTCAAAGTTTTCTAGGGAATCTTGAACCCAGGCTCAACTGAAATTTCAGTCGGTCTCAATGGGTTTCACTCGGGCCTGGACTCGCGTTTGCAAAGAAGACTTGTCTAGAGAATATGGGTTCTTTCCTTATCAAATCCTGTTAAAGCTCATATTGAATTGCAAGTATACATTGGAAAAGGAACTCTATTTAAACTCGCAATCTCAAATTTGATTACTATTAGGATTCTGACCAAATATTTCCGTATTGAGTCCCAATTAAATCCTGTTCAAGTTCAAATGAGCATTTAGAGAGCGTTCGTTGGTGGAGATGTGAATTGAGTATGAAAAACGCTACACAACACTGTGTTTTACGGTGTTTTCTGACCAAGGTAGTGTTAGGACTAGTGAACGACACAAGTTTGGGACCTTTGGATTCGTTCCTTATGCATTCCACTTAGTATGTTTTATCAAATTCAACCTTATTTCTGATTGAAATTCAATGCAGCTTAAGAAGGACATACTCCAGCCAAAATTGCGATTTAGATTCGAACTTAAATATTGACTGTTTATGTCAAATTAAATGGTACAAACTATTTTCTGTCCAATAGACCATTGTACATTGAAATTCAATCACTTTCAGAACTAGCTAGTCCTAGTTTGGTCCTAGTCCTAGTTGGGAGATCCTTGGTTATGGGCCAAGTATGGTCCCAGCTTACTGAAATACATAGAACGTATAAAGGACATTACAAAGGAAGGTCGTTATGAATTGTAGTTAATATATTAGTCAAGTTCTATGCAACTTCTAGCTGAACAATTGAATTTGAAATAAGGAGAATATCCAGTCAGAATTTACATGTTAGGACCAAATATTAAACAGGACTTTTTTTCCACCAGAATGTAATACTTGACATCCAAATACTATAAGAAGTAGAATGAAATGGTCTAGTCCTAGTTTGGTCCTAGATGAGAGATCCTTGGTTCTAGTGTTAGGTTGCTCCCTAGTTTACTGCAACAATTAGAACATATACAGGACATTGCAGAGGAAGTTATACTTGAAGTTCATTTTTTGTAAGAATCTGAGGTGGGTCGTCTAGTCCTAGTTTGGTCCTAGTCCCAGTTCAGAGATCCTGGGTTCTAGTCTCATTTGGTCCTGGTCCTAGTTGAGAGATCGTTCCTCCCAGTCCTAGATGGGCAATTCATGCACTGGAGAGGCAGCCAAAAGGTAGGTCCCTGGGGGGGGGGGGTAGCATATATATATAGTTGTTATTTATTTACTCAAAGGGAGTCCAACAGGGGATGAATAGTTGCATTTTCTTTTCCAGGCGCCCTAGGTAGCATTCAGTCAAAAGATCCAACCAAGTCAGCGCAAAGGTTCCTAATGAAAAGCCATGACCATGGGCCGAGCAGGGAGCCGTGACCACGTCAAAACAGAAGATCGGCTATGACTAAGTCATTGGTGATTGGTGGGCATAGTCAGTCTTAAGCGTGACGCGCAAAGCATGTGAGGGGTAAATGTTGGGCTACATTTGAGTCATTATTCTCTGATGGTCGTGACTTGACTTGGTTTCAAAGTCCGTCGCAGCCCCAGTCTTATTGTTTAGGCCCCTTCAGTAAGCAGGGACAGGACGAAAGCTGGAAAAAGCTTTGGAAAATGGCTGAGGGGTGAGCAAATCGGCTTTCCCTTGTACCAGGAGCACAGGCAAATGGGATGCTTAACGTTTCGGACCACAAGCCAGATTAGGCTGTCCTCATGTTCTGCGATACCTGCAAATTCGAGGTTCTTTGTTTGAGAAAGAGTTCTGTTCAAGCACCTCGGAGCTGAGTGTATGGTTGGTCTTGATTTCGGAACTGGGGATAGAAATGACTTGGTTTTTCCAGCTTGTTGGCTTTGCACATGAAACAAACAAGGAGGTACTGGACCCTTTGGGGCCCCTCAACCCCCGCCAGGTCAACGCACCCGACACCCAACAGGAGTCCTTGTCCAACTGAGGAGTCCACCATCCAGACCGGCCAATCACCACCCCAGGCTGCGCACCTTTCGACAGCCGTTTTTGGGTGCAACGCCGTGGGCACAAAGCCGTTTGTCATTTATTTGTTGCAGCCATGGGGACGGGCCTGGGCAAATGTTGCATGTGCGGGCTCAGTCACCATATTCAATTTGCTTGAGATGCTGCCATGAGTCAGGCCCCAAATATGATACATACATGCCTGTGCCTGCTTTCCTGTCTGCCTGCCTACATATGTACATGCACAGGTACGTGCGTACCTACCTGCCCACCTACATACGTATGTGTTAACCTACATGCTGTCGTACCCAATCACCGATTATGTGATGTTGTCATGTGCAGAGTCGCGCTACCTAAACTTATGCACTACCTAAACTTATGCATGCATACTGACATGTGCCATCCTACCTACCTACTCAACCCAACCTTATCTTGGCTTATATTTGCCTTGAATTGCCTGACCTTACCTGCGTATTGAGATACTCTTATACCCTACGCGCATACGTACATATGTGCCGCACTGTTCACATACATCCACATATGCGCACACCTGTACATACCTGCCTGCATGCATGCGTGCGTATGCATGCATGCGCGTGTGCACCTACCTGCAGGCAGCCACACTCGCCTGTGTATGCACTTGTTCTTTATACATGCGTACGTGCGTGCCTGCTCGTCTACGTACATGCACGCATACCAAGTCGACTCATGGACCACTCGCTGCAAGCCCAAGATCTTCAGGCCGTTTCTTTTGCCAGGCGGCGCCCGCAAAGTGGTGGTGTCCTCCATGGGCACCGTGGGCACCCAGGATTTGGCGACTCGGAAGCGCACAGCCGCCGTTGGAAACGTGTTGTCCAAACGAGCGGGGCACTTGCATGTTTGTTGGTGTCTGTTTCGGAGCCAGGGTGGGACAGACATTTCTCAGCCAACTATCAAAAAAAGGAAGGCCCTCACAGTAGAGCTTCGTAGAGAAATGAGCTGGGACAACTTAGCATTTTCATGCATTTCTCAGGTCGAGCTAGAGCGAGAAAACAGATAAACCGGGAAGAATAATGCCTACAACCCCCATGCCACAGGCAGTTGGCATACACGGTTGAGCCATTCTTTGAGTAGCTAGCGGGCGCTAGCACACAGATTTGCCTGGCTAAGGTGTGGGCAGTCGGCCTGGACAGGCCAAGCACACCAGGAGATGTGTACAAGGTTGAGATCATAATCCTAGGCGCGGTGGGGTTGGGCACCCGCATCGGGCATGGAACATTTCGGAGCATTCCGAAGACCAACCTGAGCTGGATATAGCTGGATATTTCAAAGGGTACATGACACAGAAAGTTGATTTCCATGTTTCCTACTCGCAGCATCTAGGAAATCAACCCTGGCGCATGTTCTTTTTTCCAGTGCCGAGCTCGACCTGGTGCGCCGCCGAGGCGACGTGGTTACCAGCCTCTCCTGGCGCCCAGTGGATGGCAACGAGGTACCCAAAGGTCGTGAGGTGTGTGGCCCTTGAGCCGGAGCCAGCTGGCTTCAAGCTGATAGAAAGGGGTAGAGCAGGTCTCACCATAGTGATTAGAAGGGCCCGTGGTTTGAACGCGTTGATTATTTGCAGCATGCTGAACCGGAGGAATCGAGAACTTGTGAAAAGAGTGAGCTGTGTGGTGCATGAGCGACGCGAGGCAGATTGTGAAGGACTACATCTGATCAATTCATGTGACCCATTATTTTTGCTAGTCATACTGATATACATGAATATGTATGAATATGTATACATACATACAGATATATTGACTTGAGATCCTGGCTGGCAATGCGATGGTGCGCGAGTTCAGTGTGGCACCATTTAACGGTGTCATGGCAAGCCACCTGACACCCCAGGCTTTCCTGTGGTTCAGTGGCATCGTTTCTCGTTGGTTCCAGCTGCCCACTGAAAAAAGGAGCATCCCAGAAAGCGGCCCCGGCGGTGCTCTTTTCGTGGTGGCTCCCAGTTATCCACTTAGGTTTTTGGCTTTTGAGTTGGTTTAGCGTGGGCTCCCCATGAAACCCAGTAGAAGTTAAACTGGTAGCAGGGGATCAGACGGACAGCCCAGTTTGAGTGCATTTTCCAGCTGCCGATCCATGGCCCCTTGGGCCTAGAGCCGACTGAGCCACCGAGAAACCGCCCGGTTTAGCTCAAGGGGACGGGAGCCGCACAAGGAGAGCTTGGGTATCGCTCTCCGGCCCGGGCCCAAGCAGCCATGCTCATGGCGGATTTCGGGGGTAGTTCCGGGGAGGTAAACTCTCATATTGAAGTTGAGTATGAAGGTATGTCAGCAAATTTGTTGAGTGGCAGTTATTGATCCATGTATTTCTTCGCTTGAAATCACATGTGAGTCCAATTTGGTCAATCACGCTTTAAGAATCAGCAACGCTTTGCGCGCCACGGGTGTCCTAATGAACCCAGACCATTTGGCGTGGCGAATGCAACGCTTGTTCCATGAAGGTGCCCAAAGCGTCACCTTCTTTGCTTCATGCGTTCCATGTTTTGTCTTGTTTGTGAAGACCGGGAGCTTCCGTGTTTGTGGTGGCTTTACCTTGACTTCCCTTTGAAAGTCGTTGTTCCCTGTTGTTTTTCGATGGCCATGCTCATTGCTTTCAGCACCTTGTCACTGGAAGCCGGCCGCAGGTCTGAAGCCGCAAGGGCGGGACGCCCAGACTTGGACCACTTGAGGCCCTAGCTAAGGGACAAAATGATGTCGTTGCAGCTTGCCATGTTTGGATTGAAACAAGTGGTTGGCCCATTTCTAATCAGACGCCTGGAGACTCCTTGAAAATACTCTGTTCTCCAAACCTGTTGACATATTTTTCTGGGATGCCTGGAGCAACTAGTTTTCGAGGGTCTCAAGCCATCCAGTTGCCAAGGTATCGCGTCATGAAGCGACCATTCGAGTATGGAACCCCTGGCTTCACCATGGGAGGCGGATGTCGCCGAGTCCGGGGTGGGTGGAGGTGGAGGTGGAGGTGGGAAGGGCTTAGTCAAAAGCATGTTCCCAGTGTGGGTGGTTGTTTTTTGTTTTTTTTTTTTTTTTTTTTTTTCCGATAGATGTATGGTCCATGTTGACGGGGGACTGGAGTGCTGCATGATGGCAGTTTTGTTCTCTTAGGGGCGGTCTCCGGCACAACCCTCCTGGGCAACCGTCCCCATGCTTCACCTTGAGAGCTGAGAACGCCAGCACTCGAGTAGGTGACAGCCGGTCCTGGAGAGTGGGGGATCGTTGCTGCTATTCGGTTGTTGCCACTGACATGGGCGTTGAGCCACCCGAATGGCAGCCAATCTTTAGGGATGTTGTGTGCAACCCCATCTCTGAACATTTGCAATTTTCAGCTCAGAGGCTCAGAGGCAAGTGGTTTCAGGGGGCAAGCGCCAGAGGTTTGGTTGCTTCCTTTGAATTATTGTTATGTGTACTTGTTTGCTTTGGCTTTGAGGTGTTCGCGTTGTTTGGATTGTTTGTGTTTATTTGTTTGTTTGCTTGATTGTTTGAATGTTTGTTTGTTTCTTTGTTTGCATGTTGTTTATTCTTCAGATGTGCTTGGCTTGTGCCAGGGTTTCTGAGAAGCCCTACCTCTTTCGAGGCCATAGCAAGTACATAGAGGCAACCCTGTTCGAAGCTTTCAGGGATACACCGCCCAGGCATGACGACAGCCTTTGATCGGTTGCCGGCTGGCTGAACTGGCTGGTTGCGTTGCGGATTTGTTGTTTGCTTGTTGTGGTTGGCTTGAGTGCACTTCAGGAGCTGGCTGGTTTCGACGTTGCTTGTTTGGTTGGCTGTATACGGTTGTTTGGGTTGCTGAAAGGGTCTCGCCTTTGTTGGCTGCGAAGTACATGATTCGCTCGCGTCTTGACTTTTGGCAGGTCCTGCAAAAGCACCCAGATCTGCCGGCATGGCTATCAAGATGCTGGTGGCACCAAAGGAAGCATCCACGCTCATTGGCAAAGGCGGATCGCACCGTCCGAGCATTGCTGTCCCTTTGCGCGGCCGGTTTTGTGATGTTTGCTTTGTGCGTCCCAATCGCAGGTGGAATGACCCAAAAGCAAATAGCGGAGACGACGGGGTGCAAGATTCACCTCAGTGGAATCAATGAGCTCTACCCTGGAACGCAGATGCAAGAAGCTGCCCGGCTGATCTATGCACCCTTGAAGTCCACGGACTTCGTCTGAAACCATGCGAACTGCGGAGGAATTTTGTCAGGGTTGAACTTTCTAAGGCCCAAGCTCCAGCTTGGTGATGCAACTTGTTAATTAGTTGCCGCATGTTCTTTTGTCTCCTTGGGCTTGGGGCAGTGGAAACCACCCGAGAGCCTTGAAGCCGGTTGTTGCGAGTTTTACTCCTGATGTCCCCCAAAGAATGCCTGGCGCAATGGGTAAGCCAGGGGCCCTACCCCCCAAACACCCCCAACCACTCTCCCCCAAACTGATCCCTTATTCAGTCTTATTTCCCCCTGAGGCTCGCAACCCCTCCCCTAGGAACCGTGGTGAGGCCCGACTGTATTTGCCCCATCGACGGTCAAGTCTGAGCCTCGGTCGCTACCCAGGTCCACGTGCGCGGGGACGGCGCGGAGGTGGTGGCCAACGGAGTGTTGCAGCTGCTAACGAAGCTGGCTGAGGAAACTGGCAAAGTGCTGGGCGGCGAGTGGGACGTGGAGGAGGGAGGCGCCCGAGCCACCCGGTCGAACAACATATGTGACGATTTGTTTGCCTCCTTGTATGTGTGTATGTTTGTTTGTGTGCTTGTTCTTTTTGGCTCGTTGTTCGTTCTTTGCTTAGAAGGGAAGCAAAGGAGGTTACACATTGTCCCTTCTCCACTCAGCTGGCCGAGGTTCATTTCATAGTGCCCACCCAAGCCGCCCGAGCCATCATCGGCAAAGGCTCGTTCGGGTCAAGTTCGGCTGGTGCATCTGAGCTTTTTTGTTTCCACCTCATTTTGGCAATCCTTTTGACTGGTGGCCCAACCAATTGGCCTTTGCCAAAGACTGGTGACTTTAGTGTGACTTTGCTCAGGCGGCGAGAACATCAAGGCTTTGCGGCAAGCTTGTCAAATGAAGGCGGGAGTGGCATTCAATGTCCGGGGAGTGGGGAAGCGAGTCAGCCGGCAGAAGGGCAGCCTCGCTAAGTGATCCTAGTTGATACTAAAGGGGCCAGTTCATCAGGGGTGAAGCTACTGACTGCCGTTGCCATTCGGTGCATATTCGTTGCGTGTGTCACTGGAACTATCATGGCTTCAGGAAATCGGCCGGGTCTAGGCCTCCATAGATGCATCACATCACCCACTTGTTGGTCGGTGCTTGGTCCAACATGTGTGGAACCACATGGGCCCTGTTTGCATTTCCCAAGTCGCTAGAAGCCAAAGATGCCAGTTCGCGAGCCGGCACCCCTCAGCCCAAGTCCCCGTGTTTTGCCTGAAAGGCACAACGACCTTAGAAAGAGCTCATGTATTTTGCGGGAACCCTCTGGGCTGTTGGGGCCAATTGCACGGAGGTGCACGTGGAGGATACGGTGCTTGGCCACGGGGATTTGGCAGAGCAGGTGATTTCCTTGGCGGGGCCCTTGTTGAACATGCACAACGCTCTACCAATGATTCTCGAAAAGGCCCCTTGGCTGCACAGGTTGGCCTGAAACAACTTGCGATGCTTTCAAAGTTCGAAAGCAGCTGAGGTGGCGGAGCTTGCGGTTCAGCCATTTTTTGGCAACTGGGTGTTCAGTTGCCTTTCCGCTCCCAAAGGCGGAGGACTGGGGGTGCCCAAACATGCCCAATGTGCTTGAAGTCAAAATCGGGGACCCCCGCAAGTAATTGGCGTCCTTGTGGTTTTCTGACGGCAACATCCAAAAGCTTGTTTTGTTTATTCTAGGGCATCCCTCACCATCTCACTCCCGATCCCTCCCTTTCAATTCTGTGGCAGGCAAGGGAAAAGGCGACTTTGGCAAAATGGCGCTTGACAATGGCTTCAAAGGCGGCGGTGGCTACGGGGGCTACGACGGCTTCAAGGGAAAGAGCAAAGGCAAAGATCCCATGGCAATGGGCATGGGTGGCGGCATGGGTGGCGGCATGGGCGGCTGCATGGGTGGCGGCATGGGTGGCAGCATGGGTGGCAGCATGGGTGGTGGCATGGGTGGTGGCATGGGTGGTGGCATGGGTGGCATGGGCGGCGGCATGGGTGGCATGGGCGGCGCTGGCAAGGGCAAGAGCGACTTAGTTGCGGCACATGCTTTGTTTTGCTGGGGTTTCCTTTGAAATCTGTCAGCAGAAGGCGCCCTTTTCCATGGGCCGCTAGCCACGCGAGGCGATTATCCATCCCATGGAAAAGGAGCTGCTGCGACCCAGGAGAACATCGACATGCTGTCACACGCCATGTCCGCTATGCCGCCCAGCCTCGCAAATGCGACCGACAGATCACAGGTGCTTCAGCTGAACATCGCGGCGGGCTACGTCAGTGCGCTAATCGGCAAGGCCGGCATGGGCACGAAGCAGATTGCCATCAACACCGACACCAAGATTCCTTGCCAGAGTTAGCCTTCTCCTTCCTGTGCTCCTTCTTAACTTTTTTGTGAGCTATATTGGTTTTCCAACCCTTGATAATTAGTTTGCTGGGTCGCATTCAACAGAGTGGTGTCAAACACAGTTCCAGCATCTTGTTTGCTTCAAAAAGACGATGTCGTTCGTTCGTCATAGTCCGGCCCATCGTTCAAGGGGGGCGTCAAGGATCATGATCCGGGAGATCGAGGGCAATCCGAACGAGAAGACGGTGGTGATCAAGGGCAACGCTGTGAATGTGGCATCAGCTGCCTGGCCCAAGTCGAGGGCACAAGGCGTACTGTAATGGGGCAGACTTCCAGCTGGGCTCGTTATTTTTTTGGAGGGGTCACCTCTGACAAAAACGCCGCCAAAAGGTAAAACATATGGACGCCTGGCAAGAATTTGCTGGGATCGGTCTCGACCCTTCACCTTTTTGGGTTTGAGTGAGTGTCGCCCAGTGCTTGTTTTTTGTTGAGCTCGGGCTCCTGGCCTCACCCAGAAGGTCCAACAGGCAGGGTAAAGAGGTGCAGGGTTTGCCTTTTCGACTTGCCTTGGTCGGAATGAATGGTAGACCTCAATTGGTGCCCTTTTGCCCTGATTTGGGAGGGAGTTGCCCTTGAACATTACCACCAACAAAGGGAGCCCATTTTCGCCTGGCCACTGGAGGTCTGGAAAAAGGAACGGGGCACACCAAGGAACGCTCCTGACAGGAGCACATGAACGAGACTTTCTGCAAGCGGATCAACTGGCTTTGTTTAGCCCATGTGGGGCACTGCCAGCCTTCACGCACGGTAACAAGATTGACGTGCGACAAAGATGATCTCAAGTTTCGGGAGCACGAAAAAGATGAGTGCATGACAAAAACAACATGGTCACACACGCACAGACATGCCTGAGCGCTGGAAAACAAGAGGGCAGCGGGTAGGAGACTTGCTAGATCCTTTAGGTCCAGTAAGAGGACACGTTGACAGAACCTCACGTGGGGTCCTTTCTATTTTGCACGAAGCAAATTATGCAAAGCATGCGGTTGAAGCGTCTTCTATCGTGAAAGGCATCACAACCACGCATACAGCGCTTGACATCAGCCCTATTTCCCAAACTCCAAGTTGCCGGCATAGAGGGACCATTCCTCCCCCAATCAATGTATTGAGGCAATCCACTCAACACCACTTCTGGTAGGCAACGGAAGAACCATGTATGTCAGAGCGGGACTGACAAGGCATGCTTTGAGCAGACGCGTTAGAGTTCATCAGAGTGACTCCTCGCCAAGGCTTATTTGCACGTAGCCAGCCGCATGTCGAACATCATGCAGACGGTGGGTCCAGATGGGGGTGCCGGCGGCTTGTCGTAGGCGTCTCTGAGTGGCAGTCAGTCAGACCGTTTCTTCATGCGGGGGCCATTTGGGAAGCGGTTTTGCCCAAAGTGGGGGAACGGAGGCTGGCCGCTGACAGCTTGGGTATGATCTGAGTCTGAGTCGCAGTTTGGCACAAAAAGTGCCGCGGCGAAATGAATGCTCCCGGCCAGTTTGCTGCAAGCAACTGCCGACGGCATAGAGCGCAATGTGCCGGTTGCGTTTTGGATACGTGTGGCAAAGGGCAAAGGCAGATTTGCCGGTCACATGTCCATAGATACGTTCCGTACGTTCATCTTATGTGGCGTGGTGGTGGCTAGGCCAACAATTCTGAAGGTGGGCGGTAGGAGAAATGTGGCGTGTGCATTGCCGAATGTTGTGATGTCCTTGCTGCCCTTGCATCACCTTTGAAGCAGATGTTTGATGCACGCATCCAATCTGGTATAGTATGGATGTTCAAATGTGTTCGGACAGTTGAATCCTCAATCTGGGATGTTTGGGCACAAGGTGTCAACGGGAACACTTTACCGCAGAGGGCGTGAGCCTACCCCGCACAGTTCTGGTTCCAGCTGGCCATAGCTCGCATTGCCATCCTGCTGTGCAGCAGGCCACGTGAAGGGTTGACCGTTGCCACCTTTGCCCAGGAGAGCGTCTTGTTGAAAAGGGTACCGGTTGCACCAGTCCTCACATGGTTCTGCATTGCCTGTTATGCCCAGTCTGGAGGAAGAGTGAATCTGTTGAGAATCCAGTCGTAAAAGACGACGCTTTGCATTTTCCAGCACTACTTTTTCCTCAGGCGGAGGTCTTGTTGAGGAGCTCGGCTTTGATGGAGCGGTTGTGTAGGGGCTCGAAGGCGTGAACTCGGCTTGCGGCTGAGGAGTTTGTGTGTCAGAAACGTGCTGGCCCAAAGATGCGTGTTGCCACTTTCTCGGAGTTGAACCACGTTTGTGTAGGAGTTGTTTCGCGCCACTTCAACGTGTGCCTGCAGCTACCAGACATGTTTTAAGGCACGCGCGCACACACACACACACAAGGTTGACCACACATAGACTACAAACCGGGTCGGAACGTTAAAGCCACGGACTTAGCATTGGCTACTCCAACGCTTTCAATGATTTCCTTGCTCGCCCGGGTGGGGGGGGGAGGGTCCCAGGGTCCCAGCGGAACCCAGCGCAAGCTCAGTTTGACAAATTGATTTGTGCATGGGATGAACACTGGTCTGGTTGAGGGCCAAGCCTCAAGGTAGTTTTGGTACACTGACGGGTGCTAGGGCCATGCTTTAGGAAGCAGACACAACTGAATCTGAGTCCGCCAACTCACAGTGCTGAAGGCCTGTTGTCGCTTCATTGCACGACCTATTTGCAAGCTGTCAGCCAGGTTCTTCCAACTCGGACTTGGAATCCAGAGGTGCCAGCGCTGCATTGGGCTCATGTGAAGCAACTTTGGCTTTGTGGGTGATGTGTCGGGAAGTGAAGCACCAAAGTCACCAAGCAACAGATCAACATAGGCGTCAGCATGGGCGGCTGGTGCTCCCGAAGCTCTGGGCACCCCGCAGGTCTCCTCCCCCCCCCCCGCCCCCGTAGTTCCACTCGGCGGTGTCTTCTTTTTTGAGGGTACCCTTCGCTGGTAGGTCTAAAGGGAAACCAAAAAGGAAAGCCCCCCATTTCGGGGGGTCCCTAAACAAGACAGACCCATGTAACAGGCCCACCTAAGGAGCTGTGAAGACGGATCGCCGAGATGGTCTCCTCAAGGCCCGACGGATGCGGATTCCAAGTCGCTCGGGTGCTCGCAAGGGCGAGCCGGTGCGTAGTGCAACGGGCTAAACAAACTGCCAACAGCCTGAAATGGTATGCTTTGGGTGCCACTGAATATCAGTGGGCACCTTTTCGGTTGCCTTGCTGAGTCAAGACCCTCTGGACGCAACGGCAGAGGGAGAGAGAGAGAAACAAACTGCTAACAGTGAGTCCTATGTTCACGGCCAATTTTGGCTTTGAAGTATCCAACAACCCTTGGCAAATTGTTTAGGCCCCACACTAAATTTCATGTGTTCAGGCATGGCAATGCTGACCAGTCGTGCAGGAGCTTCGCCAGACACCTTTCGCCAACGTCACTGCTATAGCTGCTGAGCTGCGTCAACTGCAGCAGGCTGGGAGCATGAAAGAACTTCTCTTGTCTCATTTCAGCAAAACAAAACTACCCTCTACTCATGGGCTGATTGTGTTAATTACTCCCCCTTCAGCTAGATAGCTTCACCTGGGCATGTTGAAGGCTTGCCACGTCACCCTTGCAGTTGAGCCGTGGTTCAGACTACACAGCGCTGATCTCGGCATGCCGCCGACAAAGCGAGTGGGGCGCTGCGGTGGGCCTTTTGCAAGACGCTCTTTGGAGCGGCTTGGTATGAGAGGTGTGAATGCTGCGCGGGCTCTCGCTGAAAGGTTTGGACGATCAAAAAATAGAGCAGCTTTCACAGGAAGTCGGGTCAGATTTTTTTCAATTTCTCTAAGCTCATTAGGGTCTCACATGCTTCAGGTGGCCTGGAAGCGGGCATTCACACCAGCAGCGCGGTCGTCAGTGCTTGTGAGCGAGCTTCCCAGTGGAGCCATGCGTTGCTGTGCTTTGCCGACTTGGAAAGGACTGAGGCTAGTGCAACGCATCGTTTCGTGGTATGTGTTCCGCTGCGTTCCACGTTTGCGATAGGTCCTGTGAAACCTTGGAACAAGTTGGAGAATCGTTGTTGGACCTGTGTTCGTATGGCAAACAAAGAAATGTTGCCATATCTATCATGTCAAACTCATACACCTTTTGCAGGACTCGAATTCAGGAATTGGACGTAATTCTCTACAGCGCTGCGATTTCGGCGTGTGAGAAAGCTGGCCTGTGGTTGGCGGCTATCAGATTGTTACGATCCATGCATGCAGGGAGGGTTTCTCCAAATCAGGTGGCTTGGCCGCAGACATCAGCAGGTAGGTGGCAGCCTGCTTTGCCCTTGTGGTTGCTTTGGTTGACGGTTGTCATTCCCGTTCTGGTTGTTAGCGTGTTTTGTTTCTGTTTGGTCATTGCGGCAGTTCTTTTAGCAGCGCTTGTTCTCACCTCCAATGTCGATGCCGATATCGCCACCAATGTAGTGATTGGGGAGATTGATGGTCCGTTGATGGTCATGGCGATTGCCTGTTGTGATATTGCCATTGCCCGTTGTTTGGGTTCGTTCCTGATGTAATTTATGTGTTCTTCCTTTGTGTTTGTGCGTTGCACCGGTTGCAGCTCGTTTTTGCTTGCCGGCTTGTGAGTCAAGGCGGGCGTGCTGTTGGTCCAATTTAGGCTTACTGCACAGGGGTTGGTGTCAAAAGTTTGGTCCTACCTTCAAGGCCCTGGATCCAGTGCACTTTGTTCCTTTCCTTGGCTTCCCTCGAAATCAGCTTCCAAAGGGCCCCGTTTCCTATCGATGAGGTCCACTGCCTGGGTTTCGTTTCACATTCACTTTGCCTTGCGAGTTTGATTTTGCTTTGACCCAATGAAGCGTCACACCTTGGCCCGAATCAGTGCTTGGTGTGGCTTAAGTTGATAGCCCGGAAGGTCATATGATTCTTTGTCACTCCTCTTAGGGCAGGGCTTGACCCGCATTTTGAATCGCAGACCCGGACACTGGCCTTGGCGAACAATTTGCTCAGGTGAGTTTCGGCGCGGCCGTGGCAGCTTGTGAGAAAGGTGGGGCCTGGAAGTGGGCGTTCAGCCTCATCACTGCTGCTCAAAATTTGGCCCTGCAAAGCAGCAGCTCGTCAGTTGTCAGCCACTCGCTTTTCTCCCAACATCTCATCCAACTTGAGGCAATATCATTTTGATACAGGCAGTTCACGCAGTTCGGAAAGGAACTCTGACACCCAGATTACGTGCGGCCTTCTCTTTACTCCAAAGTGTTCCTCCATGCAACTAGAACCTTGCAAAACTATGAAAAGAGCAAAGGGAACAAGGCCTTTTTTTGCCATTTGGGGCGAGGTAATCTTGGGACTGTTTCGATAAAAAAAATAGGGTGTTTTCGGGGGACAGGGGGACGGGGGGGTTCGGGGATGGAGGTCTTGGGTTTCGGCTTAGCGCCCAGGTCTTGTCACCACGAGCTCAGCTCTGAGCGCTTGCGAGAAGTCAGCGGCTTGGAGTGCTGCCATCCGCCTGGCCCAAGCCTCGACCAGTTTGAAGCCAGAGCCTTGGCCTACAAAACTTGGGGGTCCCACGTGTTTATATATATATGTATATAAATAGTGTTATTATTATTGTTAATTGTTATTTTTCCCGAGGTGGGTTGATGATGTGGGTTGATGATATGGGTGTGTCGTAAAAATCCGGGACCGTCGAAGGCTGATGGTTTTCGCTTTCAGTTCGTTTGTTCTCGCCACCCAAACGGGGACCCTCAAAGAAAGACACAACCATATATGTTTGCGTAGACACTTTTCGCAGCGATCCTCATATCTTTCCTTCCTTTGAAGATGGCCGAAATTGGGCTGCCAATGTTCTTTCGCTTCCAGTAGTTTTTAAGGGAGGCGCATAGGGAACACTGGGAACCAGTTGGTTTGGTCGGCGCTGGCGGTGTTCTCGGTTGAACATGTTGGGCTCCTCTTTTGACTGGGCTTCCAAATGCCAATTTGCGCCCAGTTACCACCGGGCTCCGCTCTCTCGTGGAATCCCTCAAGGTCCAAGGTATAAGTTAGGCTTGTCCGAGCCTCCATTTTGCGGAGCCCAGTTTGCACTTTACGAATGAGGCAAGATGGAAGCCATGGCCTGGTCAGTGTAGGCATTTGTCAGGCCAGGAGCTTCTTCTTTGGCGTGTTGCCCCCGTTTGGGGATCATTCCAGGGGACTGACATGAAGCCAACCCTGCAAAGCATCTGGATCCCTGTTGTTTTTGCATGCTCCACCTGTGGGTTCCAGTTTACGAACGCTAGAGCGCAACCATTTGCTGCGAGTTGGGCACACGACTGGGGCATCAAAGTTGTTGCCTAGAAGTCAGAAACCAAGATGAATCCACAAAGCTAGCGTATTCTCTGAGTGTGCCTGAGAACCCCAGTGCACCGCTGCAAGGCGGCAACAGGAGAACACATTCTTGAAATACCCTGGAACTGAGCTATATGTGCCGCTAATTGTCAAGGGGAACGAGGCGGCCTACATGGGCAGTCGGATGCTTGTGAGAGAACCCACCTTCGGACCCAAGCTGCAGGGGATGCACGTTTTGCTTTGGTGCATCTGTCGCCTAGCTAGGTGTGTGACCAACAGCTGCGATGCTGCCACGGTGCCCTTGCACGCTGTTGCTGTTTTTTCTTTAGCAACGATTTATTAATGCTAAGATCCAGACCCCTACATATCTCACTCTGTGTATTTTGTTGTGGCTTGCTAAGCTGAATCGGCACCATCACGCCACAAGGACGTCATCGCATTCAGCGCGCAAGTCTCTTGCACGGAGAAGGCAAGCCGCTGGCCATCGGCGTTCGGCATTCTTGCAAGGACGGGTTTAGCATGTGATGGCCCTGGAATCTGAGTGCTCGTTGCCATGTTGAGTTTGGATTGCTGGGCGGTACCCCTTAGCTGCCGGAAGACTGCCGTCCCCTTGGCCTCTGGACCGTCAGCCCAAACCAACCACATCGGGCCAGCCCGTATGGCTTCTTTGCTCACGCCATGCTGCTTTTTTTGCTCCGAGCGAGGCACCGCGCTGGTTTTGATGCCAATTGGTTGCTGCCAAGGCTTGGAGCCAGCAAACCGGGGGCGACAATCTGCATGCTCACCTTCTCTGGCCCCACATAAGTGAATTTCCGGGGTGACCCCGGATTAACAAATCCTGGCAGAGTAATAGGGTGTGTGTTTCCACAAAATTGAAGGAGTTTGGATGCGCCCAAAAATGAGAACCAGGGAACATGGGATCTCAAGCATGCACATGTTGAAATTGAGGATGTCCAGATCTTATGTGCGTCCCGGCATTGTCAGCCACAATGCTGCCATCAGCGCGTGTGAAACTGGCCAGTGGGAACGTGCATTGTGTGCGCTGCACGGGAAGCCTGTGCTGCACATGGACATGCCAGATCCCTCACGCTGAAACCGACCAAACAAGACGTCGCCGGTAGTGTCTTGCCTTTTGCTCGTTGTTTTCAATTTGAGGTCGGATAGAAATGAGAAGGGTACTGTCAAATAAATATTCACCAAAGGGGCTTGCTTTGAAAGAACCCGAGAATGCTGGGAACGTTGTTTGAGCTGGTTGCAATATTTCACATACGTTTGACTGAATATTGACCAGAATCAACCAAATATGTTTGTGGTGGGGGGGCCATCACAAAAGGTAGTTTGGGGTGGGGCCTCGGCCTTTTGAATCCTTTCCATTTTGGTGACACTGCCTATGTGCGCACGTCATCGATGGCGCTTTACCGGTTGTTGCCTGGTGCTCCAACCCAGCACCCTTTTTGGTGGAGAGACGAAATCCAGCACCAGTTGATAGAATCAATCTCAGTATTCCATTCCAACTTGTGCAGAGTGTTGTCTCACCACAGCGGTTGAGGTATGTGCGGCTAGATGTGGTTTCCTTCAGCGCCATGATCGCCAGCTGCGGCGCCAGTGGCAAATGGTCAGATGCCCTGTGCCATTGCCAGACTTAGCCGTCCTGTGTCCTGTTCTTTGTTTGTTTGTTTGCTTGGGTTGTGGGTTGTTTGTTTGTTTGTTTGATTGTTTGTTTGTTTGTTTGTCTGGTTGGTTGGTTGTTTACATTGCTTGTGTTGACCTTCATCCATGTTCCTTTTTCTCCAGCCAAGAGCCAGCTGTTCGCAGGGGGCTGATGGGCGGCATGGGCTTCACCCGGGTGCTGCCCAACTCCGTGACCTGCAACTCGCTGATCTCCGCCGCATGGACCGCATGGACCGCATGGCCACGGAAACGGAGGGAGCTCCCTTAGAGCGACTGCCAAATGGCGCAAATGCTCCAAAAATATGAGGCCATTCTGTAGCAGGGCTGGTGGTTGTTCTGAAAAGCGGTTGAGTAGCACAAGGTTGACACCATGACAGACAGCAGGAATGGAGAGGCGATTGAACGTTTTTCGAATGCCCAGCTTTCCTACAGATCACGTCGTTTGCCTCTGGCGACGTACTGACGCTTGCCCCACCCAAGGCTTGCGAGGAGTCGGGCCAGTGGGACGTGGCCCTGGGATTCTTCACTCGCCTGGCGTCGCCCGGCACGATGAGCGTGAACGCTGGCATCAGCGCTTGCAGCAGAGGCCGGGGCGATGCGGGGATTCCATTGTCCAAAGCGCACCTTTTCATCTTGGGGTTTCATGAGAGTCCCCTTTCTCCATTTCTACTGGGGTCAACAGGACCTTTGTTTCCAGGTCCTTTGGGCGCGTGAGGCAAAATGTGGACCGTTGGATGGACACGTGTTACAGCGCTACAGGTTTGTGTTCACCGCCCGTGTCTAATGGGTGTCCGAATTAAGTTTAGTAGCAATGCAACTAGCATAACGAAGGCTCAACCAGTCCGAGGAATATGGGATGGCTGTAGATCATCCATCTGTGTATTTATCGTAGACCTTCAAATCAATCAGGGAGCGGTGGTTCCTCTGAGTCGCAGTTCATCTATTTCCGGGACCACCAGTGCTTAAGTCATGGATCCCCAAGGCCCCCACTGTGAGGGAAACGCCCGCTAGTTCTTTAGGCTTGGGGTTTCATGATTCATGTATACAAATTGCCGCATGAATCCGGCTCCCCCTAAATATCAATTTCTCCCTCACCTGGACCTCCGGACTAACATGGCTGTGTCTCTGTCGATGCTCAACTCAAAGCCCCTTCGGGTGATCTACTTGTAAGCACCTTGGCTAGCATGACTGCATCTTCGTGGGTGGTCAACAAAATGCCGCGTTTGGATTAATGCTTCTCCGCATTTCTTCCCAGTGGGCTGTGGAGATCTGAAGATGTGCCCGTGTTTGAACGCATGCTCTCATCCTATTGAACCTGCGATGAAAATTCCACAAAGAACTGAGCGCTTCAAGGGTAGCAGATTTGCCCCATCGAAGCAGTTCAGTCACTAAGCTCAGATTAGTTGGGGTCTGTGTCAAAGGCACTAGGAGTTCACCAGCTATAGGAACAAGCCGTTTGGAGGTCCCCAAGGGGGGCACTGTGTTGCAGTGGGTTTCCCACCGGAAACCAAATCAAGATGAACCAAATCAAGATGAACGGTTGAATTCCTAAGCGGTGGGATCGAAGCCATTGCATTGTAAGTTAGACCATCAACGAGCTGGTATTTTAATTTGTTGGTGTCCGCCATTGTCATGGACTGAAAGGTGACGTCTGTTTTTGCCCAATAAACCACCCATTAAATGCATTTGAATTTCCTCTGCGGATGCAAGGGAAACAATGTATGAAGAGGGGCCTGGGATTTTGGGGATCGATGTGGCGCCTCCATGGTTTGTTTTAGTGGCATCCCACACACGATTACGGATGAGGATGCCGCATGATGCAGCATCATAAGTCGAACAGCTAACCATGCAAGATTGGGAGCCGAGCCGGAAATGCAAGCAAGCTAAGCCAAACACGTTTACAATGCACTTCACATGCGCCAGAGCGTGTGATGCGACTATGGAATGTTCCCGCGACTAGGAGATGAGACAACATCGCCATAACTGTATTAGACATAGTCTGAAACCATTTGCGACAAACAGGCACAGCGCACAACCGTCTTTGAACAGCCCTGAACATGGCTTGCCCAGCCCGGTGAACAGTGCTTTTCACGTAACTAACATTCAACTTATGGATCCCCTACATTGAACACATGATTTATTTGAGCAAAACAAGTGTACTTATGGAGAGTTGGGTTCTCAATGGTAGCTTTGTCGCTCTTTATTACTCATGGCCTTTCTGGGCAAGGCGGTTTCTTTGAACGAAACAGCTCACTGAGATTGTGTGCGGTCACCAGCGCAGTTTACCCCTTGCAGATGAGCATGAAGCCAAAAAAGTCTGTGGAACAACCTCTGGGGCCCCAATTCCTGTACCATGTCAATGTTCCAAGGGCATGACCTATCGGAAGGAATCAACTCTTGCAGGCATGCTGTGGAGATCAGCTGCTAGCCTGCTGGATGGCCTGCTGCAGTCTTCCTCGCGCCGGGCAACACTGGTGAGTTGCTCGGTTTCGGACGCCCGATAGGTCGGGCACAGGATGAGCCAACATGGCAGATGGATTCCCTGGCACCCAGTGCCCTGACACCCACTGCCACCCATGCGCCTTTTTTCCATGCCACTGGGGGGTCTGGGCATAGGGAGGGTTTTCGCCACCAAAAGCACAAAAGCAGTGAAGGATTTCGCTCTGAATTTGGAAATCCCCTATACATCAACCATGGATTGATTCATCCTGGGTCAAATTCCTGGCTGCATATTTGGGGGGCAATACCCCCCCAAACGGAAGAGCAGTATAAGCATCATAGTTGCTAGGTGATGAACAACCCAAGACTTCCTTTGGGCTTCCCCTTGACCGAACCAAGCAGTTCCATGCCTGAATACCGCCCATTGCAGCCGAGGAAACCATTTGCAATTTGCCTTGGTTTCTGGCTGGTTTACCTCGCAATTTTCTGCGGGGAATCTGATCAAGACTCGGCAAGGCACATCGCAGTTGCCCCTGAGTGAGATCGAGTGTGGGTTCGTTCGCATCGCCAAGGCTTCAATGCAGCAATGACGGCCTGTGGAAACTGCAAGCAGTGGTCAACGCTGATGGGCATCATGCAGCAGCTATCCAGGCCGCATGCGTCATTCCGGCAGCGTCCTGGGCGATTGGGCCCTTGAATCTAGCATCGTGCCGAGGGGCCATGTGAATGAAGTGGAGCGGAAACTTATTTGAGGTGGGAGCAACCCGATACAAGATTGAACAAATCAGAGTGTCAGAGTGCCATAAACAGCTCTACCAGGAGAGTTGTTTATTGGACTACCTTACGGGAAAAATGTTTGGCTCCCAAGAGTGTGGGTTTCCTTTGGCATGCTAATCCGGACCCTGGAGGAGGGACAACAGGACCCTGTCACGTGCCAAGGAACCGCACCAGCGTTGATCGCACTTTGTGTAGTCAACTAGACCTTGGCTGTTCTTCAAAGGGAGCCAAAAGGAGGTTGTTTGAACAATAGCGGTTCTCAATAACCAGGGGTTGTGCCCAAAAAACAGGGGTTGTCCCAATAATGTTTGCTAAAACCAGGGGTTGTGCGAACCCCGGGCACGCAGGAGCTCTTTGCAACCTGATGCCATCTCCCTGAATGCTGCAGCAGGGGTGCTCGAATGGCAGGGACGCTGGGCCGGGACCTTGGCTCCAAGCAACAATGCAGTCAGCCAAGGCGACCGACCAACTAACCAACAGGCGACCAAGCAACCAACCAAGCAACCAAGCAACCAAGCAGCCAAGCAGCCAAGCAACAACCAGAAGTAATTGGAAGGTGATAAAGCACAAGTAAGCTCAAAGAGCGGTGGGTGTGGGATCCCGCCCCCTGAATAACGTGCCATTCATGGAAATGCTTTTAGTGGATTGCTACTGAAGGCAACACTCTATGACAAACTCTAACCAGAGCGTGCCTCTTGACCTGAAGGAAAACTGCGTTTAAGTTTAACGCGTCTACACTTCGAGGAGGCAAGTCTTGGGGTTGGATATTTTGTTGGGCCTAGCAGATTTGGTCGATTTCGAAGTCTCAGGGTGCCCCTTGAGCACCCAACCTCATAAAACGTCCGCCCCCCCCCCCCCCCGCCGGCATATTTTAAAGGAAACCAACAGAAATCGCTGCCCTGTCGGACCAGGTTCTCATCGGAGCCTCGCCTCATCGCCTCAGGCCGGCGCCGCGGGGCTACTCGCAGAGGCACAGGCGCAGGGCGAGCGCCTGCTTGCCGCGGAGGCGCTGAGAAACCGACGTCCGGGCGAGGGCGGCGCAAGCGCTGGTTTTTGTGTTTTTGGATGGCGGGTTTTTTGCTGCGGTGCGGGGGGGTGGGGGAGGTTTTTGCGTTTTTTTTGGATGGTTGTGGTGGGCTGCGGTGGGTTTTGGTAGGTTACGGAAGGTTGCGGCAGATTGTGGTACTCGTAGGTTAAGCTGTAGGTTTCCTCATTCTGGCGGCCCTAAAAATGTGAGTTGTTTTTCTTTTTTCTGGCCTGTCAATTCAGGTCAGGGCGGGTTCGTTGAAGTTCCTACGCCCATTCAAAACGGATGCATCTTCAAAAGACATGCTTCCCCCCCAAAAGCGTCGCTGGGTTTTGGTCCCCGTAATAAGACACCTGAGGGACAGTAAATGAAGATTTTAATGTGGGAAATGCGAATCGGTTGAATGGCGGTGTTGGTTCATTACTTGGCTTGAGGCCGGTCGGTTGGTTGGCCAGCTGGCTGATTTGCATGTTCGTTCTGGACGTGGGCTGTTGGTTGTCGAGGACCGTTTGGGCACGTATTGGGTGCCTATCCTTTAAAACAGCCATTCAAGGCTCTTTGCTTAAGCCTTGCCTGGGCGCTGCGGTCATTCTGATTGTCATGTGGCTACACAACAAAGTTTACGCGTTTGGTTGCTGAGCACTGGCAAACAAGTATTTATTTCTGAGGGTTGCCCATCGAGTAAGTGGGCATGTTATGTGTCAAAGCATGCACCCCAAAGTGGTGGTTGTCCTTGTGGTTTCCACTTTAAGGGTAAGTCTTGTTCACAGATGGAGCACTGCTGGCGCTGATGATGTGAGGCGGCCACATTGCTCATGGCGGTTGACTCTTGCCAGAGGTGGGGCGTGCTGTGGAAGGTAGCAGCCAGAGTATTGTCCGGACTTGTATTCCCAAAGCATGTCAAAAATCTGACAGGGCCAAAACTGAAGATGGCTTCGGAAGGGACTGAACATGAAACCAACCTTCGGGAGTGGTTCCTTGTTGACACATCCCGAGTGTTGAGCGCGATGCCCTGAACTTCTTGAACGTGTGTCCTTTCATTGCACGAGATGCGGGTTTCAATGCACATCACTCGCCTAGCGTGCCACCAGAAGGCCGGGTATGGGAGAAGTGCGGCTATTTGCGAAGAAGCAGTGGCCCCACAGTTCTTGGCAGGTTGTGTGTCCCAAGCTCCGAACGAGGTTGACTCTGATATGACATCGAAAGAGGCGCTGTTTCTCAGAAAGGCCTGGCACAAGCCAAGCACACCTCACGAACAAACAAGCATGCAAGTTACCAAACGAAAACAACGCAAACCAACCACCCTGGCATGACAACCGTTGACTGGTTGCCGGCTGGATGGACTGGCTAGTTGCTTGCGGATTCTGTTGTGTTGCTGTTCGCTTTGGTGACTGCGTTGAGTAATGGCTGGTTTTGTCGTTCGCTGACTGTATATTTGTATGTTTGGCTTGCGTGGCACACAGCTTTTGGCAGGTCTGGCACGGCAACTCGAGCAGCTGGCCTTCTGGGGAGCATTGTGCGAGACACTTCGCAGAGCCTGCAGCGGATCGAAAATTGCGATGCCGGGGTGGGAAAACGGGAAACATGGCTAGAGCGCCTATGGCAGTTGTTTAGAAGCTTTAGGCAGCAGCAGAGGCGCGCGATTGTCCGTGAGCAGCGCAGCATCAAAGTTTGGTGGTGCCGAGCATTGCCAGAAAATCTGGCGGGGTGCAGCCCTTGTTCGCCATGACGACTGGTTCAGCAAAGATTGAACGAGAGTTCCTGCGCTTTGATCAAGACGGGAGTGGGACTATTTCGCGGCAAGAACTTGCAGAAGTGCTGAAGGCTGTGAATCCAAAGGAGATGGGCTTCCAAAGTTTCAATCTCGTTTTAGTTGTTTGTTGGATGTGTTTTCATTGGTAGAACCAAGCAAAAAGCAGCCGGAAATACAAGGCCTCTTCGCACAAGGGCATTTCTTCCACCACCCCTGAGAAATTTGACAATGACACCATCGGCCAAGTGCTGGCAGATGCCGATGAAAGCGGAGACGGAGAGTTGCAGATCAGCGAGTTCGTATCCTGGCTGTTTGCAGAGGAGAAGGACTTGGCGAAGGGTCGGTACCTGCGCGGCGGCGGGCAAACGATCCTGGTGGAAGGCTGTTCCAGAGAGGAGCTGAACGGCGAGTATGCGAAGCAGACCGAAGTTTGTGGAGATCGCCCGGTGTTCTATTGCGGCTCAACGGAGATGTGTCTCTTCTACCATTCCGAGAACCAGGCGTGGCAAATCTACACGACGCTGTTCAGCACCAGGGCAAGCGCGAGGCTGAAGACCCAGCGATCCCCGTATAAGCCAGCCGGGGCAGTCTGGGAGGTTGGCAAGAAGGGGGAGCAGGCAGGATGTGCCAACACATTCCTGCTTTCCGTGGAAGCACGTCATGGAAACTCACAGGCATATTGGCCCGCTTCGCATATCCAAAAAACATCGCCTCATTGAAGCTCACCTGAATATTGGCCCACTTCGCACCACATCTAGGTTCAGCTTTTCCCTCTTTGTATGTTTCTTCTTTGCAGAGACCCGGGAAAAAACAAAATGCTGAGAATTGCAATGGTTTGCAGCGTGAATGCTGGTTTGAGGCTCATTTTGGCTGGTCTCGTTCTTGTGCCGACTTGGCCTAGCTAAGGAGGGTTTGGTTTAGGGTGGATTGGGGATTTGCTCAAGCCAGGGAACTGCATGGAGGGAAACAACAAACGCCGCTCAAGCCGCTCAGAATTGCAGAGTTCATATGAAACGGGGACTCTTGCAAATGGCAAGTTCTGTGGGAACCCTGCCCGACGCAAGACTCTCCTGGCGGTTTAGTGTTTTGAAAGAAGTCTAGACGATGTCCAAAACCCATTTCGGAGAGCTCGGCTTGGGAAGCCAAGCGCTTCCCAAGCGTGGCCACTGCTTGTTGAGTTGCTGTGAGCGGACAGGGGGAAAAAGGGGGCAAAGGGCAAGCTAAGAAGCACAAAACATTAAGCGTGAAGTGGAGCAGGGGAGCACCTGGTGAAATAAGATTGATTCCTGCGGTGCTAAGCATCATTGCACCTTTCATTGGAGGGGCCTGCATCTGCATTGGAAGGGGTTGGGCTTCACTAGGAAGTTTGCAACAATTGCCAGGGCGCGATGGAGTACGTGCCTGAGCCTGACATGGCTTGCCGTGTGTTGCCACCCCCCGAGACTGCGGAGGAAGAACTTGCAAGAGCCCCGGAGTGGATCCTCGTCGAGTCGACTGACTCCAGGCAGGGTTGCTCCTGTGGCCTTAGGAAGACAAGGCCTCTGTGTGGAAGACTTGCCAGGTTTCCCAACGCTTTTCCCGGCTTTCCCTTTTCAGAAAAAAGTCATCACACCCTTGCGTGGCATTTCGGGGCACAGCTGATGGGCGTTGCCGCATTGCCAAGCCTCCCCGCTCTAGAAAGGGGGCGGGTGTCATACCCAGAAATCATATGAGTCATGGGGCACTTGTGACGTGGCGGCGAACCAGCCACAATGTTTGGTCCAAAATTGCGAGCGCTTTCCACGAGGATCTCTGGCTTCTTCAACAAACAAAGCCAGCCTGTCAATGGCCGCCCCGCGTATAAGAACAGTGCGGACCAGACCTACATGGTCTTCAATGGTCCTGAGAAACACTTTTGGAAGGCGCGAGGGCTAAAAGCCGATCCGGAGTGAGGCTCTTTGTAGCGTTCAATCTGAGAAACGCGATCTCATTGTGAAGCAGGCTTGCTAGTAGTGAATGTATGTTTTGCGGATCCGCAGGATTGATGCATTGCGCTTGCTTGCGCAGACCAGATGCTCAGATGCTCAGGTGTGTATGGACGAGGCGGTCCCGGAGACAACTCTGGCATGGTCAAAGCCATCTGATATTTGGTCACCTCACCTGACTCTTTGCTGCACAACAGCTGCTGGTTGGGACGGGCTTATGTTGTATCGGGCTTATGTTGTATCGGTCTACTTAGTTTTGTTCCATGCGACTGTCCGAACAGCGAACATAGAAGCCCCCTTTTTTCGTTACTGCTTCAACCAAGAGGGGGGTCCTCCTCCGCATTTTGACCGGGCGCGCGGGTGCATGATGTGTTAGGACTTCGTGGCACGGCAACGTCAGTGTGATGCCAGTCTACCCAGACACCGGCTTCGGCAAATGGATCAAGAGCACTGATGCGAACCAAACGAAGCTCGGGCGCGAACTATTGGAACAGTGTGTTGGCCCTTTTGCCTTTTTGGGCGATGGGGCCGGCTTGTCTTGCTCACTGGCTCCCTGGGCGTGTCAGTCTGTGGGTCAGTCCGTAGCTTCGTGAAACCCACAATGGATCAACAAATTTCCTGTTCAGCACGTAACAAGTGGGGCTGGAAGCTGAGGCGCTTCGTTGATCCAGAGTTTCCTCATTCCGACAAGAGCCTTGGGAAGGATTGGGGGGACATCGAATGGGCGCGGGTCATTTGGCTGGGCCCGTCCAGCATGGAGCTCTTCAAAAACCTCGAGCCTGCCCATGTCTGCCAAGGTCCCTTGTTGGCCTTGTTGGTGCGCTTTGTATGGGTTCAACTGATCATTATGTGCCGTTGTTATGGGTTCAACTGGTCTTGTTGTTTGATGGCTTCCCCACGCATGGTCAATCCCAAGGGGCGTTCCTGGTATACCAAACAGTTCATTAGTTACTGCTGGGCGCAGCATTTCAATTTTTCTACCCTCGCCGCTTTGCAGGCGCAATTGTCAATATTTGCAGGGTGACGTGCATCGCACGAACCCAACATTCCCATGAGGAAATTGAGCAACCCCATCCAGGACACATGTTTTGTCCGCTTGCACCAGGTGCCATGGGAGATTGCTGGCTTATTGCCGCAATCGCTGCGGTGGCAGAGTTTCCGAATTACGTCCGGGATCAGCTCTTTTGCGGGACCAGCGAGTTGACTGAGGCGCGCGCGAGGCGACATGGTTCAGGGAGAAGCGTGGCAAGAGAAACAAGGCCGTTGCCAGAAACTTGGAACTGTCGATCGTTTGGACTGGTAGGGTTGTGGCATGTTGTGGCATTGTGGTTGCTCAACTCGGCCAGGACGGGAAGTACAATATCCGCTTGTTCGATCATACGGTTGACGACTGGAGGGTTGTCACGATCGATGATAGCCTTCCCTGCAAAGCACGATGCAGGGAGCGGCCGCAGCCGTCCCCCCTTTTTGTCAAGTTGCGCGGTGGAGAGGCATACGTGCCACTTTTGGAGAAGCTCTGCTTTTGGCCAGCAGGTATGAGCTTTACTTGGATCATGATGAGTCAAATAGGTGATTGAGACACCTTTAGGCCTTTAAGCCCATTTAAGCTTAGCGTTCCAGTCGATCAATATTGACAGCTTCAAGGAAAGCCTTCGGCAAGTTCGTTGGCAGCTATCAGAATCTCCTCGGCGGCTGGTCCAACATGGCCTTCTATGCAATGACAGGTTGGGGGTTGCCAAGCATTGGGCATGTGTCAAAATACGGGGAACCCAAGCGAGTGGTTCTCCTTTTTGCTTCCTTGCAACCAGCCCCAAAACGGGCACCCTCGAAAACAAGTAAAAACACACACACACACACACACACACACACGTGTTGCGTGGTTTGAAGGGGCAAACTGCAGTTCTTCTCTAGAGAGAGAGAGAGAGAGAGAGAGAGAGAGAGAGAGGTCAGATCTGCTTTACTTGGCGGCGCTCAAGCACGACTTTCAAAAAGAACCCCACTTGGACTGTCACAAGCAGCGAGGGCGTGCTGGTCAGCCAAGACAAGGGCGGCACGGAGTTGGGGACATTGGCAGAAGGCCTCAACTTGTTAGAGAAAATGCATTTGCTTTTGCACACACGTTTATGTCTGTTATCGAAGCGGGGCCACGGCTCCTTGGGAAGTATTCCAAGTACTTCTTACAAAGTGCGGAGGTGCAGTTTGGATGATTGCTTCTGGACATGTGCGCAACGCAGGTGCCAAGTTTGAAGAGCTGAAGCAAGAAGCTTGGCGGGTTCAGGCATGCTCCGGCCGTCACCTTCTGTTGAGTTTGTAGCTAAAAAGAGAGTCAGGGGAGGGCAAGTCGCCCCTTGTGTTGACACCTTCCCAAGGATCGCAACTGGCTCCAATTCAAGAAATTGGAGGGTGATGGGCCGGAGGAGGGATGGCTCTCCTACTACGACTCTGCGGGCTATCAAGTCGCAAGCTGTGAGGATAACGACTGGGTTGGCTCTGATGACTGGACGAATCCAAAAACACTGTCCTTCAGAAGTTACAAAATGGGCAACGTTTTTGGCCACGTGAACAGAGACGCCTTGTGGGAGAAGATCCGGGAGTACGACGACTCCAACTACCTTATGGCATGCGTGGCGATGTACAAAAAGCCTTCGCACCAGATAGTGAGAAAGCGCCGCCAAGATGGAATAGTGGCAGTGCACGGGCACCTGGGAATCAAGTTTGCCGTTGGGTTGTTGTATTTAGTCGGCGGCTTGTTTGGACTTCGGGTGGGGCAACTTAGCACAGCGAAACTAATATTGTTTCCCACGAGCACGCTGAACATTTCTTTGGCTTCGTGCATGTTGATGAGTTCGCGTTACAGGTGTAGTTTGGGATTCCTGGAAAAGTTGTTTTCGTGGTTGTAGAACTCTCCTCATCCTACGCAAACGTTGTTGTTTTTTGCACGTTTCAAGATGCATTTCGTGGCGATCGTTCTCGTCCTGGCGCTTCACTCATTCTGATATCGTCCGCGCAACTCTTACGGCGCTTGGTACCTGTCGGATTTCCCTTCTTGTGGTGCGGCGCTTACTCTGATATTGTTCGCGTGGCCCTCTGCGTGCTTTGCGCGCTTCCATTCTATGCGTGGACATCGAGCCGCCGTGAGAGCAATTCCAGAGATCTTGCGCAGAGACCCTCTACATTCCAAAGATGTCTTGCGCTGGTTCTTTGTAGAGATTCTCTCAGAGTCTCAGGAGGTCCTCTACAGGGCCTGCAAAGAAATTTTTGCAAGAGATCTTTCGGAGAAAGGCTCGGCATACAGAGGACAGAGGATCCTCCTATGGGTCCGGCACGCAGAGATCTTGCACAACAAAAACGCTTTGTTGACTTCCGTGGGCTTCTAACGCGCCTGTTCCACACACACACACACGGGATACACGGTTTGCTAGTTACCATTGCCTGGGGGGTGTGCTTGATAGAAAGTCAGTTGCAAGACATTCATGCGCTAGGTATTCCCTAATCCACGCCGTGGAGGTGGAAGGCTGGAGGATGGTTTGCTGCCGAAATCCCTGGGGCTGGGGCTGTTGGAATGGTCCTTGGTCTCCGGGCAGCCGAGAATGGGAGCAACACCCCTCAGTGGCCGAGGCCCTGAACGCTCGAACGTCCTTCGGACGCAATTAGTTTTGGGGTTCGTTTCGGTACGCGGGCCATTTCCGCATCTGGAGGTAAGCGCGTCAAGTATTGCCATACCATGTTGGTTTTGTCCCCCGGACCTTTGACATGAAGAATAGTCGTTCAAGTCTGGTGATACTAAGTTCTGAGGTCGTTTCCCTGGAAAATCAGGACAGGGCCATTCAACAGGAGCAAGGCCACCTCTTGCGTTTTTTTCCTTCAGCAGTGTGTCCACTAAGGGTTTACGTCGGAGAAATTGACGCACCCGCAGTTTTGCAGGCTGCAAATCTTGTTTCACGCTGTTGCCAAAATCTCGGAAGTGCGTTTTGACTGAGATTCATCTGTAAATTGCTGCGGAGACTTTGGTTTTGAAAGTGCGGTCTCGCGGTGTGCCGTGCGAGTTTGACAAGTCGCGGGTTCGCGCATCCTTTCTGGACTTTGGGTGGGCAGGATTCCGCCGCTCGCTACGTAGTACGAACTTGGAACGTGGAAGCGGCCCCTCTGCACACTTGCGCGTCGAATCGCTCTTGCTATTACGGTGCAAATCTGCAAAAACTAATAAATGCAAAGCATGGGGCCGCTCAACCACTTGCGGACCCTGTTTTCTCTGGCTTGCTTGGCGTGGATGTTGTTCTTCTTTACGATATTGCGCCGGGGTTTTGCAGATATGCTGTTTTGTTTTGCCAGGATAATGTTGCACCTTCTGTACTGTGACCACCCGCTGCCAGCAGTCATTTGGATCCCCTTCAGTAGAAAATGCAGGAAGGGGCGGGTCTGGGTTGGACGTGGGCGCCAAATAATTTAGTGTTTCCAGAAGAAAAAACAATATTTCTGCAACTTGATCTGAGGTTCCTCGCGCGTAATTTAGTGTTGCAGACGGGGCTCCCGCGGGCACCCCGCTTTGTGGTTACTCCAACATTGATCCGCCATGAAAAAGCGTCATTGGACGTATCTCTCCCACCGCAACACTTCCAATTGCAAACAGGGTGCGTGTGCAAATGTGTTGCCTGCATTCTTGGGGATGCCAGATCGGGGGTGATTTGAAAGGGAGGTCAATAGGAATGCAGCCATGTTTGAGACCCACATTCCGACTTTGGCGCGGTCTTTGGGAAGTGTTCCTCAGGAAAACAAGCGGCATGTTCTGGATGACCTTTCACGACTTCACCTGCACCTGGAGCATGATTCAGGTGTGTCCCAAGACTATGCCCACAAGGCGTGGAGACTTTGATCTGAACAGCTTCGTCTGAGAAATGGTGACATCCCAAAAGGGAATTCACCAGTACACTCCAATGACCGATTTATTTCTCAACAGTGTTTGAAGGGGGATCGTGGGGGATACAGGGACCTGTTTTGAAATTTTAAATCGTCCAAGGGGGCTACCCTTGGCTTGGAGCTGTCTCACATGCGCAGTGCTCTTGCTTACCTAATGGAGCACAGAGGCAATATAGCCCTCTACTCCAGATCCGACGTGATCTGAGTGTCTGACTGTTCGGCTCGTCTGCGATTTGGACGATTGGAAATAACGGGTTCTTTCTAATATTATTACAATTAGAAATGGATATAAATACATATGTGGTTTGCATTAATTGGAGATTTTAAGATAAATTATAAATTATAATGGAAATACATAATTATAATGATACTTAAGATTTAAAACAATAAAATATATTTATAATTAGATATATAGAATTAAAATTTAAATAAAATAATATTATATAGAATACAACATATTTTATAAAATAATATAAAACTAAATTATATAGAATTATATTATTTTTTACAAAAACATGAATAATAATATATATTAAAATAATAATATTTTAAAATAAAGGAATAATATATTTTAATTATATAAATAATTATATATATTTATAATATATATATATATATAATTGATATAGTTATTATTAATAATATTGAATATAATTTAAATATCTAATAATTCATGGAAATGATATGGATTAAATTTAGTAAATAATTTATTTTTTAGAAAAATAAATTCTTTTGTAACCAAACCCAGCTAAATATAAACAAACAAACATAGATAGACACAGAGAGAGATATAGAAAAAGAGAAAGACAGAGAGAAAATAAATTAAGAAAGACAAAGAACGAGATAGAAAAAAAAAGAGAGAAAGACAGAAACAAAACAGAAAATGAACGAGATAAAGAAAAAAAAGAGGTAGATAAAGAGAGAAAATAAGGAAAAAAAATAGAAAAATAATAAAATATAGAAAAAAAGGAAAAAAAGAAAGATAAAAAGGAAAAAAAAAACAAAGAAACATAAATAATAATAAATAAATATAAATGGATATAGATGGATATAATAACACAAAACAAAGAGATAGAGAAACAGAGGGAGAGAGAGGAAACAGAGAGATAGATAGACAACAGACAGATAATGAGACAGAGAGATAAAAAGAAAGAAAGACAGAGAAAAATAATGAAAGAGAGAAACAAAGAAAGAAAAAGAGAGAAATAGAAAAAGAAAGAAAATAATAAAGAAAAAAGAAAAAAAAGAATCGGAAAAAAAAAGAGGAAGAGAACTAGAAAGAGAAAGAGAGATAAAGAAAAAAGGAAAAAGGGAAAGAAGGAAAATATAAAATTTTGTAGACATTTCGATTCGGATATTTGTTGCTAAATTCTGTAGAAATTTGCATGTAAGGGTAATGTCTGGCGATCGAGTTGGGTCGTCGAAAGCGATTCAAAATGCAATGGCTTTGTGGTGCACGAGAAATACGACCCCAAGGTCATACTGATTTATAATATAATTTATAGTATTAAATATAAATTATTTATTTATTAAATATATAATTATAAATTTACACAAATAACCATTGTCATCAATGAATAAATCTCGTATTAAATATATGTTTATATTATAGTTATATTAATTTCTTTAATTAATATAATTCCTTAATGTCTGTATTAATATTCTAAAATCAAAATCTATATTGATATCTTAAATTGCATATTAATATTAGGAATTATCTATTTCTAAACAAATTAAAATTATATATATTAATTTGAATCCTAAATAGTATATCCTTAATTATATAAAAATTTAAAATAATTATTTAAATTATATTATTATTACCCCTAATTTATTAATATTATTTAATATAATACTAATATCCATACATATATTTCTTATAAATTTATATTATCCTAAAATATCTCTATTATTGTTCCAAATATATAAAAATATTTAAATATATCAATTTATAAATATATATATTCACCAAAAACAATAATATATATAATACATCTATAACATATATAAATATATATATATATATGGGTTTGTATTTATTTGTGGGGGTCGGGCAGGAAGGTTTAAATATGGGGTATGATTCGTAGGTATAATTCATGGGTATGATTCGGGGTATGATTCGCGGAAATAATAGCAACAGTAATAGTAGCAGTAGCAGTCGTCCAAGTAGTAGTATTGTTGTAGTAATAGTAATTAGTAATTAGTAATTAGTAATGGTGGTAATAGTGGTAATAATAATAATTGGAATAGTAATATTAACAATAGTAATTATAATAGTAATAATAAATAATAATAATACATAATATTAATAATAAATATAATAATACGAATAATATTAATAATAAAAAACATTATTTTAATAATAATAAAACAAATGTTATTAATAATAACAAAGAAATTTTAATTTTATAAGTATAATTCATAAATATAAATTATTCAATTAAATATAAAATAATATTAATTAAAAATTCAAAATAATATAATAATAATAAGTAATAATAACAATAATAATTATAATAAAAATAATATTAATATTATTAAAATTAAATAACAATAACAATATTATTAAATAACATTAATAATAATTATTATAAAATTAATATAATATATATATTTACTTTATAATATGTATTTCAAAAAAGCAAAATCAAACAATATAATTCAAAATATAATCTAAACATATAATTCTTCAATATAATTCGGAAAATTTTAGTTTTATGTCTTTATCCCAATTATCTAAATTATAATATCTATTTATTCAATATTATCAATACATATAATATTTATAATATTCAATATAATTGTAATCCAAATCAATATCATAATAATATATATCTGTATCAATATCAAATAGTATATCCATTGTATATTTCAACATGAGGCTCCTGCAATGCCCGGAGCTTCTGCGATACGACTCTTTGCGCCCTGCCAAAAAACATAATTGGCGCTGTAAGCTTAACAACAAAGCGCGGGCTTCTCTAAGTCTACAGCTCTCATCTGGGTCAGTTGGGCCGATGACGGGCGCCTTGAAAAGCTTAAGAATCAAAAAGATCGGGATCTGCTCTGCTAGTCGGTCCAGGCCACTGCCACAGCCGTCGCCCTCGCATCCATGATTAATCGTGTTTCATCCCGTTTTGCATGATTTCTACAAAACCACGGTACTTTAGCGGGACATGGCGGGACCATCTCGTTTCACGGCAAAATCTGGACTTTTATGGTATTCCATGGTATTCCGGCGGTATCAACACACAACCGAGTGTTGATTAATTGGACGGTCGCTAATACAATATTCCGATATTCTCGATGCTACATTGCATTCATGAAAAAACTTCACCGCGCTGGTGACTCGAAAGCCCGCTCACAGCTTGCCAACCTTAGCAGCAGCACTCCATGCGTCATTGTTGCTCCAGTGATCCTTCTGCAAAAGTCATGCACGGCTCTACCAAAGCTGGTGCTGGCAGGCTGCCGTGAACATGCGCACCAAGCCCGCAATGAAGAAGCCCAAGAAAAAAAGGGCAAACACCTGAGCAACTGCAAACGTGAACCCTAGATTGCCCTTCCATGAGCTGTGCCCTTGCCATGGTGCAAGAACGTGCAAAAGGCCCGCACCAAGCCAAACTGGTTGAGTTCCTGCCCAGGGGCAGTGGCTCAGTGGCAGGAGAGAGCACACCGTGATGTGATGATTTCTGTCGACGCGGATTCAACACGGGCGGTCATTCTCCGAGAAGGCATGTGCTGGCTCAGGCACCGAGCTGAGCAAGGCCGCGGTGACGCCTAAAGCATCAAGACTCCTGTGGTGGTTCCTCTCACTCCCCATGCTGCCAAGGCTCCAGATGCCGAGACTGCCTCGGGCATTCCAGTTCCCTCTCTGTGAGTGTCATCTGCAAAGCATACAGTGCTTGCACCCTTGTGCACCGCAAAGGCATGCCGTTGACATGCCAAGGATTTGACCAGTTCAGTCAGTGGAACAGCGGAACAGCCTGTGGTTCAAAACTTTGCCAAGCTGCACCAGCTCCCCTCAGGGACGAGTCTGCCCTTGTGCTTGGGGCCGACAAGAAGGCTGGGGCCAGAGTCAAGAAGGCGGCCAGGATGGTCAGAGGCCTTTGGCGCATAGATGCATTGCAACTGTGCAGTACCAACGTAGTCCTGTACATCCGCTCAGCTAATTTGCAAATCAAGTGGCAGGATCACGGTGGCGGATCGGAGAGCCATGTCTACCTTTCTACCTGCCAGGTAAACATCAACAAGCCCTGTCCACGTGGATTGCACGATGCATAACAAACCTCTCCAACGCAGACCTGCCTGCTCTGTCACCGGGATATCGCAGCACAACTTGTCGGCCGGCTGAGCCAAAAGGGCGCAATTGAGCTTGTTTCAGTGTCAACCAAACGCTGGCTCAAACAGACAGCCATCTGCTCAAGACTCTAGCAACTCGCAGGGAACCCGCGCGCACACACACACACACAGACACAGACACAGACACAGACACAGACACAGACACAGACACAGACACAGACACAGACACAG